ACAAGCATCATACCACTAGAACAATCAACCATAGATATGGAGAGAATATTTTAATATACTTCATGGCAATCATAAAAAGTATAGCATGTTTTGAATCAGATATTATGTTATGGTCAGGAAAACAATAACTGCAGAACTATTTTAAACAATCGGGGTACAGTATGTTTTCATCCAGTCAGATATAAGAAAATCACCCAGTAGGAGAATTTTTGCAACATTACAAGTTCCGGCTGGTATTGAAGTTTTATAACCAACAAGCCTCCTGAGTCATTTTAGAATAATTTTTAAAGTGTTACATTTGAGCAATTACAGTCACTGTTGGTCGATTTCTGCTAATTTTTGGAGTTTGAATCTTTTGTTGTTCGATGTATGTAAATAATTCCTCTCAGTTGAATTTGCAAACAGAACCTAGGTCATTGCTACATGCTACTACAAAGGTAGATTAACCAGTTATTTTGGACAGCGACCAAGTGTAAAGCGAAAACTGGCAGCTAACTGGAAGCCCAGCGGGTACTATTTATGTTTACATGAGTTTTCCCTCCAATTGTAATCAACCCCTCAAATGTCTAAAAAACATGTAAGTGTACTTTTTTAGAATCTTTTTTGGAATATTTTCGACCAATCAAAGTGTATATGCAAATGAGCTGCAGAACCATTTCAATCAATCAGATCAGATTATTGCACTCTTTGACCCCACCGCCACCGCCGCCGCCGCCACCACCGCCGCCGCCGCCACCCGTTGTGCCTTTAATGGCAGGTGATATTCATATTTAAATAGGTTTTCTATCAAATTACAATCAAACCCGGTAAAAAGTAAAGATGGCGGTGGCGGCGGTGGTGGAGGTGGCGGCGGCGGCGGCGGTGGTGGCGGCGGCGGTGGCGGCGGCGGTGGGGTCAAAGAGTGCAATAATCTGATCTGATTGATTGAAATGGTTCTGCAGCTCATTTGCATATACACTTTGATTGGTCGAAAATATTCCAAAAAAGATTCTAAAAAAGTACACTTACATGTTTTTTAGACATTTGAGGGGTTGATTACAATTGGAGGGAAAACTCATGTAAACATAAATAGTACCCGCTGGGCTTCCAGTTAGCTGCCAGTTTTCGCTTTACACTTGGTCGCTGTCCAAAATAACTGGTTAATCTACCTTTGTAGTAGCATGTAGCAATGACCTAGGTTCTGTTTGCAAATTCAACTGAGAGGAATTATTTACATACATCGAACAACAAAAGATTCAAACTCCAAAAATTAGCAGAAATCGACCAACAGTGACTGTAATTGCTCAAATGTAACACTTTAAAAATTATTCTAAAATGACTCAGGAGGCTTGTTGGTTATAAAACTTCAATACCAGCCGGAACTTGTAATGTTGCAAAAATTCTCCTACTGGGTGATTTTCTTATATCTGACTGGATGAAAACATACTGTACCCCGATTGTTTAAAATAGTTCTGCAGTTATTGTTTTCCTGACCATAACATAATATCTGATTCAAAACATGCTATACTTTTTATGATTGCCATGAAGTATATTAAAATATTCTCTCCATATCTATGGTTGATTGTTCTAGTGGTATGATGCTTGTTTTAGGAGCAACAGGTCCTGGGTTTGATCCCCAGATCAACCTTCTAAATGTTTATTTCAATATATTTATTGTGTTGTTGTTCTCAATAATATTAATGATGTACACTTACACTCTCTACTTTTCTCTTATCAGTTATCATTAACCAGTGATATCATATGTCAAAGGTTTGTTCTACAGATTACTTAAGAGCTTGAATAACTTAGACACCAAGTTATCTTAACAGTGTTGGTTATCTTATCAGTAGACTTCTCTCTTAATCAATTATCAGTAACCTTTGACCGGACCTTAGCAATGTCAATCTCTCAGTAAATATTTGTGTTGCATTATTCCAGAATGTTTAAACTGGTTTACTGATGGAACTTATCTCTGATTGGTTGAATTTGCTGCTTTCTAATTAGATGAAAATATACTGCAACCTGATTGGTTAAAATAATGGATGAAAATATACTGTACAACGATTGGATCAGATAATACAAACATACTATCCCTGATTGGTTGTTATAATTCTGCATCTCGAAACCTGATTGGTTAAAACATACTGTACTCTGATTGGTTAACATAATTCTGCAAGTTGAAACCTGTTTGGTTAAAATGGTTCTGCAGTTATCTTTTTTACTGTTTTATCAGTTTGTTATCCACCTTTGACCTATAACAATGAAACATCCATGAAGTAGACAAGATAGCTTATCACATAGTCACCAGGTTACCTTAACAGTGTTTGTTTGATTATCTTATCAATTGAGCTCTCTCTTATCAGTTATCAGTAACCTTTGACAGGTTTGTTTGATTATCTTATCAGTTAACTCCTCTCTTATCAATTATCAGTAACCTTTGACCAGTTATGTTACTCCCAGTGCACATTGCGTCATTTCCGGTGGAACGTGGAACACGTGACCTATGACGTCACTTCCGGTGGAACGTGGAACGTGGAACAGTAAGTACCGGTGCCGGTAGGGGGTCGAAAGGCCCGCTGTATACTACTTGTGTGTCCAGGCAATAACTCAGTAACAAATTGACGGATTTACCACCAGACAGATCTCAAGAAATCAACTGTCAACTAACATTTTTGACTACTACATACTGTGTCTATACTAGCACTACCCAGTTATTTCTATCATGTTATGTTCAGAATGATGAGTGATTTGATAAACTATGTTTTGTATGATGGGACTGGCTACCCTGTGGAGTTGATGTTTTTTCTAGTTTTGACATTCATATACTATAGAAAGGAAATGGAAATCCTGTTGAGGTGAATGTGTTTGATCTTTGATCTTCATATGTATTGGTTCACTCAGTTTTGAATGATAGACATCCTGTTGACTATATATAGATACTATAAATGATTATGAAATGTAATTATGATGATATGTAAATCTATCTATTCTGGGATGTAGATAAGGGACATTTGATATAGATCAGAATGTAGTATATGTTTCATTACTAAGGAAAAATATTTTGCCACCTGAATGACATCACAGTGTATCCTTATGGCATCACATTTTTTTAAATGCTTTAAAAGTTTATACATGCATAAAATCGGAAATTGAATTGTTGAAATACTTGATAAAAAATAGTAGTAAATAGAAACTTTTGCCTGATCTATATAATCACACGGTCCTAACTTCGACCGTTAATTTGAATTTTTGACCTACCAGGTGCTTGAAAATCAAGGATTGCGAGTCTCACACTGTTTTTCTTTAAACTTATATCATTAAAAGCAGAACAAAATTGCCTTTCTGTCGGTGCATTACTTTATTGTAAAGAGTCCCTCGTTCTAGCAGCGTTTTGGTCCCCAGCTGTTAGAAGGCCTTCTTACAGCTGGGGACCAAAATGCCACTGGAAGTAGGGACTCTGTTGAAGAGATTAATGTACCATCAGAAAGGGTTTTGTGTTATGCTTTGAATGGAACAAGTTTGGAGAAAAACGGTGCAGCAGTATGAGACTCGTAATCCTTGATTTTCAAACATCCGGTAGGTCAAAAATTCAAATTAACGGTCGAAGTTAGGACCGCGTGATAATGAAGTTGAGGAAATAATATATTTTTACACTTGTTTAAGTGTCAGAAGATGTGGGTAGTTCCCATAATACTCTCAATATTCTTTCGTACTCATGAACATAATTTATTTAAATCACACCTATCAGTATGTGAAGTCTAATCAGATTGCAAGGATATGATCACGTGAACAACCATGAGCATGTGCTTTCTCAGGGCTGCGTACGTTTATCTCAGTTTAACATCAGTTCAACATCATCATTTCTAAACTATGGTAATACTCTTTAAAGGGTGACGCATATCGTTTAGCAAATCGAACGCTCGTTTCTGGTGTTGCTCACCGTTTAGTATAAAAGGCCCGATCCCAGAATAATACTCAAGGGTTCACAGGCTCGAGGTCGTTGTGTCAACACCTCTAACTGTTATATAGCATAAGTATATTATAGATCGTCACACATTTATAAAAGGGTGATTTTTATTTTGATAAATCAATTCCACATTTATGGGTGAAGTTTCAGGATCGTCTATTTGTGTATAATAAGGAAAAATTGACATCTAAATTTCCCCATAACGTAATAGCACACAGCTTGGCATATGAAATATCCTACAAATGAAACAAAGCAGTTCTAATACAAGGATTTATATTGGCTGTTGTACATATTCTTTGAACGCAATCACTCTATGGATAACGTTTTCAAAATCATTATAAACGGATTACTTTATCTCAAAGACAATTTCAATAAACTGGATTTTACAGAACTCCCCTTATTTCTTAAAAATGGACTGATCCAGGAGCCGCCATATTGTTTTTATACGGGAAGCTTATCGGAACCCTTTAAGTTACTTACTAAACTTGTAGAGAATAATCATAAAACAACAGCGACCATTCTGAGGTCAATTCCAATGGCAAATGAGACCTGTTTATAAAATTGCCTATCAAACATGCCAACACCAATGCTCATCTTTGGGAATTCTCCCCCTTGTTAAGTGCTGTATTTTATGATCTCAGAATCTGAACTTTTGTTTCTAAAATGTTGAGAAATTCAATCATGAAAAAGAATACACATATGATTGAACTATATTTTCAAACTTTGCAAGGGCCTTAAAGATAAGTTTACATAGAATTGGTAAATGGTTGCTCTAATGGTAACATAAATGGATAATAATATTGTTCTTTGTTAATTTGATATTTTGTTTGTGTTTTGTATCTACATGTATTATAGTACTATGGAATGATAAAGTAATGTTCATTTGGACGCTTTTCTCAAAATATAAGTGACTGTTTAAGCATATTTACATCATATACATTGACCCTTGCTAATTATCTTAGATTGCTGAAATTATATGAACACTTGCCAATGTCAAGAGACATATATACTTAATCTATTTCTCTGATGAACTGTATTTTATATTTATTTGCAGTGAACTATGCGCGAGTACAAGCTGGTGGTTTTAGGAAGTGGTGGGGTGGGCAAGAGTGCCCTGACTGTACAGTTTGTCCAAGGTATCTTTGTAGAGAAGTATGACCCCACCATAGAAGACAGCTACAGGAAGGTAAGTTGGTCTCCCATTATCTCCTAAAGGAGCCTATAGTTTATGAAAGCACTTGTTTTGAATCAATCCCCTACATGGTGTAATACCAAAATGCTGCTACCTTCACCCTGTGAATTAACATATTTTCAGATGATAATAGACTGGGACTTAAGATTTACACTGGAATTATCAGTGTGGTAATCAATAGAAGTTACGATGTTTTATTATACAGTTATTGTATGTTCTATATAGATTATTGTATTTATATAGTTAAAGACCAATTACAGCAAGTGTGGAATAATATCGGCTAAAAAACATTAAGCAGTTCACTTGACAAATGTATAAGCAATTTTATGATTTATTAAATTACTAAGTATTTCAGACTAAATATGATGTCAAATTTACTGTCTATTATCATCATTCATATTTATTCTTTAGCAAGTAGAAGTTGATGGAAACCAATGCATGTTGGAGATCCTTGACACAGCCGGGACAGAACAGTTTACTGCAATGAGAGACCTCTATATGAAGAATGGCCAGGGATTCCTGTTGGTGTATTCAATCACGGCACAGTCAACATTCAATGATCTTCATGACCTAAGGGAACAAATCCTCAGAATTAAAGATACAGAAGATGTATGTATTTCATTTTGTTTGTCAAGAAAACAGGAATTTTTGTTAATTTCGAGTTATTTCTGAAGTTTTGTTGTATTTTACTCAAATAGAAGGCAATTTAGAGTAGATCAAAAGTATGTTATTGTTTTTCTGATTCATGCCACAGAAAATTCAAGATGGCTGTCTTTTATTATCTGCAAATCATGGGTAGAGTAGATTGTAAATTTTACATATTCATGAATATTTTGTTCATTTTGATTTGCTACTCTTTGGGGTTGCCAATTTCAAGTTAATTGTTTATTCCAGGTGCCAATGATCCTTGTAGGCAACAAATGTGATTTGGAAGATGAGCGTGTCGTAGGTAAAGATCAGGGTCAGAATATAGGACGGCAGTGGAATTGTGCGTTCCTAGAAACATCTGCAAAATCCAAAGTCAACGTAAATGAAGTAAGTACAACATCATTTTAATGTTACGTTCTATATTACTCTTAGCGCTATCTAGCCTGTTTGAGAGTTCTTCTTCAATATCATAGACTCTGTAATGTTGTCATCTGATCACTTGTTCATTCACTAATATATTATTTTGTTAAAATTTAAATTGAATTTAAAATAAAATTAAAAAGTTCTGTGTTGTCACCAAGATTTCAAAATAAAATTAATACAAGGGATAAGTTTTTCCAAAATATTGTGAATTAAAACTCTGTTATCTCATAATATCAACATTGTAATATTTTGAAAGATAGCATTGACATCAGCAATCATGGTATTTTAATGAAACAAACAGTTCAAGGGACCTTCTCAAACTTGGTTGTAATTACTGAATTATCAGAAGCTGCAAATGAACAGACACACTTGATGCATCCCTAATTTACCAATCTAAACATGGATCTTTGTCTAGACTATATCCTCTAGTCTGGATTTTTTTGAAATTTGGAATGAAAATATTCAGACTATAGCCTACATATGTTAAAATTTGGGATTTAATAATGTTTGTTTACATAGGAAGTGCCATTCAAAATGGATATAGACTAGATCTTTGTCTGGATTAACTACAATGCATTTAAGATTCAGTTTCAGATTAATACAAGAAATGTAAATAATGTACCTTTGTTATATACAAAATTGATGTAGATAATATTGGAATTCTTTACTGGTCGATTTAAAACTTCAATAATACAGGGGAATTCTTGAGGACTGACTGAAACAAGGGAATTCTCGAGGACTAACTGAAACAAGGGATAACACATGTTTGATTAAATTGAAAAAAGGTACTTGTTCATTAAATTTCTGTCAACTCAATATGCAAAATATGGTTTCAAAAATATGTCAGATTACAAACAAAGAACAACAATGATGCTGACGAAGATGCTAAGGACACACAATGATGACATGTCTTTTTTCTTTTGCACTGTATGGTTGACAATTATTTTTCAAAAAGAGTCCAATATGATGATTTTAATTCCTTTTCAGATCTTCCATGATTTGGTGCGACAAATAAACAAAAAGAATCCAGAAACAAGAAAACAAAGGAAGAAGAAGAAGGGATGTTTGATATTATAAACTAGGTATGTTCAAAGATGCATTAATCTTACACTGTAAAATATTCTGAAACAGACTCTACACTTAACTGTTCATGTACTTATAATTCACAAGTATAAAATAGATTTTGCCCAATTTTTATGCATGTATTATTGCCAAATTATATAGATGTTTTAATGAGATATGAACAAATTGTATCATAAAATTCAATTGAATATTTGTGCAAGGTGAGCTCTAACACCCTCACATCAAAACATGAAACTCATATGATGAATTCATTCATTCAAATATTCGTCATTATTGTCACGTTTTAAAATGCTGTGTTTTGAACATATTTTTAACAGTTTTCTTATTATATTACTTTTCTCCTTTTCAGCTCAGAGATGCCAGTCATTTAACAACATAGGAAAATTGATCATTCATGATGTCACAAACATGATGTCAAAAACATGATGTCATTGCCTTGCATCATCTTATTTTTCGACTTCCTTGTTGTCATGATGATGTCAAAGACTTTGTGAGATTTTGACCAATGGACTTTGATTTGACAGTGTAATCCTGTAGCAATCATTTAATCAGCATATTTATTATTGGAACATGCTAAAGCGTAAATGCTTGTAAATAGAAAGCGGAGTTTGAGTAAATGTGTGATTAAACAAAAAGGATATAGAAAATAGCTGGATTCTATAGCAAGAAAAGGTGGACAAAATATACTGTTAACTGTACCCAATGCAAGATATGGAAACAATCAGAAGGCATTTGCATTCTAGGTATCACATGATGTGAGAAATTTTAGTGAGTGTTGTCATGCACACATGTATTGCAAACTGATGTGTTGGCTTATACAAACCTGATTTGGAGGATGTATTATGAGGTTATATAATGGTTCATTCTGTATATCGTGTTTATACTCGAGTGAGTATATAATATATTCACAAGTGAGCGTAGCGAACGAGTGAATATATTATATTCTCACGAGAGTATAAAATGCACGATATACAGAATGAACCATTATATAATCTTATTATGCCACTCTAAGTTCAATTACAGTTGATTCAAACACAATCATTTACAATTATAAAACCATAAAAATATGCCAACTCGGTAATGCCGATGTTGATCTCGATCCATTTATGACGTCACTTGATTCTAACAAATCATGTTGGAACCATTTATGACGTCACTTGGAAATCATGTGTAACAAAACATACACCTCGTTCTTCGGTCAATATTCATTAGTTCCCAGAATGCACTTCTACAGTGGTATACGCTGGAGTGTATACGGAGGAGTTGTATACGATGACGATATACCACTCTCCACTGTATATCGTTGTTATAGACCCATGTTATACAACTGTAATCGGACTTAGAGTGGTATAATAAGGGTTGAGATATTGGATAAGTAAAAGTATAGATGTGTCACAGTACAGATGTGTTTAAAGTGCAGATATATATGCCACATGGCAAATGCGTCATTGTCCTCAATATCACTGACTGGAAGGTTGTGTGTTTTTAAGCTTTGATAATTCTTACATCATATTTGACCACAATATTTGGATAATTGGTAATTAAATTACTTCAGTCTAAAATGAATAAATATATTGTCATTTCTATTATTATTGTGGAGCAATTATTTTACTGGAATTTTAACATTTAAAATGAAATCGTTGTAACATGTGCTTTATGTAAGATTTAATGGGCTTTGTACAATGTGAACAAACACCAGTTTCAAGATATCTTATATTTTAATTAACAAATAAAATGTTATATCACATCATCACACGTATTACAACCCTAAAAAGTTTATATGGAAACTACTCCAAACATATTTTGTATGATAAAAAATTGTGTATAATACTTGAGGGAAGAAGTGGGTAAATATAAGAACATTTTAGTAACCTAGTTGAAATACAATATTATTGTTTCACTGTCAAGCTTGCAATTGTATGATTTGTCATGAAGGATCAGGTGATATTTATTAGGCCTGATTTTCAAATCAGAAAACTCACATAAATTAATTTTGCACAGTAATGACAGCAGAGGATTTAATCTATATTTTATTCATATGAATTAAAATTATTGAAGATAGTGGGCTTGGCATTGTTGTAATGAAACAAATATTTGATTCTATTTTAGGTGAATACCTGTGACAGTTTCAAAAGATGGCACTCCACTAGCCCTTCAGCCTTGGATATCACTTTTGAAAGATGCACTGCTATTTACCTCAGTACAAAGAAATATTTGTATATTATAATTTTGAATTCATAAATTTACTAGTCACACCCAACCTCTGTTTGCCCCTGATTTTTGCTTCTAAAGTTATACTTCTGGAAAGGGTGCTTTCATTGTAGTTTTTAGTAGAATTTTACCTATAGATTTATTTTCCTACAAATTGGCAATGTTGTCCCTCATACAAGATATGATCATGTAAAATATTAGTAGTATCAATCATCAATGCATTTATAATATGCTATGGCTATTCATTAACTATATATCATATGTATACCTTTGTAGAGATAATTCTGTATACAGTAAACCCCATGATCAACCTTGGGGCATTGCTCATAGAGGTGATCACAACTGCAGGCTTTGAAATATATACGCAGCATGGGAAAAACAAAATGTTGATTCAACAATTGAACATTCATCATGGGTATGGACATTTTATGTTTCTTGAATTCTGTAAGGTTTCCAATGAGATGATATATTTCTTAAAGCATGTTTATTAGCTTATATATCAATCAGACAGCATTCTCCGCTAGACATTGTGAGCTGCCATTTTATACATCAGAACACAGACACGGGAACAAGAGTTCATCCCCCTCCCACTCACTATCATTATGTATTACTTTTACTGTGTACAGTGAGTGTGGGGGGATTTAAATCTTCCTGGGCCTGTGCATCAGAAGCTGCCAGTCTGTGTAGTGAGATGACGCTAGATAGCAAATATATATTTTCTAATAGTAAGCTTTGTGTCAGGCTTTGCTACATATTGTGTAAAGTAGCAATGTTATAAGGCACTTCCGCTTTGTGTAGTGAGCCACTTTTTGGTGCAAACCATCACTTTTGTTGCTTTAGTAAACTGCCACTGTATATTACATTATCACAACACATACACAGTGCAATCAAAAAATGTAACAAATCAATTATAATTCGAAAAACCAGTGATGACTGCATTTCTCCTCTTCAACGATGTGATTTATTCATGTGAAATGAAATTGATACAGTCCTCTTTGATTTTGTGATTTATTTGTTGGTTGCATCTTTTTATACTCGCTGTATAGGTGTATCAGGCAGGTACCCATGTTTCATCTGTATATAGTTATTCATGTTATTTGCATTTGACTGTGTATTCTAATAAGAAATAAAGTACTCACTTTATAACAATGTAACACTTTTTATGTGAATTTCATAAACTCCAATTCCATACCTGCCAACCTACCGTATTTTTACGGGAATCTACCGTAAATTTTTCGTTTTTCCGTAAAAAAATGACAAACTACCGTAAAAAAATATCATTTTTTTCCCGTAAAAACGCCCGTAAAAAAATCTACCGTATTTTTTTCGTAATCTACCATAAGTTTTGTTTTTAAAAAACTCGTTTATTCCATGAGAACGGCCGTAAAATCTACTGTAAATTTTTGAAAATCTACCGTAAATTTTCGAAAATCTACCGTATTTCTGCTGAAATCAACAGTATTTTTGTTTAAACTACCGTAAAATTTCCCGTTATTGTTGGGAAATGCTGAAAAATTGAAGTCTCCCTGTACTGTCCCTGTAATATTCCTTCAACAACCCGAATATAAATAGGTATCGGCAGGTCTGTGGTTATCAGGTTATTGCGCATTTATATAAGTAAGCTTGCGTGTAATCAGTCCAAACACCAACTACCACTAGCTAGAAAGAATTCTTTCTGCCATGATTTTTGTAGTTAACCAAACCCTTTTGTACACAGATCTTTATTCCGAATGCAACAAAAATATGATTTTAGTTGCGCTTCATCTAAATAAATGAGTGGAAATCATAATGCCTATGCATATTTAGCGTATGAATATGCGTAGTTTGATTTGTTATGATCAGTCATGAACGCCACATATACATTATACATAGTTTAATCAGTTTGTTTACAGTACGATAAAATGTTGTATTTTTCATCAGAACATTTTATCAGTAACAAATACATAATTAAAAAATAAAGCATTGAGTTCTGGTTTATTATAAAAGTATTGTGATATCCGAATCTGAACGATGTCTCAGATTATTTTTGAAAGACAATTGATCTGTACTTGTTTTCTATTTGTGCCAGACAAACACATTGATATCATTAGAGACTTGCGAGTGAACAAAGCAATATTTAATACCATATGATTCCAATGTTATATGAACATTATGTCTGTCATTTCAATTCGTTAAAGTGACAGATCATCTAAGATGGTGAGTAAAAACGTGTAAAATCTATATTTTGTATTTCAGTAAATGTTTCATTCATGGTATTTCCAAACATCCTGATATCTAAAAAAACTGGTGAGAAGGTGAATAAAAGTGGAGATATGAATATTGTGTTCGTATTCTGAATCAATCTAGATTTATTGTAAAAGAGTTGTAAAAGAGTTGTATATGTACATTTTGCTGAAACATTAAAATCCAAAGTTGCTGTCAGTCCATTGTAGGCATGGTAAATGAAAAATAAAACGTGTTTAGTCTCTATTAATTTTTGAAAATAGTATATCTATTTTTTCTTGAAAATAATAGTTTCGTATAATTCTCAGGTAGTAGTTCTGATTTAACAACAATATGACCACGTAAACATTGTATTAATATAGAAAACCGCATTGTATAAAGGTTTAACTACCACATTTTTCAAAATCTACCGAAAAATACCGCATTTTCGCAAATCTTCAGCAAAAGTAGGTTTTTCAAATAATTACCGTAAAAACTACTGCAATTTTCAAAATCTACCGTAAAACTACCGCATTTTTTCAAAATCTTCCGCAAAAGTACCGTTTTTTTCAAAAAATTACCGTAAAAACGACCGCAATTTTCAAAATCTACCATAAAACTACCGCATTTTTTTAAAGTTTTCCGCAAAACTACCGTAAAAACTACCGCATTTTTTCAAAATCTACCGTAAAACTACCGCATTTTTTCAGAATCTTTCGCAAAACTACCATTTTTTTAAAAAACTACCCTAAAAACTACCGCATTTTTTAAAATCTACCGTAAAACTACCGCATTTTTTCTAAATCTTCCGCAAAACTACCGTTTTTTTCAAATTTTACCGCAAAATTACACTTTTTTTCAAAAATCTACCCCAAACCTCTGAAACTACAGTATTTTTTTAAAATCTACCGCAAAAACTACCGTATTTTTTTAATCTACCGCAAAAACTACCGTTTTTTTTAAAAATCTACCGCAAAAACTACCGTTTTTTCTAAAATCTACCGCAAAAACTACTGCAATTTTGTTGAAAAATACCGTAAAAACTACCGTATTTTGAAAAAATCTACCGCAAAAATACAGCAATTTAAAAAAAATCTACCGCAAAATTTTGGTCTTAGGTTGGCAGGTATGAATTCAATTGCATTTTTATATCACCTCCAATAACTGGGTAAAATAAAGTTTTTTGAGAGAAAATTATACACAGAAAATGTAAGACCATAATGGTTAAATATGGAGATCTCTTAAGATATCATTTAAAACCAGACTTCAGTGAGATCTCGGTTCCTATATAGAAAAGCCTCTATTGAAAGTTTGAACCCATAAAAATCAGAGATTGGTAAAGCATCCACTACTTATTGATCACCCCTACAACACAGAATAATGATAAATAAAACTGAAATATATCTATACAAAATATTTATTCATTTTTCTGTAATATGGAACATCAACTCGGAATATAACTTTCAAGTACATTTACATATAACATCTACGAAACTATGGAGTGTTTCTTTTTTTAAACTACAAAATAAGAACAAGAATGAATATAAAATATTACATAGGCCTGTATACAGAGATCTAGATAAGCTGAAAAAAATATAACCCAATGTGGCTTATATTTTATGAATATCTACTAGTGTTAAAGGTACTATCAGATCTTACGTGTAACCTTAACAAAAAATATTTTCAATTTTTGTATATGCTGGCCTCCTATCATTCTATTTCATGTCTATTTTCTAAAAATCCCCCTAGTGCATACTTTATTTGAGGAAAATAAAGCTTTAACAACCCACTAAACCATTCAGAAGCCTCCCTGGTCAAACTACTTTAACTGTTTAAGGAGTTTTATTTTGTTCTGACAGATTCTTTTGTCATTTTATAATGGAAGAAATATGCCTGGTCAATATATCATTTTTTAGAGAAAAATCCTACAAAAACACAATTGACATGCAAGGGCTTTATTTCCCACATTAAAAAGTGAAATTATTAGCAAAAAGAAAACAGTAACATGGCTAACACATACTAATATACACATTGTAACTGGAGTTCAAACTGAAGGCTGTACTTTGACTAGTCTAAGAGAGTAAACTTACAAATAAGTGACTTCTCTCAAGATGAATATTCAATTTTCAATCAAACACATGTACATGTACTCGTATTTTAGACAAATATCTAATTTACCAGCGACTGATAGAGATTGAAAACTCCACCTCAACTCTCACAATGATTACCAAATGGGAAATGAGATTTAGACAAACTTTTGATGACAAAACATAAATGGCACATACTAATTTGCTCATTCTGAGTGGTATATATATAGGTTATTTACTGGGAGGGATTGAATATGGGTTTTATTCCGAGGGACAATATCATATTTTGCGAGGAATGAAACCCATTTTCAATCCCGACCAGAAATAACCTATTTATTCCATAATACATTCCTCTAAAATGTTACATTTTGAAAATGCTTTTATCAATTAGCCAAGGTTAAAAATAACAGGAAAACCAAAAATAGGTTAATACGTTCCAATACGATTTTTTCCCGGGGACAATACGATTTTTTCATGTAATACGCTCCAATACGATTTTTTTCCCGGGGACAATACGATTTTTTCATGTAATACGATTCAATACGATTTTTATTCCTTCATATTTCCCTGGGAAAACAGCAGTATTATGGAATAATAAAGTATATTAAAGTTTTTAATGGTAATATTGGGAGGATGGAAACCAAATATATTTCTAGAATATTTGGAAAACAAAGCAAATACCTTACATGTAGACAACTACAAGCATCATGTCACCAACAGGGATTATTCTATTTATTTCGAAATATGCTTTCAAGAACATTTGTATTTGATCATTATTTAGTTTTGTGCGTATGCCATGGACCATATAGAGATGAATGTGATGAGCTGCTGTTATAAAATGATACCATTATGTACATATATTATACAGTGTAATAAACAAGGTACACTAGAGTGTACAATAAATACAAGCAATTTGAAAATCAGTATCTCATACCTGTAAATCTTATTTCAGGAAAAATCATTGACTTAGTACAATAATGGCATTTAATTTAACTTAATAAAACAATTATTTTTATAAGTATATTTTATCATACCAACATTCAAGCACTATCAATTTGTTTACTCAATAAAATTGCAATATTACATGAGTGAAACTGGCAGAGGTTCTATGTTCATCATTGTCATGTTCAGTAACATCCTTGTCAACCACTTCTAGCTGAGCTCATGCAATCAATAATTGATTGATTTGAAAAAGGAATTTGTAATCAGTATGATTGTACATAAAACCTGTCTGAACTAGATGCTCAAAAATAAACTTACTATAATAGGTGATACAGTGAAACCTGTCTTAGTGAACACCTATCTAGTGAACACCTGTGTCTAGTGAACACCCCTTCTCAGCACATACTCGACTCCACTTACTTCTGTACAAAATTGCCTCTCTGTTCTATAGGTATTCACTGTACACAGGTTTTACTGTATTTTGATTCGTAAACCAAAGATACTCGAGACTTTGATTTATTTTCACAAACATTACCACAAATGCACGAGGGCTGTTTACAAAAAAACTGGATCATTTGAACAGCCATTGTACATTTGATTCATAAATGAGCATTACAATGGAAGGTGATGAATAGAATGAAAATTTCCTAAACAGCTCATAAATTATAATTCTTGTTTAGCTAGACGCTTTTTATGGGATTCAGGATCAAATTTAGGCATAAGTTCTTCAATCCTGCTAATAAAGTCTGATTTCTCTGTGCATCCCTTACATTGGTCATTCCAGTCTGATAGAATCTTCTTAAGGTCTTTAACTTTCAATTTCTTGAAATTAACTTCTGAGAGATCAATGGTCTTATCTGCAAAGATAATATAATAACATAAGATGATATGAACACACAACAACCAATGAATCTAATATTCCCGAAAATTTGGACACCATCTAACAGTGAAGTCTTCCATGTCAATCAAGTAATATGTTGTCAAGTTAAACTAAAAAGCTTATGTGTAAGTAACTTGCTCATTGCTGTAATCTGCTCATTGCCACTATATTTACTAAATCTGGAGACTTCATACCAAAGTTAAATCTTACAATATTGAATGACATGTTGACAGTAAAATGGCAGCAATGTTTACATTCGATTTAATAAATGTGGCAATGCAGCAATACATCAATTACAATCCCAAATAAAATATCTGGTCTCATGCAAGACATAGAATAGATAGAGATCTTCATTACAACAAACAAGGTAATCATAAACATAAAGCATTTTCATAAATTCTCAGAACTCTTGGAAATTTTGGACTTATAAGAAACTTGGCAGAACAAGAAAGTGATAAAAATGGTGTAAAATTACGACTATTACTTCACAAATGACCTTCATCATGTTTCCATATATGTACTTTGCATGGTAACTAATGGGATTGGTTACTTACCATATTTCAGCTCACATATTTGAGAATCTTTAGAGTTCAGTTTTTCACATATTTTTTCTGCAGGCATGTAATAGCTGACTGGTTTTGACATTGAGTTTAGGAGACCAGTGGCTGAAGTTTCTGAACCTCCGATATAGTAGCACTGGAAATATACAAATACATCATTCTATTATTAATATATATATAAGATTAGATGAATGCCTGTTGTGTATCTTTCAAAAGTAATATTCCACATACCACGTAGGCATATTCAAAGATCCTATAATTACATTTCGATGTGCATGCTGCACATTTTTTGCATTATATTTAATTTCAAGAAATGCCACAGACATGTAATTCATTCATCAGCACATATTATTTGCATGATGTACACTTTTTATGATGGATAGTCGAGTGATCAACATAGAGGAATGTAATCAAAAAGTTGGTACTTACGAATCGCTCATCTTTTCCTCTTGCATTATTTTTACAGAATTTTCTAAAGTTGTCTTCTATTTTTTCTATGGATTTTCTTTTGTCATCCGGCAGCTGCTCTATAAATCTTTCAAGAAATTTCACACATACTGAAAAAAGGGAATTTTAATTTAGAAATAAATGCATATTAATCAAGTGTAATCAAGTAAGTCAACCTACATTTTATTTAAAACTACAAAAACTAGAAAATGGCAGTGCCACAAAGTAGGAAATCCAAATTTATAAATAAAACATAATTTCACAAGTATTAAAGTTATATTTAGCTATAAATTGTTCAAAACAACATGCATAAAGAGGGTCTTGTTGTTATGCTTTTTAAATGTTGCTGTTTGTGCATTTTAAAGTAGAATTTTTAGATAATCAAAGCCTAAAAATTATAGGTCCAGTCCATCATATAATCTAAAGTATCTTGGTTAATATATTTTTGGAAATAGTAAGATGTGTCCCATAATAATCGTGTTATAACTGTAGATCTTACATCTTACAGAGGACCCCTAAAGACATGTGTTGAGAGACTGCCATTGAAGTAAAAATAGTTCTAAAGAAAAAGACATTCTTGGCATGCTAATGAGATTTCAGCACAGACCTTAATCATTCTACCTTCTGCAACTGCTTTTTCGATCGCCTGGGTTCGATAGCCAGAGATGAATTTAGAAATGACAATAGGATATAAGTCTACAGTACCAGTGGTTTGACCGTGATCTTAAAATGTGTATACTCATGGGTGTAGGCAGGGGGTTCGTGGGGCTCATGTGAACCCCCCTTTTGCCTCGAACACCCCTTTCATTATCAAACTCTCGGCTGGGAACAACCCCCTTTTCTGAAAGACCAAAACTAACCCCACTCTCAGAAGATGACTGTTTTTGTGTGAACAATGAATCGCACACTTGCCATTTGATGATGACCTTGCTATATTCTGTGAATTTTATTGGTTTGTTGAAATCGTGCAAACCCCTCCCCTCTTCACCTTAACCCCCCTTATGTTATAAAATTAGCCCCCCCCCCTAATAAATCCTGGTTACGTCGCTGATAGATCTACTGGATAACAAATGGGCCGATTCCAATTTAGTTTACAGATTCCACAAGAGAAGGTCTTAATTTGATATGTAATAGTGTTATACTAACCTTCACAATCGCCCGCCTTTTTAGCCAGAGATGTTCCAAAGCAGATAGATATAAATACAAGCACTGCAGCTGGATAAAATGAATTTGAAAAATTCATTTTTGAAGTTTTTAATTTGTTTGAAGTTTTCAATCCAAGAAGTACACAATATTCCTTTCAAAACTTTCTCTAAATAAACCTAGTATGAATGTTGTATATGTAGCATCAATTCCTCCTCTTTGAAAGAAAGTATACGTCAAAAAATAAAAGAAACGTGTCCAATTTTACAAAAGCCAAGTGAAAGCGGAAATGGAGTTGGCGATTGGTGATTGGTTGAAATAGTCTCGTGCACATTCGAGAAAATACGAGACTAATACGAGATTCAAGATGTCAGCTGCCTTCGGATTACATTTTGGTTCAACTTCAGCGTGTTTGGCTGTATATAAGGTAATATATCGTTTGGAAAATGGGTGTTATAAAATCTGTATAAATGTCTCATAAATTATTCCTAAGTAGTATTATAATCAGGTCAACCATTATAGCATATTTCATTTGTTCAATTAAAATTCATTCATTTTTTTGTCGGCGTGGGCTTTCTTTTCCACTTTCAGTTTCACGTTTCCGTTGAGTAAGGATCAGTTAAGCTCATAAGAACCTACAAATGTAGAGTGTGAGAAAATTACAATTTCCGCAAATTTCGTAAAGTTGTCATGGCGCAATATAGGATAAATGTGACCTGATTTGCATTTTTTCTTATTTTTGACATTTTTTTTTCTTTAGACTAGGGCAAAGAAGTGTAATTTCGGCGTGTGTGGTAATGTCAACATAGAAATGGGGTAACTTTGACACTTACTTATTGGAAGTAAAGTTTAGTTTTCCGCCATGTTTGGTTTCTGAAAAAATGTTATTCCGCAAGATCTCGATCCATGAAAGAAATAGAACATGCCTCCGAAATTAGAGCAAATAAACAACAAGTTGTCGAAGTTACTCCATTTGTCAAAATTACCCAAAAATAGTGTCAATGTTATACCCCTTCGCCATAGGCTTTACTTACTTGCTATATACTTTGTTTGTAATATGCCAGCCATGGTTGTTCGATGGGATTTGCTACGCTTTGGCGTTGCTGTTGTCTAGTTCCTTTTGCCAAAACTGGCGATAAACTTATGAAAGGTGAGCAATGAAATCTTGGAATTTTGGAGCAACAACCGTACCTTTGTCGTATGTATTGTATTGAATCCTTTGAAAAACAGCCTACTTCAGTCATCAAAATGTTATAATTTATCGATAGTGAATAGGATTTTATGTTAAATTGTAGTCTATGTATGTTTTCAAGAAATTGTGAGAATATGAAGGCTCACAGACAAAGATAAATAACAATTTTGTAACATTTAAAAATGGGTTGGTGGTTGATTATCAGAAATTAATACCAAACAGGAAATGAAAAATACATAATTTTGTCATATTAAGTCATAGGTTAACATTGAATTTTGGAACTAAGATAACAGAGTTCTGGTTTGTCAGTTTTACTTTTCTCCTATATATCATTTATGTGACCAGGATCGCAATGGTTGTGGTCAGAATGACCCTGTAAAATGAGATGAATGATAAGCGCTTTGAAAATTTCCTTTATGATCACATTTTTTCAACTTATTTTCAGTTACAATTACAAAGGGGTGAAAAAGCTGTTTCATCATGTTTTAGTCATTTTGACCATGGCCATTGTCACATAATAAATTAGATTATTCCCACTGACAAGTGATTGACAGTTGACACATCATATACACTTGTGTTGTTGTTCTGCACTGTCACTTCCTGCAACGCATGCACATTCAAAGTGGCGTTAAGTAATGATTTCTATTATCATAAACAGTCACCTAAAGTGTATTCTTTTTTTCACAGGATGGGAAGACCGATGTTGTAGCTAATGATGCTGGTGACAGAACCACTCCAGCTGTAGTGGCCTACACAGACCATGACCAGGTATAAACTTCTTAATTTATTCTAATTTCATGTGGCACTGATGCTTCAAAATAAGTAGCAGTATATTCTAATGAATATTACATGTACAATCCATATACCAGTTTGTTTAATAAGTTCACCAAGAATGCTCTCATTTCAAAGGTTTTTGATATTTTCTCATGACATCTTCACATAATGTGTGAAAAATACTTTGTAATTGATTTTTATATAACTATCTAACCACCAATTGTATTTTAATGTTTCATGAATTTTGTATTCAGACTGTAGGACTAGCAGCTAAGCAGGGTATTGTCAGGAATGCTACTAATACTATATGCCATGTTAAACAAGTAATTGGCAAGTCTTACAAGCAACATGAAAAAGAAAATTCTACAAGTGGTTCATATGCAAAGGTATGTACAACAGTAATATTAATACCTTTTTTTAGTATTAGAATAAAATTAATAAAGTAATTATCCTACCAAACAAGGTCAAAAGGGATATAGAGAATCTGGCTGTTTGTCTGTCCATCTGCCATCTATTCATATAACCACAATGTGATTATAAAAAGAATATTTCAAAATGTAGACTGTACCTCTATTAAATCTTCTATCAATCACCGATTCCTGACATGAAAGTGAATGATATTTCTCTATTCCAGGTTATTAACAAAGAAGATAAGATTCTTTATGAAGTAGACTATAAAGAAAAAACATTACATGTTTCACCTGAAGAAGTTGCTACAAAGATTTACAAAAAAATGATGGGTATGTTTTATATTATGCAATTACTTCCTATTTATGGGTGTCATCCAGTCAGTTTATTGCTACATATCATTTTACAAAAATCCCAATGTGGAATGTATGACTGGGTAGGTTCTGGTGAGTTTGGTTCAGAAAAAATTGGGAAGTCATCTGAAGATCAATAGTAGCTGATAACATTTAGAAACACAGTTTTCCTAAACTCTCATTAAAAACGAGATTTCAACTAGATTTCAAAGCTATTTAGCAAACCTTCCATTATATTTCTGGTATAACAATGTTAGTGTAATCTTTACAGTCACTGGTAGCATGGAAGATGTTACTTAAGTCAATACAATTGATGATATATTAATTGTGTGTATTATATCACATGATGTTTTCCATGTTAAAATGTTTTGTTGAATGTTACAGAAATACTGCAACAAGTTATAAAGCTTGATGCATTTCTTAATCATTGCAATTTAAACAGTCACCTTACTGAATCTCATGAATGTGTTCATAAATTACAGAAACTGCTACAAGTCATGGTGATGGAGACATACATGATTGTGTTCTAACTGCTCCTAGAGACTTTTCTTCACAACAACGACAAATCCTTAGGTATGTTATTACACTACCTGTGCCAATCCAAAATACACAATTTGAATTAACAACATGACACATATACAACCAACATACCTTCATATTTTTCTGTTATTTTAAATATTAAGCAAATATTTTATTCTATGTAGGACAATACCTGTTGATCTTGCAAAAATTATTGAAAGTGCAACAGGTAGTGCCCAAACATAGAATGAAATCTTTGTTTTATTATATCATTGCTAGACATTCTCTATGATCACTTTGCATATCAAAGAAATATATAATATTTGTTTTAACCTGTGAACATTTATTTTAATCAATAAATATATCATAAACTCATCAATTAACATTATTACGTACAGGTATCATTGTATAGTACACTTTTATGTTCATCCAGCACAGTTGTTAGAATCCCCAGGTGCGCAATACTCCGGGCAATACGTCTTTTATATTTCAATAACTCTGAGAGCTGTGAAAAACGCTATGATATTTTTGATCACATGGTACTGAATCAGCCAATAAAATCACATGGTTTCTAGCAATGATATTATAATAGTTTTTAGGTAGAATCTGTCATGAATGTGTGTACCAGATTTATATCTTAGATAATACCTTTAACCTATTGTAAGCATTAAACACAGGTTGACACCTTTAGGTCAAATCCAATAGTTGAGGATTCGAATCATCTTGGGTTGAATAAATACTTCATTGGTCAAATAAATAGTCCACAGGGGATGATACTTTTACATCTTTCACGCAGATGTTTTTCAAAGCATTGCAAACTAACCTAAGTATTGTGAAGAAACCATGACTTGTGTGTTCTGTTACATAAGTTCACAAGTTCTTTAATTTTACTGTATGAATGACTACAATAGACATAGATAAGATCAACCCACCCCTTAATAGATCTGATAGATCTTAATAGAACTACTATGTGTACAATCCAACCTGAGTTGGAACGCACACCAGTCCCCTTTGACCTAACCTGGATTAATTTATTTTTGACCAGTCTCATCCCTAATGCTTTCATGAATTGAAGTCTTAATATTCACATATACATATACATGTACATTTATAGTAGTAACTTCTATGAACCATAGTTTTTTGCATAATATAAGTTATTTGTTGTATTATATGCTTTGTGTTGCAGTGATTGTGCTACAAAGGCAGGGTTCAATATATTACGTGTCATCAATGAACCAACTGCTGCACTACTAGCATATGACATAGGCCAGTTAGATATAGAAGAATACTGGTAAGATATGCTCCACATTTGTACTTTTGTAGGAAATATACAAAATCTAGCTTTTCAATTCACCATGATAAAATACCAACTTATAATTTACTTCTTTTTTACATATTTTTACAAATCTATTTCTATTACGCAGGTGAATAGCTTTACTTTTAATATGTTGATAAAAGTAGGAAATAATAATAACCTTGAATGTCTCTCATTTTCAGCAACACTGTGGTATACAGACTTGGTGGTGTCTCACTAGATGTAACCGTGGTTACATGTTGTAATGGCATGTTTCGTTTACTCTCCACAGTCACTCATGCAGACATTGGTGGAGACTCTTTCAACGATGCAATCATTGAGTACTTCTGCGGTGAATTTAAAAGGTATAATTATCTTTTTTAACTATTGGGATAAAGTAATTATGGTTATGATCATTATTGTGATTGGCTTTTTTGTCATTGTAATCTCAGTATTTTGCTATCCCAGTAGAACCACTTTTCTTCTAGTTTGTATGTTTGTTAGACACCAAGTTCTAGAGCGTCAGATCAACTTTTTGTTGGTCATCTTCTTGCAGCCGTTTTGGAAGTTTTTTTATGAAATAATTGAAAAATGGCCACCACTTTTATTGCCAAAATATGTTTTCAGTCAGTCTTTTGAATGCCTTATCATTATTTGAGCCTAGTACCCATTATATTATTTATTTTAAGATTTTGCTCAGGAACTTCTCTCTTTTATATTCAGGCAATGGAAGGAAGATATTCGTGGTAGCAAGCGGTCTATATCTAAGTTAAAGGTCGCTGCGGAGCGCTGTAAACACACACTCTCTACACTTCCGGAATCTCAGTGCCATGTTGACTCCCTTTATGATGGTATAGACTTCAATGGAAAAATAAGCAGGTTAGGATCCCCAGTAAAAATAAAGTATTTAGTCTATATTACTCAATGTAACATTGAGAGTATATTGTTATTGTTTCCCACTGTGTGTTTGTAGAGCCAGATTTGAAGGTCTCTGTAGTGGACTGGTTCAGAGGTGTCTAAATCCACTAGAAACTGCACTAAAGGAAGCTGGACTTCAAAAGAATGAAATAAATAAGGTAACATGAATAATTATATTTTCAATGAAATAAAAAGTTTGCTAGTGAAATAAATTATTTTTTCAATATTTGAAGATGGTCAGAGTACAGTAAGTTCAACCATAATCCACATCATTCCTGATTATCTATTTTCTATTTACATTGTATTTAATCTTACATGTATTCTCATCTTAATTCAGTCTGGCGGTGTAATTTTTTCTGCAAACATTTTTACGGAACTGTCTTCTTTGCTCAAGGTTATTCTGACTGGAGGTGCTGCTAAAACACCTGTTTTACAAAGCCAGTTACAGAACTACTTCCCAGGGGCAGAGTTACTAAATAGTACACCCCCAGATGAGGTCATTGCTGTTGGAGCTGCTAAACAGGTATGCCATAATCAAACAGAAGATTAATATACTACAATGTTAGCACAATGACAAAGGGGAAAAGCCAAGAATTATATGTAAACCTACTCATATCAGTGAGATCCTTACTCTGCAATGTAAGTGAGATAAAACCCAGACTTGTAAATATTGGAATCCTTCTTTAGTAAGGACCTACTCTCTCATGTAAATGAGAACCTAACACTGGATCATATTTTAACATTTGAGAAGGACCTACTCTACCACGTAAATCCTACAGAGTTATATTAAATTGTGTAAATAAATCTGGTTTCAGGCTGCCATCCTAACGGGCAATGAGAACCATGAATCAAAACAAAATGAACAAGAAACTGAAGTAGAATGTATAGTATCACCCATACAAATAAAGGTAAGTATATTTTAGTAAATTCATAAAAAATAGCATAAATAAAGCAATAGATATTGTTGACATGTATGTGTCTGGGCAGAAGGTCAACATATAAAACATGTAAAAAAGACTTTTACAATGCAACAGCTGACCAGGTGTAAGTACGTTCAGTAAATTACATGTCAGCCATTTTGCTCTTTAATGTGTGATATTTATAGTGTTTGTCTTATTCAACTTTCAGTTAATGACTGATGACACTGCCACCTATAGTACAATATTTCCTGCCATGATGCCAGTTCCAGGGAGACGACAACGTAAAATTCAACTTGGACCTCAACAGACTTCTTGTGTCCTTGAAGTATTTGAACAACGAGATGAAGAAAATAGAATACTTATTGGAAAGGTAAACTAAGGATTCAGTTTATAAAGTAGCCACAAATAAGTTGGTGCTTATTTTTTTAGTACCATTTTTTGTGAATTGAGTTTTGTGTTCAGCGTTAGCATTTTGAATCGTGGATGATTTGAAAAATGCAACCATTTTTAATGCCAAAAATAAGGTTTTCAGGTTTTTTAGTCTTGAAGTATTCCATCAATTTGCTTAAAATTGTACATGGACCTTATTTCATAGCTTTAGAATACTGTGTACTCGCTTTGGCAAAATACATCAACATTCAAAATTATTTTTGAAGTATCACTTTTTGTGTTATAAATACAGGGTGATCACTAAGTTCTGGGAATTGGTCTGTCATTTCAATATTTTTCAACCAATTCAGTTGAAACTTCCAGCAAATGTACATTGCATAATTCTGAATTGACAGACAATGTTTCATATACATATCACTTTTACAATTTATTTTATTATCCCATCGAACGAAGTTCGGAGGGATATAGGGAACGCCTCCGTCCGTCCGTCTGTCTGTCCGTCCGTCCGTCCGTCCGGGCAATAACTCAAATACTGTTGGCCCGATTTTGTTCATATTTTGTACAAATATAGCCTATGGGGGAAGAAGTTCTGCTCGAAAGCCGATTTTCAAAATGGCCGCTCATTTCAAAATGACGGCCATTTTAGTGACGATTTTACAGTAATTTAGGTGCAATATGTAAAACTGTAATAGCAATATGTTTTAAATGTAAAAAAATTATAAAGGACAATAATAATGCTACAAATGTAGATATTTAAGAAGCACATGGCAGCCATCTTGAAAAATGGCGGCCTTTCTTGTCATTTTACGATTTTTGCTGTAACTCAAAAAATAGTGGAGCGATTTTGTTCATATTTGGTATGTCAATACTATAAGCATTGCACACTGTCTAAAGACACTTTTGGTAGAAGGCGGCCATTTTTCAAAATGGCCGCCATTTTAATGTACTATAACTCGAAAAGTAGTGGAGCGATTTTGTTCATATTTGGTATGTGAATACTATAAGCATGGCACTCTGTCCTATGACACTTTTGGTAGAAGGCGGCCATTTTGAAAAAAATTTTGAAAAATGACCGCCATTTTAACGTATTTTACTATAACTCGAAAAGTAGTGGAGCGATTTTGTTCATATTTGGTATGTGAATACTATAAGCATGGCACACTGTCCTATGACACTTTTGGTACAAGACGACCATTTTGAAAACTGTCTATTTCTAATGACACTTTTGGTAGAAGGTGGCCATTTTGAAAAATGGCCACCATTTTAACGATTTTACTATAACTCGAAAAGTAGTGGAGCGATTTTGTTCATATTTGATATGTGAATACTTTAAGCATGGCACATTGTCTAATAAAACTTTGGGGAGTAGTCGGCCATTTTGAAAAATGGCCACCATTTTTATGTGTGTTATTTTACAAGTACGTGTGCGATTTTTCAAATATTTTAGAGGTGGCTTCTTAAAAGCATATTATTTCTTCTGATGACAACTTGGCTAGTGAGCAACCATTTTGAAAATGGTGGCCTTTCTGGAGTGTTGTTTTATGATATTTGCTATTCGTTTGTAAAAATGCCAGCCATTTCTGTTCGATGGGATTCGCTACGCTTTGGCGTTGCCGTTGTTCTGGTTGTAATTATAAAAAAAGTAAAAGTGGTCCGCGGGTCAGAAAATTTTGACTGCGTTAATTTGAAAATTTCCTGCTAAAACATATTCATCTTGCCTAGATGGTTGGTTCAAACTTATTGTACTAGAGGCAGAACAGTACTCTTTAAGTCATTTATTCAGAAGTATTCTTCATTGCTGGGAGGATCATTTCATTTGTAATGATTTGATAGGCCTGGATGCACATGTATTGTTGTCAAACCTAGTCCATAAAGTTGCTTTCCAGTCCTCCCTTTGGTATCCCTTGAAAATTTGCTCAAGCTGTTGAGATCAGTCCATCATCAGAACCAAACTTATGATGATCTCTCATATGATGCTTCAACAGTCAAATTTAGTGAACCTAATGCCTAAATGGTACATCATCTGGTGAACATTATATGGTGAATATGGGGCATGAACAACTTGTGTGAACCCTAATTCTTCAAGAGTAGTATTGGCAATTTGAGGAGCGGGAAGAAGCATAGTCATAATGGATGATAACTCCCCGCTATTTTGAGTCATGATTGTGACTTTGAGAGTCTGACCAATGATAAGAAAATTGAGCAAAGTACACTTTTATATCACAATATATCACAATACAGATGTTACTTTAGAAACTAAAGTTAGAAATATTTGAAAACATAAAAAGTCAGAGAAATTTACCAAATAGGTATTAATTAACCATACTTTTGGATCAAGTAAAATAAAAATGAATTCAAGTTTTGCTTGACCCGCTATGCCATTTGTCATGTTGCTATAGTAACAATAATTATCCATTGTGACATCATATGACAATGAGACTATTTTATCCAACCCAAAATTACATTCTCCATTTACCTTGAAAATTTCAAGTAGATTGGTTGAAAAATAATGAAATGACAGATAAATTCCCAGAACTTAATGATCACCCTGTAGATCCAAATTGCAACTATTTGCTTGAAATTGTACAGGCAGCTAAGTCTCTTAATTTTTAATTAACAAGTTTCAGCTTTGTTGCTCTTTTCTTGTCTTATATTTTCAATATGGTATTTGTGTTTCAGGTGGTACTTCGTGATTTACCAGTCCAGTCAGAAGTGTTGGCAGTCTTCCATGCAAGGAGGTATGTACAGAGAGCTTATTTACATGGAGGAATCAAGGGCTTTTAATATATCACTGAACATTTAAGTTGTTGAAGTTGTTACTTCAAGAGCAATAAAAAGAAGCTTTCTGCCCATCCATGTGTTTGTCTGTCCGTTCGACTTAAATATCAGTTATAAAATTTGGTCCAAATTTTGTAGGCTAAAATATGATATAATAGGCAAATGACCTCTGTTCAAGAAGGCATTTCCAATTTTTCAAAATAGTCGCCATCAGTGTTTTAAATCAAACAAAATTTCTGGGGAAATTTTGTTGATATCTAGTTTTGACTTCAGGTTATTTTGTTATATTTGATTTCTCAATTCTAGTACTAAATAAGTTATTTTATTATGTTATAAAAATGTTTGTTATAATATAAGCAATATTTGTTATATATTTTTCAGGGAGGGGAGTATCCATATTACCTGTACCGAGAAAACTAGTGGAAAACATGCAGACATTCTTATTGAAGTTGAATGACGACACATGACAATTAGGTCTTAGAAATCATCACTTGTGGCTTATTTGCGTCTTGAGTCCAGAAAATCATCTGTCAGGAATACAAGGACTTAGTTGCCATCTAGACCTGACTAGCAAACACAAGTTATTTATTCCCAGTTTTTCCCCTGCTGCTGGCTTTATCGTCCTGAGAAAATATTCATCGTAGTCGTGTTTTGAAATACAAAGTAGAGTGGAATGGACTGAAATGAGCAAAGAAAACGGGTATTTAACCAATACTCCATGTTGTATAGAAATGTCAGAAAATCACACAGTTCATTCAAATGATCGAGAGAAAAACATTAAAGACAATTGTGGTTATTTTTCCTCAGTTATTATCTTGTAAACTGTTTTTTTAATCTCATACTGAAATCCTGATTCAATGTTCTCATGGGAGTATTTTCTCAATAGTACTCTTCTTATGCAAAATGTAAGGTTCATCATTAGCAGATAAATCCTGAAATCAAATCAACTCGAGTCAATTTCACATTGATCTCTATAGGGCTTTATAGATTTTTACTAGTTTTTTGTAGAACCTTATTAGGGATATGGAGTAAAATAATAGCCAGTGATATTTCTGATGTAAAATTGAAATTGTTGTATCCTAGGAACATATCACACTTTAATGTTTCCAATAAACAAAGATTTAGGGGAAACAATTGTATTAAGACACCCTTCTGTTATTGAATCAGTATTTACCGCAGCTTTCCATTCTGTTCAATGTTAATTCTGTTTATGTGAACTCCTCAATCTTAATGCCAAGTTATATGAACATTTATGGTTTTGTTTGGATGCACCCTTTACATTCATTGTTTCCATTTGATATCAGCACAAAATGTAAACTCTTTTATCCAGTCTTTAAAGTTTCACTGGATATGAAAGCCAGGAATAGAAAGCATTATGTTATATGCTGAAAAAATGATTTGATATATTTGATCAATTATTGAAGTAATGAAAAATTAAGATACAGAAATGTCTAAATTATTGTTGAATAATCTTGGAAAAACACTCTCATCTTATTATTCCACAGAATGTAGTCTGTGAGGGATATAGAGAAGCCTTCCGTCAGTCCATTTGTCTGGACAATAACTGAAATATTGGTTCACAGATTACTACTATCTGGCTATTTGTATCAATGAATTGTTCAAAATGATGAGTGATTTGGACTTGCTACCCCGTGGAGTTGATGTTTTTCTAGTCTCAGGTCGTTACTGTACCTTTATATGTCAGATTTTCTAATGTTGAAATAATAGAGAATTATTTGCATTTCCTGTGACTAATAAATTTGTATAGTAAATAAACACTGTCAACACTGTAATGTTATATGCTTATAAACTTTTATTAAAAACAAATAAAATTCTGAACTTCTGATCAACAACCAAGACATATTATATTTTGTTATTGAATTATTGAGTACATTATGCCATTTTGAAGCCAAGGAATGATAGGGATATAAAATACTTGGAAATTTTTACATAGTGATAACTTGAGATGGTCCCATCAATGTAAAATTCATCTCTGAATGTTGAGATTTTCTTAAAAGGGTAATATTGGTTACCATAAACTTAGGAACTTACACATATGGTAGTTTTCACTTTCTAAACTTTTGTACTTTTTAAAAGATGGTTATATTCTGTCCAAAAGATGGTTATAGTCTGTCCTGTGAATGCCTTAATTGTTTATATTTAAAAAAACACAATCGGATCAGAAATTAGAATACCTTTATTCCCCCATTGCTGTACATCTTACACTTACAGAAGTCATCTAATAATGGTAAACCAGGCAATACCCTTTTTACATAATTCTTTATAATTTTTTGATTGCGATTAAGTATAATGACTTAATATTTATTCCAAGAATAATAAAACTGTGTACTGTCTTTTGGATTCTCAGTCAAAAATGGTTTCAGCTTGTCTCAATCAAATGAATTCCAGCATGATACACTACTATATTTTGTGCTTCGTGAGTTTTAGAAAATTCGTGAAATATAATAGCCACGAAATTCCAACAGTTCTAATATAATAGTGTCGAATATAAGTGGCAGTACAGTATTCCTCATTTTGGGTATTCAAGGGTTAATATGAATCCATTTACAACTGTATTACTATTACTTAAGTACAGATTCACAATATTTAATATAAGCCACATTTATGCTATTTATAATGGTGTTACTATTGTTTCTATCTCAAAACCAGTTAGTTCTGTAGCCATAAGGTACTCCTTTATCCTTGTTGGAAGGGGGAGGTCCTTCACTCCCTGCATCAATCGATACCCAAGGCGTCCTCTGATAGACTTCCTGCAGGCACGTTGCAGAGTGGGAACTCCTTCAGTAAATTCATTCAGATAGTCAGGCATGCTAATATCTGGCGCCAGAACTTCACAATTTAAACTACAGATCATTTGTACCATGTTATAATGAGACCGTTGCATTGCAATTGTTGCAAGTGATTCACTATTGCCAGTGATGTAAATTTTACCTGGCATGTCAAAGTCATAGTTATTGTGTATGAGAATTTTGAGCATATCTAAGTCATTCGAGAGGATGAGTCCTAATGCTGGAAATTCTCCATAATCATTTGGTTGAACTTTCACACCAGGTGTCGCCAGTAATATGCTAGTGATTTCTCGATACTTGTGTCGTATTGCAATATGTAAAGTTGTGTTGCCCGATTTGAACTCTTTCAAATTCAGGTCACAGTTATAATCAATCATTTTACTGACTACATCTTTATTTCTGTAACTGATTGCTTCCATGAGAGGTGTTCTGCCTTTATCATTTTGACAATTCTTATCACTACCTGCTATCATAAGGTATGTTATTATATCCATGTCCGCTAGCCTACATGCTAGATGTAGTGCTATGTCACCATTCATGTTGCGAGCGTTCACGTGACATTTTGCCTTCACAAGTGTCTTAACAGATTGTATTTGTCCTGTTTGAACAGCTTTCATTAATGGCGTCTTGTTTGTCATGTCAGGGATATCTATACAGGCCGCCCTGAGAATTAGGTAATCTAATATATCGCATGATCCATCCTCTGCAGCGTAATGACATGCTGTGTTTCCAAATGCATCAGATCTATTCACCTCGGCACCAGCATTTAGTAGCATCTCCAGACATGCCAAATTATTCCCAGTCACGGCATAATGTACTGGTGTACGTCGTGTTTTTGGCGTAATAACATTCACGTCACACCCAGCCTCTATGAGAAACTCTACCATGTCTTCATATCCCCGATAAGTAGCAAGATGTATTGGGACCATCCCTTTATGGTTAGAATCCCATACTACCTTAAACTCACGATTAAGTGTGTGACTCCTACCTTCTCCCATTGTCTTCAACAGGGCAAGATTATTGTCAGCGACAGCATCATAAAATGCCAAGTCATACATGTCAGATTTAGCAGCCATGCCTCTTAATCGTAGAAGCCGAACAAGAATAAATAGTCGATACTTAAGGTGTATGTTACTCATGTAGATTGACACCTCATAGGGCCAGGGTTAGATGTGACTTTTATTCTCTATAGTCTAGCTGAATACCACTTTTCTGTGTAAGTATACTAGTATCTCATTCAGTGATTGGATATCGCGTTTGCTAACTCAGGTATTGATATTTTATGTTTCTTTTCTTTCTTTTTAATGTTTAATGTTTCCTTGCTACACTCAACACAGGAAATATGTTTGATTATTGGCTTCTAGTAGTTTCACTGTCACGTACCACCTCTGCTAGGGTCCTTAGGCGACATTAATTAATGATATATGGATGTAATCCGTTAGATGTAGATTCTCAAATAGAGACTTTAGCTAATAACCTGTCGTATGACGCACTTTCAAGCTTCCTGCAACAAAATAAAAAAATACTCTTATTTCTTGATACAAACTAATGATATGGTTTGTCAGTTTATGATGCTTAAGTTAATTAAATGTACAATGAAGGCTGTTTTACAAAACACTTTAATTCCTAATCTGTCATGAATAGCTAGTCATGAATCGATATACAGTACTGTCGGCACAAATAGAAAAAATGTTTTGTTGCGTGTCATCTTTAATTTATGAAGTAATGCCATTCAGTTATTGAAGCTAGTATTATGGAATAAACTAGTATATTCAGTTTTGTGTTTAGCTTATCTATCCATGGTAACAAAAGAGTTTCATATTTTATTCAGTGGGGATATTCTTATAAAATCTCTTATATTACATTGATTATATGTAATGTTGTCATTTTGTTAGCAGCAAACTACAATTTATAATGCTCCATCAATCTTAGTTTATTGATTAGTTAAGATGGCTCAAGTAATAATGGATCACTCATTGTATTCTTTCCACCCAGCTGCCTTATTAGGATGCCCTATGTTTACAGTTTTTGTGATATTTGACATAAAAATGCTAAAAATAGGTTATTTTTCAACTTGCTTCAGTCTGACAAATTTTTTTATCATCTACAAATTGCCAAGATCGCAGATTTGGGATTTGACATTTCAGAAAGGTAAAAAATTGATTTTTCTGAGTATTTTTTACTGAAATTCTGAATATACATGTACACTCAATAAATGTCTTATACATATTAGCAATTGTTTATTAAAAAATTGAAGGTCAAATTTCGAATCAAGGTCAATTTTCAATTTGCTTCAAATTGAACACAAACCCATTTTAAATATAATAAGGTTGACCTTCAAATTGTCAAAAGTACTCTTGCTAAAGATAATGCTGATCAAGTAATATCATTATTGTATTGAAAAAGCATTAAAGTATAACATATGTATAAATGTTTTAATGTGTACAATATACTAAAACCCTTCAACCTACAGTATGACTTACTGCATGGGTGTCAAAATGTCTTTGTATGTATTTACACACCCCTTCAATTTTCAACTTAGGGTTATAGGCAAAGATTGATTTGTGCCTCTGATTACTGCAATGTATTGAATTGTTTCTTGCACATCTTTGTGACTAACAGTGATGTAAAATGGGCAGATTATTAAATAGTTCAGGGACCATACCAGTTTCTGAAAATTGCGGTTATTGAGGGACAATTATTTTGGGTTGCAGTTGTAAGCATGGAGATGAAAATATACTGTCTGAAAGTTCTTCATTTTGCTTGAATGAATGAGGTTCATTGGTATGGATAAAGGAAAATATTCTGAGAAATTGCCTCGGGGTTAAAAATTTACTTCCATCAACATAATATCATATCGTTGACAGGTACACCATAATAGCTTGATGTCATTTTATAGAGTAATCTATAATTTAGCATTCTGCATGGGTCATATACATACCAATGAAGATTCCAAATGCCTTACGACAAGTACATCTCTAGATATAAAAGGTGCTTCTGAATACATGTGGCTGCTCATCAAGTTTCCATTTCTTCCTCCAAATGCTCAACTCCTCCGATTGTTCATCAAAAAGTGATCCTTAACGATGGTTATATAATCAACAATAATGTTCCTAATATATTCTGTTGTTGCTGTGAATGACATCTTCAGAGAATACTACTATAAACATAGTGTCGAATGGACCTCTTCAATGGTGATGAATCATGGATAAACGTACTAATATGCTACATTCAGCTAGATATTGCATATCCAGTATGGCTCTTCAATTGTAAAATCCAGTATGCGTACAGTATTGGAAATTGAAGAAGCAGATCCAAAGCTGATACTATAATATTGATTGGCTGTCGGCTGCTTGCAGCATGCACTAAATAACTGATAATCATATCATTATCATAATATTAATCATGGACAATGTTTACATCCATGAAATCATGATAAACTGGATCTTGTTATGTGTTGGCATTTTGCAGTGTTGCATATTTACAAACACACACTTAATGGTTTAAATTAAAGAAATTATAATAGCTGCATTTGTATTTACATTTGTTAGGGCCTGGGTCAATATTTCAATGTCTGTTAAAAATGTAATTAATTTATTGGGGTCGAATGTCCCCCCCTCCCCTTCTAATGAATATCAAAATGTTGATTCATGCGTACACGTAGTTGTACAACGAGTCAAAATGTTGATTTGCATGCAGAGTTCAAGTACAACCCCACAGCATACAATATCTAATAGTGCTATAACACAACACATATAAATTCTTTTTATACATATCCATTGAGTATATTTAATGATCATACCATGCCTGTCAAACCAGAAATTGCAGAAGATGAAACATTAGGAAGCTAAAAATCAATGTCTGTCACCTAATTAAATAGCGTTTACCCCCCCCCCCCCCCTAGTGTTATTAAAATTATGTTTTTTGACAAACACTGAAATATTGATCCAAGCCCTTATATTCTTAGAGGATCAATGTCCTTGGGCAAAACTGCAACCCAAGTTTTCAAGAAAAGATTGCATGTATTATGTACAAATGATTGGTCTTTTGAAATGTCAAATTAAAGCAATTTACAGTATCCAAAAACAACATAAAATTTCAATATGATCTGTCGAATGGTTTGGCAAGAACAGGTTAGACAACACATTACAAACCAGTTTTTTGTCATGGTTAGTCTCAAATGGCCACGTAAAATACCCAGAATGCTCAAAGACTAATCATTTGTAGACCTTTATACAAAAATATACAGTATTTGACTTCAAAATAACCGACAGGAAATAGGTATGGGAGTCAAAACCTTTTTTACAGAATCTGTATGAACTTAAAACTAACAGTTTTAGTGAAAACTGTTGACAGACATACACACCTAGACTGAAAATATGGCCCCACGTTAGGTGGTGGGGACATAATAAAAGTACAAAATAAAAATAACAGTGGTAAAGTCCTGACATGTTTTTATTATTTCTTGGACATCAAAGAGCTTTGTAGATTAACAAAAACTATACAGTACCTACACATTCATTTGAACCACATAACAATCTAAAGTTATGCAGTAAATATAATCATAAATCTCAGATTGACTGAAGGACAGCAGGCATAAGATTCTGGGCCAACTTAAGAACTCATTCTTTAATTAGGGATGATGATTATTAGAGTTCATATTTTTACACCAAATACTTGTAGATTCAGAGGAAAGCGAGTAAATCATTAGACTTTTGATATCCAGTCAGGATGTGATCAACATGATTAAGCCCTTGGAAATGGAATGGTGTTTCAATGAATGTTTGGTGGAACATTTATAAAATTATGAAACAGTGAGTCTTTAGATAAAAATGAAATATAGCATGCTTGTTGTATTTTTTAAGACATCTGACCACATTTTCCTAAAATCTTTATTTAAGTTCCCCATCAAAAAGCACATATTCAATGTAAAAACACATTCTTTTCCAACACATACCATGGGCTTAGTCGTGTTTCAAAATCAGGGCAAAAACAATACATCCCTATCCAGTTCACTATTTATGTCAAAATGTGTCTTCAAGTAAATTCATTTGAATCAGATAATAATGTAAAATTTAAATAATTGGTGTGCAAATTTTATGGTCAATTGAGCTGTCAAAATTTATGGAGAATGATTTATATTTACATATATTACAGGAGTTTTTTTTACATAAAACATAAATAAATAAAATAATACTATAGTATCTTTAGGTACAAACTTTTGTATACAAGCATAACATATTGTATTACATACCTAGCGAAGCATTTGTATGGAAGTCAATGGGAAAGTTAGCGAGCTATATCCACCGATATTGCCCGATTACCCCGATATAGCCCGCTTACCTCGTTTTGATATTAGATTTCTTTAATAACCATGATAATATCATGACGTCACGTCATTGATACAAAGTAACCATGGGAACAAAGGCATGTAATACATCAGTTATGTCACTATGACGTGAAATATGCCTTCGTTCTTGCCCAAATATAGAGCCTCCCAAGGTCGGCCTATATTGGGAGAACTCAGGCATATTTCACGTCATAGTGACATAACCTCTAAATATACAACAGCATATACATACATAAAATATACACGGTGCATCAGAAGTTTTCAAGCAAATGCTCTTTTAAGATCTTTGTACAATAAAAATTCAATGTGGACGGATCAGTGTCATAGGATTATATCTAAAGTGACATAATTGCTATGACTAGAATGAAGCAAAGCAATAAATGTTAACCTTTTAATTTCTTTTTCTCTCCCTGTACATCAGTATGAGATCACTTTCAGTTGGATGGTGATGTATAATGAGAATCAGCATGTAGATTTAGTTGTCAATTTGATATGATCGTCTTCTACTAAACTTCAGTGAGAAGAGTTTAATTTGAAAATCCTTCTATTCATTCCTGATCTATTCTGGTCAGATCATTGAATGTTAATAACCCCAAAGTCAAAAGCCACATTTGAATGTCCATTATGTTCATAAACTTATGGGGCGTATTCAACTTCTTCAGTCATTTGAATGCTCGTTATGTTCATTAGATTCAGTGGGATTTCTACAATATGGGCATTGCAGCTTCTGGAGGGCTTGAAGTTCATAGTCATCTGTATGGAATAACTGGAAGCAGAAAATTAAAAACATGTAGTTAGCGACATTAATGTATATTTGGATACCATAGTAACTGTCAAATTAACACCAAGCGAAATGATGATTGAATTCCTTCTGGCAGTTGTAATTGGCATTTTATTGCAGGTATGTACTGTTGACAAATAGACAAGTTGCAAAATTAAGAAATGAGAAAGAAATAGAAATACATGTAAACTTTCAGATTTGGCCATGAATGTAAATGTCAATTCTTCATGAGAAGACATTCACATAATAATTCAGGTCTGGAATGTTTTTCGATGTGACACAGACATGATTATGAGAAAAAAAACTATATTGAATACAATAGAAATATACAATACTAGAAATAATATAGGTGAGCAATACATTAAGAATGTCAGAAAACATTTTTGGCCGAATGAGGAGGATTAAGAATGTCAGATACCTTTTTTGAGTAAAACAAATGGATAATTAATGGTATATAGCTGCCCTGCAATGAACAGAGAATCATATTTCCAGTAATACAGAAAACCCTATATTTGATCTTGTATGTTCTTAAATCCCAGTGAACCCAAAACCTCCGTAAGTGGAACACCTGAGTGGAACGCTTTTTGGCAGAACGGAGGGTGTTCCACTTACACAGGTTCTACTGAAATAATAAAAGTTCATAAGTAAACACTATGTCAAATAATTTGTATGTATGTACAAATGTATGTGCATAGTTAAATAATTAAATTGTACATGTACACATACATTTGTATTTAGAATATATTTTTCAAATTCTCACATTACCTTGTTGCAAAATGAACATTTTGTGATTGACACATCTGGCATGAGATTTTTGAAGTACTGATATCTCAATGGTTTGCTCCACTTCAGAATGATCACTTCATTCCTGTTCAGGGACTTCAGTACGGAGGTATTCACGATCACAGGTACAAACTCATTTCCTCCTTGCTGTGTAGAAAAAATAAATACAGTTTTAAAGAAGATTTCAGCTTTCAGACCTAACATTTAGCATGTTGTTTAGTGGAAGAGAATTTCACAAGAGAAGCAGTGTGCAAAAAGGAAACAACTTCTATTGTTGGATGATGCAGACTGTGTTCAGAAAACCTTTTTTTGAATTTCAATTTGTGATATTTTACAACTGAAACTGTTTTGGGCATTCAATTACGCTCATCTATAGTTATTGTCATTTTTGAGAGAAAATGGGTCAGATATTTTGGAAAATGTGTTCAAGTAGGGTCCTAATCCATGTTTGTTGACATGTTCTGTACAGTGTAAAACTTAGTTACATTTGTGGTATACAAAAACTTGGTGCATTATTTGATTACAGTTTTATACACAGCCATACAAAAACAGTCCAGTTTCAAACGGAAATCACTGCAAATTGAGTTAAAAGGAAAATCTCAAAATATATTACCAATTCATTTTTGAAAACACCCCCACGTGTGTGTGTCTGTTTTCTTTACAAAAGACAGTAGGTGCTCCAGTAGTTCACAAAATACAAGTAGAATTTAGTGCAAAACAGTCAAACAGTGATATATAATCAATTATCAATCAGTGTGCATGTTTCACACATTATATACCTCCATTTCAAGTTGACCGGATTCTAACATCTCTTTCCTTAAACTCTACAATCATTGTTTTTATGAAATATTTAATCCACATGGCAATGGCATAGAATGGTCTCTGGTTCCTTTGAGTTTTCATACACAATCATTGTTTTAATGAAATATTTAATTCATATGGCAATGGCATAGAATGGTCTCTGGTTTCTTTGAATTTTCACACACAATCATTGTTTTTATGAAAGATTCAATCCACATGGCAACAGCATAGAATGGTCTCTGGTTCCTTTGAATTTTCACACACAATCATTGTTTTTATGAAATATTTAATTCATATGGCAATGGCATAGAATGGTCTCTGGTTCCTTTGAATTTTTACACAAAATCATTGTTTTTATGAAATATTTAATCCACATGGCAATGGCATAGAATGGTCTCTGGTTCCTTTGAATTTTTACACAAAATCATTGTTTTTATGAAATATTTAATCCACATGGCAATGGCATAGAATGGTCTCTGGTTCCTTTGAATTTTCACACACAATCATTGTTTTTATGAAATATTTAATTCATATGGCAATGGCATAGAATGGTCTCTGGTTCCTTTGAATTTTCACACACAATCATTGTTTTTATGAAATATTTAATTCATATGGCAATGGCATAGAATGGTCTCTGGTTCCTTTGAATTTTCACACAAAATCATTGTTTTTATGAAATATTTAATCCACATGGCAATGGCATAGAATGGTCTCTGGTTCCTTTGAATTTTCACACACAATCATTGTTTTTATGAAATATTTAATTCATATGGCAATGGCATAGAATGGTCTCTGGTTTCTTTGAATTTTCACACACAATCATTGTTTTTATGAAATATTTAATCCACATGGCAATGGCATAGAATGATCTCTGGTTCCTTTGAATTTTCACACACAATCATCGTTTTTATGAAAGATTTAATCCATATGGCAAGGACATAGAATGGTCCCCGGTTCCTTTGAATTTTCACACACAATTATTCCCCCATTATTCCTACTAAGTTATTATGATCTATCAGTATCTGTATAGAGACAGAAACTAGAAAAAGCAACTCCTCGGAGTAGCATCCCACCGATTAAACACTCCCAGTATCAGTATCACAAACAAACAACAGACAGCCAAACAGACTACTTTTCTATATCTCTACCGGACTTCATTCGGTGGGATAACCAAATACAGAACCATTTCCATTATTGTTCTCTATGCATTAAAAGGTACAACCAATATGATAACAGATTAATATTCACCTCAAATGTCATCAGTCTAGCAGTGAATGGATCCTCATCACCCGGTTCATCACCTTGATTGTCATCCAAACGCAATGATTCACCATCTGAACCAGCATTAAGGAGAATGTCTACACTGTTCTCTCCCCAGGAATATTTTTCAATCAAGTGCCAATTTTCTTAAAGCTGAAAAATCAGCGTTCACGCTATTCCACCAATTGGGGCAATATCAAAAATTGTCCTCACACGATAATTTTAAAACACAAATTCAATTGTTTTTTCTTGTTAATAACTTTCTTTAAAGGCCTCATATAAAGTTTGGCTTATATTGTAGTCTTACCCAACGTTATCAAAATGTGATATGTGAAACTTTGTTTTTATATTTTTATGTTTTACTAATAAATGCCCATCATACTTTTTGTAAAGCCTCATAATTTGATCAGCTTTCGTGCTTTTCAATATCCCAGATGCCAATAGGTAGTTACCAGTTTCACCATTCATCACTTCTAGTGGTTCAGTTTTCATATTACCCTTATGTATCTGATAGTTATACAAATGAAAATATGTCCAGTCAAAGAAAAGATTATCTGCCCAACACAAGAACAGATATTTCACTTTTTGTGATTTGATAACACAAGTGACCAAGAAGTCACATTTTATGGCTGAGTTTACGGAAAAATACAGTAGATTTTTAAATGCCAATTTTACAAAAAAAGTACATTGTCATTTTTCAGAATTTTTTTTATGACAGATTCCCTTAAAAATGGTAAACTGGCAGGTAAATAATTTGTGATGCGTAAAATTCCATAATCAGCAAAAGCGAATTGATCAGTTTAACAATAAAGCAATATTGAAATGTTTTCCATGATCAACTTATACAATGTATTGGGATCATTCTCAAAAGGATACATCCTGATTTCTGTTCCTGCCAATCAGAGCCAGTCTTGTTGCGTTTACGAGGTGGTTCTAGGTCTATCAGTCTCACCGCCTCTTCATCTTCAACACCATCTTCCAGGACAAACTCTACCAGGGGTAACACCTCTGCATGATTGAAATATATATTAAGAATAACAATTGTTCAATGACAGAGAGGGCAGACAAAGATGCTTCTACATTGGGGAGGTGGAAGAGATGCATTTCTCTTAAGGAAAAAGAAGTGAGCTTTGGGGAAAACCATCTGTACGTGTACATAGCAAATATAATTCGATATATTCAAGTGCAGCATATGTTTAAATAATTGACTTACCAAAAGAGACAAAGGAATGTACAAATGGTTGGCTGCAGTTTATACACTGGTTGCCTTGGTTATTCAGTAGTGGATTTGTTGTGGAACATCTGTAGCACAAGGGGAGTAACTCCTGTAAAATTGAATGTTTCTGTTATCAAAAATATCATGATTAATATTATTTTAAAGATTCCTCGTATAAAGGAATTCTGAAAAGAAGGGTAGTGCTGTTGTTCCTGTAATGTTGCGTTAAGGTGTGCTGTGGTCATACTTTCAAAGCACCAATTATTCTAACAAAGTTCTACAAAATATTTTATTAAATACCTCCAGCCTGCCCAAAAAAATTAGATTCAAGATTTTCATACCACCAAACATTCCTGAAATTTGGAATGAACACTTACATGGCAAACTAATCACAATGTATCACCTAAGTCTAAGGGTGTGATATAAATCTTTTAAATTGGTATACAAATGACAATATATTTCAAGCCTACCTCATTATCGTGGAATGGCTTTGATCTTATGGTCACACATCCAAGGTCAATAGACTCCTGGAACCTTGGGGGTATACGTAATGTTTGTAGCTTGTCGTATGCAAATCTAGAGAACTTGTATGCACCCAGCTGTTTACTCTGTCTGGCCAAGGCATACAGTGTATTTCTGAGGGAAGTTAAAGAATTATAGCCAATACCATTTTGGACAAAATACTGTTACTGGTATTAATTTTATCAAAATAATCAAAAATTACATTTTTCCATGAAAAAATGGTGGCCATTTTGAAATTCAGCAGTTTTCTTATAAATTTGTTCTCCTATAAACGCTCCTATGTGTCTCAGGCACCAGCATATAAAATTTGAAGTAAGTCTGTTCAATGGTATTCAAATTATCAAATATTACATGTTCTTCAAAATAACAGTGGCCATTTTGAAATAAAGCGACCATATTGAAAATTCTATGAGCTGGTATTTGAGTTATTGCCTGGACATACAAATGAATGAGTAGACAGATGGACATACAGACAGCTCCTCTTTATTTCTACCAGATTTAGTTCAAGTTCATTTTGATAATTAATTACAGTTTTGTTTAAGGATACACTTTGGAGATTCCATGTGGTATTTCTGGCATCATTGCATGCAGCAGATAGCGTGACATACTGAATAATGCATCTGGTAGATGGGACGTGAAAGGTTCATCCTGTAGGGAAGAAATAAATGTAAATAAGGGACCAATGCAAATTATCATTGTCAGATAATTAACTATATTTTGATAGTAAGAAGGGGAGGGGGGGGGGGTGTTTTCTCTAATAGTTCAGCTTTGTCAACAATGATTATCAAATCCCTGAGAATTTTCTTCTTGTTGCTATGGACATTTCCTCCAATGTAAAAAAAGTTTCAACAGATTATTCAAAGTATTGAGCCATTTGGTACTTATCACAGTTTTACAGTTTTTGAACAAAAAAATATTTCAGCCAAATAATATTTAAGGTAGTTGTTTACGAGGTAAAGGTAATAACAATAGGTCTCTCCATGTTACAGTGTAGGAGCAATGATTTGACGAGTGAACAGATTTAAGTCAAATAAATTTTGTGATATCACACTTTTGAAAAATGTTTTGTTATTTTATATGGAAAAATAATTTTTGATGGTTCAAAATGTTTTCCAACTGACCGTGAACTTATATATAATGGAATGTACAATACATGTATATTATTTTCTTACTGTGTATCTCTGTATAGAATGATAAACATAGTACATCTCTGCCTTTCTCTGGTAGTCTTGGAATTTATAGAGCATTTCATCTCTCTTCTCTGTGTCATCTGGAAGACATCAAGAAAAATATGTGAAATAAGTAAAAGTACAACATCCACATTCCATCCCCGATAGATATTTGGTGTGTATCTTAAAGTTTCACTCTACTTTGCAAGCAACCTGTACATAAATTGTTCCTTGTTCCTATACAAAAAAGACTTAAAAAGTGCTATCTTACTTTGGTTTTTGCCATTTACCATATACATATCTGTTCCCTTTATGAAGAGTAGAATAAAGACAATACATATTTAGCCAATCCCTGACAGTGTTCACAATACAGGAGTTCACATACTGTGTATAGCATTTCAGGATTTACCTTTTGATGTTAAGAATCAACTCATCATTTATTTCATGATGTACAATTTAAATTTCTGTATCACAAATGAACATTTACAGTTTGCTTACCTCTAGCAATATCAAGGCACTGCATGGACAACTTCCAGAAATAGTAGCCTGCATCATTGAATCGGTTCTCGACTACTGCATTATGAGTAAGCTGCTCAAGAACCTTGACTGCCTCAGCTTGTAAACCAGCCTTGTGGAATGCTGAAATAATGAAATGAAAAAAAAAAACGAAATTATAGTTTTTCAGATTACTAGATTACCATGTGTCAACATGACATTTAGACAATCTGAATTATTTTCTGATATTTTATTGCCTCAGAACATTTATGTGTCTTTCAAAACAACAAATATGTATCAATGCATACAGATATATATTGTATTGGATTTATTGTAAAGATATTGTACCTTGTTGAGCCTCCTCAAATCTATCATTTTCTGCCAGCCATTGGGCATATGGTACAAACACCTCATTCTTGTACTCTGGGTGCTTCTCCACCAGAGCAAATGCCTATGGGAGAAAATATGAGCATTATAAGCGCAATATATTGTATGCTATTTTAACAGAATAAAGCATGCTATTGTTTTCCTTATACTTACACTCCCAATTTTATTACTGTTATTTTTTGAGACTTCAGAATTTATGTCAATTTCACCCTGAACTGAAGTTTGATTTGGTTAAGAGATGAAAGTCTCACAAATTGCCCAGGTGTGACTGAGCAAAAGCTTAGATTCACATGCTTTATCTTGAAGAATCTCACGCCCTATAAGCGAACAATGGCCATTTAGGAGAAAAGCAATCTCCAAGCAATTCTTGTACCTAGTAGTTGTTCAACTTCTAAATATTAACAATGCAATGAAGGGACGATACGTTTAATATTGCTGCTCCAGTTGTCTTACCTCATCCCAATGTCTAGCCTCCACCCTCAGTGTAACAAGTGCTTTATTATCACCCATCTTTGCATAGATTTCAGCAGCATAGGCATACTGTTCCAAACGTTTCAGATACATAGCACACTTAGTCAGAGACTCTCGGTCAGCCTTATCCAGCTTCCTGGCCACATCTATTAACCTGAAAAAAAGAACATGAATGATTACTTTATCAGAACTAGTGGAAAAGTTTAGACCTTCAGAATCTTGTCACTACTCAACAAGAATGAAGTCTTTGTATGGATTTGATCCTCATACTGTAATAATCCATGGAGAGTCTGTTATTCCTCTAAAAGCATGCCCAAAGATTCACTTAGTCACTTACATGTCTGACCAGCCATGGTCTCCAATGATTTCTATAGCCTTTGAGTATTCCCCAGCAGATATGTACATCTCTGCTGCCTGTTTTGGTTCATTGATGTTCTTAGCCCAGTCTGCTTGCTTTGAGATCAGCATCTTTTTATCACCAGCATCACCTGACCCTACGAATTCCTGAAATAAAGATACAGTTTTCAATCATTTCACCCAATGAAAGAAGTACTAGAATTTCAAAGCATTCTGAGAAAATACATCAGGTATACTCATAGTATATGTTCCTAATATTGTGAAAGTAACATGCATAAAAACGAAGGAAATACTCAAATGTTGAAACATTGATAGCAATATTTGTTGAACACACAACAGTATACATAAAATATTGCTATCGTGAAAAATAAGAGTAAAACATTTTTTGCAATTAACTTGAATTCACAGACCAGACATATTTCAAAATTACAGATATGTATGTCCAGCAAGCATTTCTTCCTGAAGAAATATTCTGCTGGGATCTCTTGCCATTATGTTCAAATGCAACTTACTTTGGCATAATCAAACATCCTGAGATCTGTGTACATATTCATAGCTTTCTCCTCATGACCTGTCCTTTTGTATAGTTTAGCAGCATCCTGGAACTTGCCTCTGTATGCACAGACATCTGCTAGGAACACTTGAGGATCAGTTTCACCACGCTTACGTCGTTCCTACAAACATAACATATATACATGTACATATAGCAGGGATGTGCAGTGAATGTATTTCCCATTTTTTTTATATTTTCCGATTTAAATTTTCAGCATTCTTAACTTAGTACAAGCGTTGGGTTGTTTTATTGCTGAGAAATTACCAGATCAAGAAGATCCATTTTAAAGTCAGGGATTGTTTAACCATCTTTCATAAATCATAATGTAAGATTCCTATTAATAATATTTAAAAAAATATGCACTTTGCACCAAATGCAAAATTATACAAGAATTGAATTAAAGATCTGAAACAGGCAACTGAAAACATTTTGCTGTATACTGTTTACCCACAAGATGTATTTTACTTAAACGATTAAGATACAAATATTTACCTCAATATTATGTATTAGTTCTAGATATCTCAGTTCTCTGATACGTATAAATGCCTTCTTAGCAGTGTCAAAGTCCAGTCCTTCCAGAGCCTCATGAGCCAAGGCCTCCCAATCACCATCTGTCACCCCTAGACATGCTATCCTGTATGCCTCCCTATACATAATATGTGACATACTTTGTAACACAATTTCAAAAATAATATAGTGAATAAGATATGCATACATTCTGTTTTTATACTTGAAAACCTTGATATACCAAAATTTGCGAAAATATTCTCAATCATTGAACTAACACAAGGTCTTACAAGGTAAGCTAATTTGTCAGTTTGATTCACAGAAAAACTTTCTGTTTGGGAAAATAATAGATAAAGAAAATGGGTAAACTAGTATGTAAGATTAATTTTACTCCAGCACTTACTTGAACATTTTCTTCTCTAGGTACTGGTACATGGGGGCAGACTGGGGAACCTCAACAGATGACATGGAGTAAATGTGCAGACAGAATATCTTAGAGCCACTAAAGCCAACAACAAACCCCTACAAAACATAAACTTAAAATCTTATTTCAAGATATTATATTATATCTTTTATTGACTCTTTAGATGTCATATCATGACATATTAGTCACTAAGGTAGAGCAGTTCTTCCCATTGTCGAGTTGAAGAACTGGTATCTTTATCCTGGCTAGAACGATAGACAATTCTAGCCAGCGCCAGACTTTCATCGAGTTAGCAGCACTCTAGTAATCGCCGGTATACAAGATTTTACCACATTTTACCACAATATTTTATTTGGATAAAATAAATCCAAATACCATGCAAAGGATAAGTCAAGGAACATGTCAGGGTATTGAATAAGAAAAATTGATGAACTTCAAAATCTCTAAAACTTCATTTATATATTTATATGGTACATACCAAAAATGTCTCAAATGTTTTTTCAAGTTGTGAAAAGTAATATTTTAATAATTTAACTATATTTCTTTCAAACTTTACACAGGGCCTTTAAAGAAATAAACTCATCAATATCCCAACATGTAAGTTTTCCAGCCTTCCTCATCCTTTCCATAATCCATACAATCTCACTCCACTCACTTTGCAAAGGGTTAGCAACTGGACACAATTTTATACTTTTTCTTTACAAATTGACATACAACACCAAAATGAATTACTTCTCTGTGAAATCATAGCATTTTATAAATCTGGTTTTCATTCATTCTGAGTACGTACTTGTAGCTTTTGTTGATGCACTGGGAAATTGCTGGCTTTGATATTGAGAAAACCTCCCCCACTAAAGCAAAGCATATCCTCATTGTGGGTATTCCAGGCAACACTATTGGCATTCGGTTCCTGGAACATATGCATTTGCATGTTTTTAAAAGCATATCATCAAATTGATCAATGAAAACATTTATAGTTGCTTATACAAATTGATCTTTTGATCTATATAAGACATCTTATCTCATATATTGACAACATGGCAGCTATGATTGAATTTATATGTACTTATGAAGAAAAAAATCTGTATAACACTTCAGTTGATTTATAATAATGTTAAAGGTATATTCCTTGCAAATCCATTTCTCTCTCATATGGTAGCTATAACCATTTATATACTGCTAGTATCCATATTGAGAAAAAACATAAGAACATGTTTTGATATGGTCAGTATTTACCATCAACTTTATTCATCTTGCCCATAATTGAAAACTATAAGAAATGGGAACAGAATAATTCCTTACAATCTATGCAAAAAATAAATGGGCTTGCAAGGAATATTCCTGCAATTAGAAAAACCGCTTGGATGTGAAAGTAGTTCCATACCTGGAAAAGTAGTTCCTTTGAAGTACAATCATACACCAAGCAAGTATTGTGTTCATCCACAACAGCAAGTTTTTGTCGCATCATGCTCATGTCCAAACAACGAATAGAAGTGTTCTGTTTCAGCAGGGTGATCGGAAATGGATTGTCTGTGAAGAGCTTCAGAATCTAAACAGAATAACTTTATAAACATAAGATCTTTACTTACTAATTTTACACATTAGGCTAAAGTTATTGATATTGAGAATAAAGAAAAACTTGAATGAAACAAAATTTCAATTATTCAATTATAATCTTGGATGGTTTGGCATTTTACCTGTCCATTTTTGAGACCTACAAGAAGTCCCTCCCTGCCAGGTGGCCCCCCTATGACTTTGATGTATCGTATAAGTGACTCCATCACCCATTCACGTTCCTTCACTCCTTTGAATGACAGGCATTGCAGTCGTTTCTCCTGGAAATATTCTATAGGTATTAATATGCATCATCATTTTGAGAGTGGGGATGTACTTCCCCGTAGATTATTTGGACACATAATTTAAAACATTGATAATTTTGCCTCCAGGAGCACTTGTTTCTCAATTGTATCATGATTTGTAGCATTGAAAACAAGATGAACAATACTAAATTTCAAAGCTTTTACTGCTCTAAAAGTGTTCATCGAATATTTTATAAAAATATGTATAAATAGCACAAGGGGGAATATTTGACATCTAAAAACATGAACCATATACTACTAACCTGACACAAAATGATGTGCTGTGAACAGACTACCAGTAGGTTGCACTCAAACTTGCGTAAAATCTTCTCTTTCACTCTGTAATGCATGTCTGCAGCATCATCTGAGTACAGCTCATAAATGACAATCTTATCTGGCAGCTGAACCTAAAATATATAGGAGGATATGATAATTTGTTCTTGTTTTGATAGCTGTAACATACATAGGTTACGTTATTAAGTTGAATAATATTCACGACATTCGGGCTGAGTTATGATATAAATATGTAGTGCGATGGGTGTGATCCCCATAACCAATAAAAATAGAAGAATTAGATAGAGGAAGAAAAAAGCTTTAAAATGGTTTTTATTTGAAGCTTCAAGCTCAATTTTGAAGGAAGTTGCATCAATCTTTGTAAAATTCAAAACAAATAAACAAATTGTTTTGCCTTGCTTATGTTGGTTAGAATTAATTATTTGTAATTGTGTGGATGTAAAAAACAACTAACTTACCGCTAGTCGATGTCTGTAGATTGCTATTTTCTTCACCAAGTCTCTGCATTTTATTCGGACTGGAAAGACAAAATGAAAAAATCTTGTTCTATACGTTTTTGTTCTCAATGGACTTAAAATGGCTTAAATTATTACCTTTCTTCGGTGTAGGTGTACATAAAAAAGTGTGCTGGCAACTACAAACAAACATTGCACTTGGAGAGTAAAATAGCTGCCTCGCCCAATATGCTCAATACCTATTCAGATCTGGACACGTATCTCAGTGTCTACTAATTGAATCTGAAAATAACTCCACAGATGAACAGCTTTCATGCTTAGTGACAAGATTCACTGTGCTACCCACTTGCACTTTTTAAGTGTGATAAAATTGCTTTAGAGGTAATAGAAAGATCAACAAAAGCTTGAGAGGAAACATCACTGCAATTAGACAAAATGCTCATATTTTGTGGTTTGCAAGCCTGAGATTTCATGGAGAAACAACATGCATCTTATAAAGCAAACAAATACAAGGAGAACAGGAATAATGATTAAGAAATAAGGCATTATCATGCAAAATGTAACCACCTGCCAATTGTCACAAATGCCAATCGCAGAACACCATCCACAAAAAGACTATAACAATATGTCACCGCTTCTTGTGGTGACATTTAATGAATTATAAGTCAGATTTATACTATCTTAAATACCTTATCAAGTGTTACTCAGAGATAAACATTTATAAAAATAAAATGAACATCTGTAACATAGACTGAAACAAAGCAGAACATTTAAATATCAATTTCTTAGTCTAAATTCTCACTCCATCCTTCTATCTTATCTCCATTTTTAAAGCTACGTTTACATCTTCTGCGGTGGGTAATGGCACTTTGTTGAACGATATCATGGGCAAGTTCAATCATCTTTTTCTTGCCATCATCATCATCATCTGATGATTTATTCTCATCATCAATGTTCATATTTCCCAGTTCGTTATTAATGCCAAACTGCCTGGTGTAGAACTTTTTACTTGGACTTTGAAGCCATTTATCAGAATCAGTCTCACGCCAGGCCTTCCCCAAATCTGCTCGTTGGCTTTCAAAACGAGTTTCATTAGAGGCTAAACAGGAGTATGATAGTCAGCTAAACATTCAGCACCATACAAAGCTAAACATGAGTGTCATTAAGAGGCTTAACATGAATTACATTAGAGGTTTAATATAAGTATTATAAGAGGTTTAAGATGAGTGTCAGAAGTGTCATAGAAGGCTTCACATAAGAAAATCGTATGTCCCTCTTAAATTGTATTCACTCATAAAAATCTTATTCATCCTGGAAGAATAGTATTGAGATCATATTCACAAGGGAGGAGATCATTGTATTGTATTCACTCAAAAATCTAATTGATAAAAATATCTTGGTAACATAATATATTCGTAAATCTACCTGAGACCAAGATTATAGTACACCTGGCATTTTGTTCTGCGTATAATTTCATTCAGTGTGTTCAGAGGAAGTGGTCAGACAAAAATTCAAAGACAATGGAAAGATTTTCATCGATGAGCAACAAAAAACAAAACAAAAAGAAAACAGTGTCAGATATGAAGCCATTGAACAATGGCGAGGCATTTGGAAATAAGAGATATTTCTCTACTTGATTCAGAAAATTTGAACAACTTGCTTATGGATTTTTTGTGAATGTCAGAAAGAAAAAGGTGAAGAGTATCAACCATGTGCCATGTTTTCGAGCTTTGCAAGGAGAGAAAAGACTTAAAAGCATAACAAGTTATGAATTTAGTGGTACTTGAGATGCCCTTAAAGTGAAACAAAAATCGTTGAAGGAATTTCAACGCAACACGACCCCTTGATGCCTTGAGTCAAAGGAAATTGACCAGCTTTTACATCAGATTGGCTTACATAATGTGTACTATTTGGAGTAGTCCACATCTAAACAACAGATGTTTTCTACTTGTGTTGGGAACCCTGTTTTATATCTACAAATAACAAATGTAAAAATACATCTTTACATGTATGGATATATGCCCACCTTTCTGTTCTGTTATAAGATGCTGTATAATGACATCTGTCATGTTGTCCCTGTACGCATAGCGGTCCTTGTACAATCCATGTACCGTGCTGAATATTAATTGGTAGTAGGCAATTGTCCCATCTTGGCACCCAACAGCCTGCAGATATAAAATAATCTTAGAGTTAGGATATATATACAAATTAGGGAGTAAAATACTGCAAAATGATTTAATTCATACTTGAATATGTACTTGATTTTTTATCAAATAACCTCTATTCCTCGTGCAATGAATAACCATATCACATTAAATAACCTTTATTTCTATTCATGTTATAAGATAATACTCACCACATAGTTAGAGTCTGGCTTGGCCTGACAGCACCACATCCAAGAATTCTGTTCCCCAATCACTCCAAGTTTAACACCCTCTTTAGTATGCAAGCAGCATTGCTTGTCTGAACCACCAATGACAACATACTCCCCTTTGCTGAACCAGCTCACACAGCAGGGGTCATATCCTAGGGACCTATCCTTACCAATCTAAATAGAACAGAAGTTAGAACAGGTATTTATTCCAGCTAGTTGCCTGACACTAGCTTGTTTAAAATGTAAGATGTTTGACGGCACATGCATGCATATATATGTATTGGATTAAAACACATGTATCACTTTCCCATTTAGATTTCAATTATGCTAAATTGCTATTTGAGGCAGTGAAATGGTAAATTTTTATGGAAATTCGGTTAAATACAAATATTTTAAAATGACTCATGTTCTGTCAATATTACTTCAATCTAAAGAAAACATGAGTATCACATATTGTATAAAGTTAAGTACCTGTTTTCCCGACAGTTGATAAAAAGAAAGTTTCTGTCCCCAGTCAGCAATTGCCAGAATATCATAGGCCTCCTCCCTACAATTAACATGAAAAACAATATATGTATCAAACTTGAAGCAATATTTTCTTGAGTTTTATACAAAATTAACTTTATTTCATCAAAATTGCCATTACCTTGATGGGTTCCATGTTATTGACCATATAGGACTCAAGCCACCCCCAGGTCTGTCTATCTTTACTTTCTCTTCACCAGCCTAAGAAGAAATAGCACAAATACATTTATTGCTATAGAACAGAGTTAGAAGAGTTGTGTAAAAAAACATAAAGTAATTATTGTATCTTCAATGACTCTAACTATAAGCAAATATTTCATTAGAAACTCAAATGCCAACATCTTTCTAACATTTTCACTTTTCCGTCAGTATTGGGTGAATTGGGCGCATACACATTTCAAGAGTGGTGCAAACTTTGAGATGGTGCAGTTCTCAGTTGAAGAGGGTACTCATGTTATGAAAGACGCTGGGGAAATAAATTGTACTGAACTTAAATGCTCTTAGAAGCTGTATTCTGTTTCATGAACTAGAGATGTCACGGATACCCAATTTTTTTCTGATCCATGGTTTTGTTCCATGACACCTCCAACATGCACACATTTTCTAACTGTACCTTATTACGCACGCTGACAGAGCCAGTGTATAGTCCCAAGGCGAGGTATTGTCCATCATTGGTCCATGAACAACAAGTCACACGGGCACCAAGTTTATGCTTAGAGACTGATTTCTGTTCAGGAGACCAGAGCCCTAAAATACAATCAAAATTTTGAGTAGATAACAATAATGTGCAGAACTTTTACTCATATTGCATATATTGGGCTAACTTATTTGAGTAATTACTCCGATGGACAAATTGACATTGAGCCATTCTCGATATGCCCAAACTTTTTTTGATGGGATAAAAAGGTCACTTTGTATAAAGCAAAGCAATTACAGTTAAAGATTTGAATATATTTGTATTAAAAACAATAATATTATTCAACACTTAACTGTAATTAAAATGTGTTCATACTCTATGTAAGATGAGTATATACAATACAATTATAATTTTACACAGGAAGTTCCCAGTAGAGGTTGTAGAAGCACTAGTTATTGATGAATGGAATAATGGACAAAAAAAATTGATGATTGCAATAGCAGCCATTTGTGCAAGAAAGAACATGTAGTTGAATAGTTCTTACCAAAGTCTGTGATTGCACAACTGGCCAGCTTATGTGAGACTGGATTATATGCAAGGCACTGAATAGCATCATTGTGACTGGAAATAAATATGTATGTATTTATAATAGATGGTTATACGTATATTATTGTATGTTCAATTAATTCGTGCCATATACAGGGAAAGATCACAATGGAAAATTTTAAACCTGTATCTGTTTGTTTTACATGCATACTTTCTTAAAGGTTAACTATGTGTAGTTGAATTAAAATAGAATTTCTCAGATTATCAAATGAATTACATGTCAGGTAACTTTTCATATTGATTATTTAAGACAAGTTTTTAACAAAATGACATATCCTTATCCATGTTATCAACTCACGTATATTTCAAAATCCCTTCCAATTTATTAGTCCAGATAATGACTGATTTATCCGCAGATCCTGATGCAAACCGCTTTCCATCTTTTGCATATGCGACACAATATACAGTGTCTTTATGCCCTTTAAGAGGCTGCACAAGTGTACCATCATTGGTGTCGTATACAAGAACTCTGTTCCCTGCAGCAACTATCAGTTGAGATCCATCTGGTCTAAAGCAGAGATCCCAAATACTGGAAGAGAAATCACAGTGATCATTATATTATCACATGGGTATTGATATTTCTCACATGGGTATTGATATTTTCACATGGGTATTGATATTTTGACATGGGTATTGATATTTTCACATGGGTATTGATATTTTTCACATGGGTATTGCTGTTTTTCATACCTATCTTGATAGTTTAGTAATGGATATTTAATTGACATGTTTCATGGAGGTGTTGAAATTTCTACTTGTATTGTCCCAAATAGTTAAAACAGTTAAATCCAATAGAGGGCAACAACCAACAAAGGGCAATCTAGTTAAACCAAGATTTCACTATTTTGCCCGCTGAAATGAGGTTATTAGTATTATCATCATCTATCGAAAACTAAGTTAAAAACTTGTTATTTCCAGGTGATGACCACTATTGCCCAGCACTATGACCCTTCACTAAGGCTCCACCTATTGCTCAAGTCAATATAGTGAAATATAAGCAGTCTAAACAAGTACTCATAACCTAAGAACAGGTCTGAGGCTCGCAAAGGTGGTGATAGTACATTATTGAAACAGTATGTGGCCAACATTATTTAAGTCATTAGAAGAATGAATAGAGGCATTCTCTCCCAGGTATTCTCTATATCCCCTGAACAATCGGTCAATGGGATAACAAATAAACATTTGTTTTTCATATGTAATGTACAAGCATCATCATCATCATCAACCTAAACCTCAAAAAAGGTTCCTGGTCTGGTCAGAAAGGTTACCATACTAAGATGGTACACTAAACAAAAAGCAGATATATTTCAAAATATAAACTCTGTTTCTACAGGCCCTACTCTAAGAAAGCATTTCCTCATTTGTTAAACTTACACATTTTTGCCATTGAAGCTTGGATTCTCGACTCCAAACTTATCACCGAACCTATAAGTTTTACAGGGAAAACAATTTTATATTCAACTATGAGGAGACAATCTAGATGGGTGAGTAACAATACGAGTGGGGCGGTAAGGATGTTTAAAGTAGCAATGTTAGTACTTTGGGAAACAAAATATTTACAACTTAAAATTTTTATTATATTTGCATGCACCTACCAACACATTACAACTTAATTTTGCATTTGAAATAAAACTGTACACTACAGAAAATCATTCTAGATCGAAATCAGATTGCAATGTGAAAGTCAAGTGGAGTTCCATTTTTTGCAGCCAGAATATCACAAGTTCAACTTTAAATATAGATGGGCAAAACAAAGTAAAGTCATGTTCTAAACATACATATGTACTTCTAATTTTTCAAAGAGGTTGATATACTTATGCTTAGAACATATCTTCTCACACATACACTATATCTTTGTTTTGCGACCATGTTTAGGTAGTGATCTGCGGTATTGTTGGAAGTACTGTGACAGTGGCTTTCTGGCCTAATGCCAGGAATGAGAATCTTGCGCCCACTTGAGAAAAACTGTGAAAATTGATCTATGAGAACTAATGAATAAGCATGGGCTTTCAAGGAAAGTCCATGGATTAAGGGAACTTTCTATATATATTTGCCAGGTTATCGGACTCGAATTAGCCACCTAGTTGTGAAACTGGTAACTACCAAATGTCATCTGTTTCCAGGCCCAAATCAAGGATTTACCAGGGAGAGCGGTTTTACCAAGGGGGGAGTTTTTGGCAAGTTTTTGCGGAGCTTTTTGACAGTTATGGCAAAAAAATCATGCGAAAAGTGCTCAGAATGGTAAAAAACTGCATGATTTTGAAAGAATTTCTGGCCAGGGGAGAGTGTCCGCTCCCTCTGCTCCCCCTGGCTATGGGTCTGGTGTCATTGAAAAATACCAGGAACAGATTGGATTCAAATGAAATTTCTGATAGCTAGATCAAAAAGCAAGGTCAAATCTAGGTTCTTCCTGATTTTTGCAATCCTGACACTACGCTTCAATATAGCTATCTTTGGAACTTAGCACAGAGATAGCATTTAGAATATACTTATAGTGTTAACCTTTTAAGATATTTGTGTCAAGAAAGTAGGTCAACAAAAAAATTCTCCAAATCCAACCTCTGAAGTATCAAAACAATGAGAAATTTTCTAGGGATTTGGAATAACCAACCAATCACCAATGAACAAACCAACCAGCCATAAAGCAAGCAAGCAAACAAATAATTCAGCAAGTAAGCAACCAAGAGAGCAGCCAAGCAAGGAACCGACCAACCAAACAAGCAAGCAACTAACCATACATAACAAGCAAATAAGAAACCAGGAAAGGGTCCAATCAAGAAACCAACCAACCCAAGCAACCAACTAAGCAAACAAGCAACCAACTTAGCAACCAATCAAGTAGCCAACCAAGCAAGCAACCAACCAATTAAGCAACTAACTAACTAATTAACCAACCAAGCAACCAACCAATGAAGCAACTAACTAACTGTTTAACCAATCAACCAAGCAAACAACCAAGCAACCAAGTGAGCAGGGAACGAAATAAGGAAGCTAGCAACTAACTAACCAAAAAACAACTCACCAAGCAAGCACCCAAATAATCAAGCAACCAAGAAAATAGACAACTAGACAATCAATCAACCAACCAACCAACCAATCAACAAGATAACCAACTACACAACTAACCTATACAGAAGATTAAGAATTTAATTAAAACATGGAAAGAAAGATCTCTAACGCCAGTTGGTAAAATATGTGTAATAAAGTCCTTAATTCAGTCCCAACTTTCATACGTTTTGACAACAGTTCCAATACCACAAGACAACACATTAAAAGACCTAGAAGATCTCCTCTACAACTTTATATGGTCAAATAAAAATGACAAAATTGCAAGAGCAACGCTTAGGAGAACAACAGAAGAAGGAGGACTAGATATGACACACCTTGAATCGTATGCAAAAAATGTAAAGCTAAAATGGCTGCGTAAACTAAAAGATGAAGATTGCAACAGTAAGTGGAAAAGAATCTGGATGAGCAAACTAGACAAAAACAGAGACAATAACATTTTAGAGTATAACATTGAAAACCCTTACAGGTCTGAAGTAATTACAACTAATTTGAAAAGCTTGGATGAAGTTCTTAAAATATGGCACGAGGTAAAATATATAAAAGAACAGGATATTGACAACCCCTCCAATGAAATCATATGGAACAATGAATGTATAAAGCAAAACAAAAACCCGCTTCAAAATAAAGAATGGGAAAGGAAAGGTATAACAAGAATTAAACACTTATACCAAAATGGTCACTTGAAAAGTTATGATCAACTAAGAAATCAATATAATTTACAAAACCAGACCTTTCTCAACTACCACACTGTTATAAGATGCATACCACCAAGGTGGAAAACCCTAATGGCAAACACCAACTTACAAGATGACGAAGATAATATTGAGAGATTAAAAACATGGGATAATAAAAAAACGTACCAAAAGCTCAGCAAATAGTTCAAGCAAAAGACCCCTACAGGTCAAACCAAATGGAGAGACATAGAATGGGAAAAAAAATATAATCTAATAAACATACTGACAAAAGATACGAAAATGAAATATTTTCAATATAGGATACTAAATAGGGCAATATACTTCAGAAAAATGCTTTTCAAAAGTAAAAAGTAAAAACCCAAACATGCGTACTGTGCAATAGCAACCAAATAGATGATATAGAACACAGTTTCCTGAAATGCCAAGTGATGGAAGATTTCAATGCTACAGAATCCTGAATGAAGAGATGACCAAGCTTTTATGTTAGGATCTCCAAGATAGAAAATTATGTATAACCCCCCTTTCTGAGCTGGAAACCAAATACTACAAAACATACATACTGAGCCAGAAAGGGGGTAAAAAGAAGACCTAAATAGAAAAACCAAACTCTCACATTTTGATGTTTTGACCCACTATACTTAGATCTAGTATTATAGCCTCTCCCCTCCCCTGTAAACCCCCCTTATATACTTTCTTATAAAGAAATGAGCGACCCTAATTATATTTGTATTAACTGTATTATCATGTAACCTTATTATATTATAATGTAAATCTAAAACTTGAATAAATATTAAAAAAAACAACTAAAAAAAAAAACTACACAACTAACAAGACATCCAAACAACCAATAGGTTGGAACAATAAAAGATATCCAAAATTGACAAGTCAACATTTTGAAGATCAAAGGTCAAGGTAAAGATCTAGGTCGATTCAATGTGGAGTCTTAAATTGAGTCTAGTTAATTTTCTTTTCTCCCACTTTTCTTGCTAGCTAGAAGAGCAGTGCAGTGTAAATGTAGGTGAATAAATAGAAGTTATTAACTGAGAAGGATTACATACGGGTTTTATTCTGAGGGCCAATATGATATTTGACAGTAGCCCCAGGTGGATATAAATATTAAGAGACGAGTGTAAAATTGAAGGGCCTTGCCACATTGTCTAACATGAAAAACATGAAATTTGCCATTGTTGAATATTATAGAACAAAGTCAATTTTAAGTACTTTCATAAACATATTACTTTCTTTTTAAAGAAATCTGTTGATAATTTAATAAAAATGGAATTAATCATAATGATGGCAATACAGAAAGTGAACATTCTCCCACAAATTATATTTTTATTGGAATGTTTTCTTGAATACAATGCAATACTCTTGGAGAACATCTTGATACCTTTTATTCTTATTGGCCTTTTTTGTTTACTTTTACATGAGATGAATATATTTTATGCTTTAATCATATTGAAAATTGATTTTTATTCAACATAATACTAAAACATTTATCTAATTCTTTTTGAAATATTACTATAAAAGGAGAGCATGGCATTGCTCATTTCGAAGGTCTCGTGTTATTACACAGAGTTGCATACCCTTCAATTGAAAGTTCACGGTGATACCTGTAGCGGTACCTGTAGGTACAAAATATTTCGATGAAAATGGATGACATATGTGGTATCCGCATGAAAAGTTTGAACGAAATGCGTTCATTTTTTTCAGCATTCGTTTTTTTATCGGCGATCACTTTTTTGAAGTTTTTCTATAGAAATATTTTTGCCACAGGAACCTGTATCAACACCTGACAGTTACAGTGACATCTATTGGTGACAGAACCCTGGGAATAAATCTCTTATACAACATGTACAAGGAGAGTAACAATCACTGGAAAATCACGAACCCTTTTTTAAAAGTTACAAAATTGTTATTTTTCTTTGCCTGTAAGCCTTCATGTTTTTCCTGTTTGTTGAAAACATATCCAAAGACTAGAATTTAGCATAAAATTCAATTCACTGTCGATTGATTATGATAATTTGATGACTGAAGTTGGTCGACTTTTCGTACGACAATATAACGGTTGTGGCTCAAAATTTCATTACTCACCTTTTGTTCGTTTATCGCTATTTACGACACAAACAACAATCTGAAAATTGCAGAGATCGTCTTTGGAATGTATTTGCGACTGAATTTCCATGTTTTACTTCGGTTGAACGGTATAAATCTGCAATGTTTTTGTATCTGGGGGTAAATTTAAAAATATTTTCAAATAAATGAAAACGAGGCTGTCAAAGTTACCAGTCAAAAAAATTCAATTTAGTGCTCAGTTTTCGTCTCTATATCACTAGTTTCTATTGGATATTTCACACTCCGGATGATGAGTTATTTCTTGAAACACAACTCGATCATAAAGCTCGATCAATTAGAATTTTAAAATATGAATATATTGAGATCTGAGTACTTTTGTGACTTGACTTAACTTTTTCTTCCGAATCAAATAGGTCATCCTCTGGGTCAGCCTCGTTTTCGTTTAATTGAATATATTTTTTTATCTTATGACAAGTGAGGTTTCAGGTACATAACAGCGGGATATAAAATCGATATCTTGGAGGAGCGGGACATATATATATCTCCCGCTCCTGATTAATTTTTTTAATTTTTTTCTAATTTTTTTAAAAAAATTTTTTTTGCTCAACATTTTTTCAAAATTAATTTTTTCAAATTTTTCTTTTAATTTAAAAAAAAAAAATGTTTAAACATTTTTTCAATTTTTTTTCAAAATTATTTTTCACATTTTATTTTTTTCACATTTTTTGAAAATCTCGCAAAGACCAAAAACCGCCTAGTACCTTAAGTTTGTTTTGGAATTTTGGATCTTTGTAAGGTATGATCACGGACCTAAAGTCCGTGGTATGATGTACCTAGAACCTCAGTAGGTATGAAATACATCTGTTATGTACGGTCGGTTTTGGATACATGTGTCATGTACGACAAATAAAATCAACATTAGTTTAAAAAGTTAAAATCTTTTCAATTTATCAGTTGAGGGAATAATCAATGTCTCATTGATAAAAGTTACTTGTCATAGGATAAATTAGTTATGTGATGCTCGGTTTTGGATATGGGGTATATCCCGAGGGAAATACCCCATATCCAAAACCTCCCATTACATAACCCTCATAAATCTAACACCAGATATGAAAACATTGCAAATTGCACGGTTCAAATGAAGTAAAACATGGAAATTCAGTTGCAAATACATTCCAAAGAAGTGGATGAAGTATCCCTGCAATTGTCAGATTGTTGTTTGTGCCGAAACTAGCGATAAACGAACGAAAGGTGAGTAATGAAATTTTGAAAATTTTGAGCCACAACCCTGAACCGTTATATAGTCGTACGAAAAGTCGACCAACTTCACTCATCAAATTATCATAATCAATTGTCATTGAATCGAATTCTATGCTAAATATTAGTCTTTTGCTATGTTTTTAACAAACGGGGAAAATATGAAGGCTCACAGGCAAAGAAAAATAACAATTTTGTAACTTTTAAAAATGGGTTGGTAGATTTTCGGTCTGATCGAGGAGCTCCTTTTTAAGAGATAAAGTGATATTTCCAGGGTTTGGTCACCAATAAATGTCACTGTCAGGTGTTGATACAGGTGTGATTTTAGTCCAACAACATTAGACCTAGCCCGGGCCTCGTTTCTTATCTGACATGTGTTATGGCCCGGCTAGGTCTAACCTCCATGACCATTTTGCCTTTGATGCGTTAATTTAATCGTTCAGCAGGTTTCGACAAGCGGAACTAATTGAAACCTGAAAACATGGCAATATTACACAAAGAATGTGATTCAAGCATGCATACATACCTTATAAACACATACACCCCGTCCCGTATCTCCCTTAGACCCTATTGATGCATAATTACGAAAATATTGGAGACAGGTTTGGAATATGACGAAAATGTCGGTCAGTTTCGGTAACATCGAAATTGCAAATCGTTTCAGGAATTAACCGTCATCACGGCACTGCATTAACGAACAGTTGGTTTGCAATTAATAACTATTTTGCGTGTATATACGCGCTATATAAATTAGTCAAAGATACCTGTTATCCTCAAAATTGATCTTTTTATCCCGAGTAATCGCGATAATAATTATCAATCTATTTGACAACAATTTCGTTTCGCTGGTAGTTTAATTTTACGATCCGGGACACTCAGACGAACAGACACAATGACGGACATGGCGGAAATGTCACTTTAGAGATTGGTAAGTGTAGCCTCATTTTACTCGTATAAATGAACATTTAACACAATAATATTATGTTAAATCGCTTGATGTTATGTGTTTTTATATTATTGTCAAGTATCAGTTGCACGTTGTCGCGGAAAAATGGTTTCGATGGATTCAGAACTTGCATCAAAGGAAAGAATAGTAAGGAGGTTAAACTCAATAATGGCCCCAAGAAAATTCCTAATAATAAAGAACGCCGTTATTGAGTTTAACGACGTTGAACTAGTGTGATTTTTGCTTGACAATAATCAGGTAAAATGCGTATTTGCGCGACATATTGTCACGCAAAAAAACTGGCTTGAATTCAAATTTTCCAGAAAATGCGTGACAAATACGCAACTTGCGGGACAGTTTGAACTTGGAAGGCTTGCGAGTGACAGTTTGGATGGAAAAATAACAGTGAAGATGAGAACTGATGATGATGATAGTGACAGAGTATTTGAAAAACTACAAACAAATTAAGTATTGGAGTATGCTCGATTATTATAAAGTTTAGGAACCTTACCATTGTTCTACTTTGTCTCTATCATGGACTTTATCAACCCAAGTTGGCACAGCTCTCATTTTTGTTTGGAATTTTTGAAATCTCGTACTAAATCTCGTGTAAATGATATATCTTTTATAATTAGTCTATGCCCAATAACAAAGCTTCATATTTCAATTCAGTTGAACAAAAAGATATTTAGGTATTTGAAATTTGAAAAAACTCAAGATTTAGGGAATAAATCTAAAATAAATCTGAAATTTCCCGGAAATGACGTCATCAAAATTTCAACAAAAAAATCAAAACCAAAACCTACCAATGAAGTCAATTTTACTCCATAGTTGGGGAATCCTTTGTACTTAGTTGACATTAACTTAAGCTTTCCTATACAGTGATTACTCGGGACCAGTTTGAATTCGCAGGTAACTCTACAATCTTAGTTTTATTACACTGATTTCCTTTGTTTATAAAGTAGGTCATTCTTTGTGACCTCTGATTCTGAAACCCAAATCATGGTTTATGTAACTAACTAAGAGTTATACAACTAGTATTATATATCAGGTAGGAGTGTTATGTATCAAGCTATTTGTTATAAAAGGACTACAAAGTATTAATTTCTTGGTTATATAACCATGAATTATTAGAGTGACAGTAAACAAACTCCATCAAACTTCAATCCGAAGCATATATTAGCTGCTACAGGCCTACTTGTGGTTGTGATCATGAACCAGATTTTATAATATTGTACAATGGGAACTTCACACATATCTTCGATAATATCTATATCTTTGGTAAGTTCTGTTTATATAAAAAACCTAATATTAGCCTTACCGTCGAGCTTGGAAGGTAATGTCGAGGAATAGCATAAGATGGAGAACCTAGCATGCATTTTATGTACAGTTTTGACCATGGATAATTGAGTCGGGGATTTACTGAAGGAAGGATTTCCCATGTTCAAAATTAGAGAATTTTCAAGAGGCTATACATCAATGGATAAGAATAAACAAAATGTAGAATCTACGCTTTTAGGGGATATGTATCTAAACAGTACTGGAAACTACAGTATGGCATGAGCTTTCAAACCACCATGGTTTGGAAATGGTGATAGAAATTAACTACTCCAAACTGTAATCATTTCAAAGTTTGTTTATGTTTACATTTTATTTAAGAAATAAAAAATCATGTATCATTCTATATTGGAAATATAAAAGCATGAGTGTATGTACTAACCCATCTACATAATGCACGAAGGCAGAATTGGTTAGTACATTACACCAATGCTTTTATATTTCCAATATAGAATAACTTAATAAAAAGATTCCATGAAAAATACTAAAACAGACATAGAAATAGGTTGATAATAAGTTGATCATGGTGTTGCCCTTTGTGTTCTCTGATTTAGAATCATGAAACATCACAAAATCGTAATATAAATGAATAGATAAGAAGCCGTTTGCAAAGTTACGAAAATGTCATAGGTGCTATTAAATCTACGAACGAAAGCAAGCATGATGTCACTATTTTCATAATTTTACGAATCATTTGTAACTGTAAGAATCTTATGAAGATGCAACTTTATGAAATTCGCAAATTAAACAATGGGCTTACGAACATTAGTAACTACAAACGGTACAAAAACAAGCCCCTGAATATGAAGTTCAAGAAATATTGAGGAATGACCAAGAATAATACGTATATCTGAAATAATTGAATTTTCAAATAAATCAAGATGGCAAAATAACAGTTTCCAGCGAAAATGATGAAAATAATTGGGGAAAAAATTCTTTTAATTCAGGGGGCTCCTCTGGGAATTTCCTCAATTTTGTTTTTTGATTCTTGGTTCATTTTAGCCAATTACAGAGAATATGTGTTTCATATTCATACTTAAGTTCCACAAAGCTAGATATTATTCATACTTAAGTTCCACAAAGCTAGATATTACCAATTAAAGATACCATAAACCATGACAAGTCATGACTTATACGTTTTATGTTACTTTGAGATTCAGGGACTGACTGTCAAATGCAATATTACTCAAAAGGTTGAGGTGACTTGTTGTTATAGTATTTGCTTATTTAACTTCCAGGTATGGCTGGACATGGATCAGCAAGTAGCAACTATGATAGTAAAATCAATGGAAATAGAGAACTAGTCATACCTCAGTCAGGGAATAATACTAGTCTCTTACAAAACCACCTAGATTCAAACATCATAGCAACGAAACCATCAATAAGCAAACTTGATTCTTTGCTGAATGATTCAGCGTTACCTCAGGAAATTAATCCAAATCCTTTATGTGCAATTCCCAAAACAGTGGATAATTCTGACGAAGAAACGACAATGTTTGCTGAAAGAGAGTGTAATAAGATTTCTTCTAGCAGATGTACAAGTGACTCAGAGGTTGATCGAGAAGTTGAAGGAATACTAAATAAAAACACTTCAAAAGTGACAAAATTGCCAACAGTGGCTAAACCACATGATATATCCCCATCAACTGAAGGTGAGAGTGATAAAGATGCAAATGATGATGATGATGATGAAGAGGAAGATGACATTGATGAAGATGATACAGATGTTTCCCCAGTGTCTCAGGAGAGTGAAGAACAGCCACCAGCTAAAAGAAAAAGGACAGCCAGTAAAAAAGGAAAAGAAGACAAAAAGAAGAAGAAAAGTAAAAAGAATTATGAAAGGAAAAATATCAGGTATGCTGTGATATGATTATTAATTTTAGGATGAACTAATTCCAAGTGCATTATTTTAATCGAAGTATTGTCAGACATAACTTTTGCTCATAAAATTAATTACATGTATTATATGTTTATAATTTAGGCATTCAGTCAGTATATCATTATCAAAATCATAATTGTTAATACTCCTTAAAAAGACAATTATGAAATGAATTCTAGAAAAATCCTGAGCGATGATAAACTAGCTGAAGATACAATCAATGCCCAGCAGGAGGAAAAAGAACGCCAGCAACGTCTAGCTGATTTAAAACGCACACTACTAGCCCAACAAGCTTTGCAGCAAAATCTTGGGTTCCAAGGCAGACAATTTCCCCCAAATGTCATAACTCAAGCAGAGAAGAAAAAAGAATGCCCCCAGTTAAAAGGGCTACTTGAAGCATGTAAGTACAAAAATGTACGGTTTTCATAATTCATTACAGATTGTAGTATCTTACATATTTTTTAATACTAATCTGATGACAAGGTTTTTTAATTGATTACACCATTTTGTTCAAACACTGCATGGCTAAGAAGTTTAATGTAAGATAACATCTTGGTTATAATCTTTTTTCACAAAGGTGTTACAATGTATTTGTTAAGTTTTTTTGTCAAAATTGTGGTTTTTAAATCCTATGCAGTAAATGGATTAATTTCTTGTCTTAATATTCAGGCTCAAATATATATCTTTTATTTCTGATGTAACCATATATTTCTGACTTGTTTTGCTTTTGATAAATCAAATATTGATCACCTGAGATATCTAGCACTTACACATGTCACATGTCGTTTAGATTTTACTTATATGTGCTAATTGATATAATATAATAATTACGTACATACATTGTATGTATGTACATGTACAGTAAAATCTGGGTATATCAAACACTTTTTTCAAGTGAATATCTTAAAATACGAACATTTTTCAGCATCATTCATAACATACAAATTGACTCTTGTTGTTCCACGTTATCAAAAGCCCTCTGAATATGAGGGCCTTGACAAGTCCTAGCAGTATTCACATATTTTTGTACATATGTTAGGCTTTTAGACTTCAGCTCTCTGCTTGAGTTCTGTGTTAAGACCTAAACCATAGTCTGAGAGCTTTGACCTAGTCCAAAGTGAGTCTAATTTGATATTCATGTCACATTATTTGTGGTAAAACTCTTGAGAAAATACATGAAAATTTACAAAGAATAGAGAGTTGCAATGTATATTGTGATAAATTTATTAGCAGATAATCTTAAGCATTTTGTAAAATATATTTATAGAAGTTGCCAATCTCACATGTCTAAAAGCTTAAGGTGTCGAAGGTTAAAGTGTGCTAATAGACTTTAAGTTCAGTCACATGATTGACAATAAGCATCAAGATTTATTATCATGCAGGTCTCTCAAGTTATTTGTGACAAGTCTGAATAGCACAGTGCCCAGATTTCACAGGTCTAACCAGGGATATATTGGATTGAGAAAAGCATGGGGTCATGATGACCTTTTAGATATAGAATTTGATAAATGCACAATTTAGTAGTTTGGATCCAATAATAAAATAAGGAAATGATTAAATGATCGTAGAATTGATGTTTTAAGTTAAAAGCCTAACAGCTGTAATAATAATCATCCTATTAACCCTACAATATTTTGCATTCATAATGATGTAGAACTTACCCAATCAAAAAACTTAAAATCAGTGTTTTTTCTAAGCGCTGGACCACCGGACGAATCCTGCGATGTTGACCCGGGACTGATGAGTTATTTCAACCATGTCCTATGTCCATGTCATGTCTCATTTTTCGTAGCCCTGTTATTATTCTCATCATCGCCTGCTTCAATACCAGTACTATATTTCTTATCGAAGATACGATGGCTAAGATATGCTCCAAATTCATCATCCCATTGAAACTCTTGAAAACTGACAAACTTTTACAAAAGTTTCAGATCTGCAAACAAGGATAAATGTCGCAGCATTATTTATCACTAACTGTGAAAAGCTGTCTTCTTGAAATTTTCAGATTTTCAGAAGCACATTATAAACTGGGAATTCTAACAGGAGCCATTCATTTCTGTCCACTACAATATTGAATGAAGAGAATAAGTGAAAAAATACCCCCGAAATTGCATGGGAATTTAATAAATTGAATGAATACACTATTAGTGAAGATACAAAACTGAATTTATTTTCGTTTAGTGTAGTCGAAGTAAGTTCCATTTTGGTATTCATATTTTTGTATTTTAAATTTCTTTTGGAACTGTTGGCAAATTTGATCAATTTTCGATAAGAAATATAGTACTGGCATTGAAGCAGGCGATGATGAGAATAATAACCGGGCTACGAAAAACGAGACATGACAGGGAACGTTAAAATAAGGCTTGTAGGCCTACTAGTCACGGTAATTCTTTGATATTTTAAGTTTTAACTCTTAGCAGTCTAAACTAAATACCAGTATTTGCTGCCCTGGTCTGAGCAAAATGAACAATTTGACCATAGTAACAATATATTTTTGATCTGATCATCAAGTGTTGGGTATGTATTATCAACCAAGCGCATATTTTTTTTTGTTTCTAAATGAATTTTAGCAAATTTTAGCAATTTTAGCAGCAGACCCTAGGGAATGTCTGATTTTGTGAGATAAATCGTCTGCAAGTGCAGACTGCTAAGAGTTAAGGACTGGTTAGTTTTTACTTGGACTGGTGATATAACTGAAGTTACAGGTCCAGGTGATGGATGATGCTTAGCCTGGACAGGTTGAAATTATGATTTTGCTGGTCCATTGGTCCTGTGAGTTGTGTTCGCTTAGGAAAAACACTGCTTAAAATAGACATTGGAAAGATGTTCTCGAAATATTTGTTTTACTCAATAATGCCTTCCATTGTATCAAAGCACAATGTCTGAAAATAACGCTGTGCAGTTTTCTATACATTATCACAGCAAAAAATTTGAAGCAAAAACTATAATTTCGGTTTTAAAAATTAATCGATTTCGTGTGTTATAAAATTAGCATTCTTTGGAAAGACTATTAACCTTCTAATAACAACAAGATATTTCTAAGCTCTGACAAGGTTTTTTGATTTTTCTTAGCTTGAATCCTGTGGAGAAATGTCCATGTTAAACAAGAGATTTTGTAGATTTGGGTGAAAGACCTTCAATTTAAGTCAAATGACATAATTTCCTAATTAGAGTGGGAACTGTGAGAATAGGTGGATGAAGGATCTGCAGAGAAGTAGACAGAAACTCACTTAACTCCAAAGATAAATGTCTGGAGAAATGAAAATGTCAACATACGAGTACAGTACATTCATATCTTTAACATGATGTCATTTAAAGTGAATCGCTAAATAAACATTACTATACTGTACTTGATATTGAACTTAACAGATCTCTCAAGCAACTCTATCGTTAGTTAATCATTAAGATTATACTTCTAAACACTCATTATTTATAACAGTACAGGAACAAGGTGAAAACTACTCATCCTATTCGAGGAATTCTAAAAATACACGATGGGCCAAAACTGTAACCCTTCAAACAGTCCTTGATGAATATATTCAATATCAAGAATGTTCAAAAACATTCATAAATGGAATTTCCAGAAATTGTCTTTGCTATTTTTTTAGTTTTTCTAGATTTTCATAGGTACCAAAAATATATCCTATCTACTCATTTTTTATTTATTTATTTAATTCTATTTTTCTAAACTTTTTTGATGATGTCATGTGAGAGCATGGCTAGACAGGAAACATGATTTTTTTTAAATCAAAGTTTAAGTAGTAACTAGTTGAAGCTTTGATCATGTGATCTACTCAAGAAAATGCAAGATGATTCAAACTTTATTTTAAAATGAGAGTGTTGGATTTTTTGGAGTCACTATGTTTCCAATTTGAAATAGAATTTTGAATTTTATTGCTGTGGCAGTCACCTCACACTGCGTTTTTCATATTTTTCTAACACTAATGTCTTTTGAGCAGGTATCCAAGGGATCATGTTTTACAACTAACTAACAACAGAAGCTATACATACACAGTCTCTTCTTTCTTTCCTGAAAAAATGAACACAATTGGATTAGTATTTTCCAAGATATAGCGATCTCTTGCATTTTTTGAACACCCTGTATATTATTAAAATAGTTCATGGCTTATTTTTGGTTTTCAGCTGATGGAGGGATTCAGAGCTCTGTGCCTAAAGGTTTGTACATAATTTATATACAATACATGTACTAATATAACACTGCTAGAATTTTTTTTATCAAATATGATAAAAATCATTGTGATGAAAGAAGAGCTTAATTTTCAAAAACAAGAATTTTTTTGAAAGAATCTCTGCTTATAATCTTGAGAATGTATTAATTTCCTTTGATGATCCTTAAATGGTCTTTGGGAAGGGAGGAATATTTTAGATTTAAAGGTTGTTTCAGTTTTGAATAAAAACTATTGATTATTTCTTGATACATATGAAATATTTCAATATTTTCTGTATTCCTGCTGCATTATATTAAGCAATGTATTCATGATGTCCTTCCATGAATGATGTTAATGAATTTACCAAAATCAAGGTATTTCTTGGGACTGTTTATCAGACGTATGTGTTCCTGTTCTGTTTCTAACTCTTCTAATCATATTCTTCCTCACACTCACAGATCCAGATGTTATTGAGTTGTCCAGTGACGAAGATGATGACGTTGTGATGATGGCTGAACAACAGGGGGAGTTTGATGAGGACGATAATGAGGATCCAAACAATTCTGGAGCACATATAAATGATGCTCATAACAGACCTGATGAGCAAGGCCGTGTGATGGTGAATGTTGGACATCCCCCTGATGAACCCCCAGTCTATCTGGCTCCTCAGTTATCAAGGGCTGTAAAACCCCATCAGGTACACAGACGTGGAAAATGATTTAGCAGAGGTGGAAAATGATTTAGCATATGACCAAGAGGTGGAAAATGATTTAGCATGTGCAAGTTGTCACATGCACAGTTTGTTCTTAAAATATGGGGTTAAATTGTTGGTACCATCCGAATAGTCCTTTGTTTATTATGTAGAACCTTCACATGTCAATCAAGTTTATTTTTTTAACTTGTATGTTTTTTTGTTTTGTTTGAATTATTTTGTAAGCATTTATTGACATGAAATGAGCATCCCACATGCTTCAGAAATAATGAGCTCCTGATTTAAGAGCTACTTAATAACAACAGGCATGAGAAAATGTTTGTTGCAATTTAAAGTTCCTTTTCAATTGTGATCTAATGATTGATTCAACTGACCTAATTACAAAATCTAATTGTATTTACATTTATTTTCCAGATTGGTGGCATTCGGTTTCTGTATGATAATTTGGTGGAATCCATTGAACGATATAAAATCAGTAATGGCTTTGGATGTATATTAGCCCACTCTATGGGACTAGGAAAGACAATTCAAGTTATTTCATTCATAGACGTCTTTCTACGCACAACGGAGGCAAAAAGAGTGTTGTGTATCGTTCCAGTAAACACTCTCCAAAACTGGGTCGGGGAATTTAACATGTGGCTTCCTGATAAGAAATGTCTCCCTGACGATACTCCAGAACAGGAAGTACTGCCTCGACAATTCAACATCCACATTATCAATGATACTCACAAAACACCGTACTCCCGAGCAGCTGTTGTAGAGAACTGGTATAAAATAGGAGGTGTTCTATTACTGGGGTATGAAATGTACCGACTATTAACATCACGTAGGATAATCAAAAAGCGTATGTCCAAAAAGAAAGCACATTTACCAGTGGTGATAGATTTAGAAGAAGAGGATAGAAATCAGGAATTAATAGTTGGTAAGTTTAATGAGTTGTGAATTTTTCCCCTATTTGTAGCAGCTATTTCGACATTTATGAAAATTATGAAATAATGCTAAACAACACTTATTAATTAGCCTAAGGAACTTTGCCCCCTGAGTTTTCCCATCAATAAACCATACCATACTTTTCCAGATATGCAAGCTTGTTTAGTGACACCGGGTCCAGATCTTATAATTTGCGATGAAGGCCACAGAATCAAGAATGCACATGCCAGTATATCACAGGCATTGAAAAACATTCAGACCAGGTATGAAATTACAATAACATGTAGTGCTTTGGAAAGCATTTGAATTAGATATGTATTTCTGAAGCCTCTTGAACATATATTACTTGAATATTTTTGTACCCATAAATCTGATTTTTGGAACAGTTTCTAATTTCCCGGTGTATGAAAGAAGAACAAAATCTAGGTGTGCTATTTTATTTTAACAAACTTTCCAAATTGATATTTTTAATCTCATCTCAATGTAGATAAAGTTTTCTTCTTTCAGAGGAGTAAGTATAATAAGCATTGACTATAACCCCTTTACATGTCCCCCAGATCATTAAGATAGTTTGTGAACTTTCTTGCAGGCGCAGAGTAGTCTTAACTGGTTATCCTCTTCAAAACAATCTCATAGAATACTGGTGTATGGTGGATTTTGTACGTCCTAGCTTTCTCGGTAACAAGACAGAATTTGCCAATATGTTTGAAAGACCAATTACCAATGGACAATGTGCAGATGCCACTGATCAGGATAAACGTCTGATGAAATTCCGAGCCCATGTGCTTCATAGTCTGCTTGAGGGCTTTGTTCAGAGGTATGATTGATTCTGTTTATGATCACTCTGGATAAATGTAAAGGCAGACTTTTTGTCTAAAAACTAGGGGTCAAACGGTTAACCGCGGTACACGGTTACCGCGGTTAATGATGCTAGGACGGTATTTTCGGTTCATAAATATGAGATTCGGTTCATCCACGGTTCGAGGAAAAATTGAAAAATAAAATTTTTTAGTCTTCAATATTCTCTCTTTCGTTCGACATGAACTTATTCTTCATGAATATATTCCTTAAAAACATGTTTATAGCAATAGAAAACATTCAATTCCTACCTTAGATGTGAAACAGATCGCTCACAAATCGATAGACAAGTAATTGTTTACATTTTTGTGACATTTAAATAGACCGGAAGTTGGTCTCGCCAGATTACGCTATTCATAGTATAATTAATTTTGCTTCGTGGAGGTGTTTTGTCTGTTATAATAAGTTTGTTTTTAATCAATATTATTTAAAAAATACTACAATTACAGAAATTATAACATTACTAATGTCTTTGTTAAAAACTTGAAACATATTTGTGTTTAAATCTCCCGCACAATCGCAGCGCCATCTGTGCTGATTCAGCATGACTGCTTTGACAGACTACAAGAATTGCGAGATTAAATCTCAATTATTGAAATACAAAAGCAACGTTTGGAATGGGTAATCAGAGGACAATGTATCAATATGCAGAATCTGTAGGGAGATCATAAAGTATCTTCACGGTGAGAAAAATATTTTCTTAGGCTAAATTTTTTCCTCAAGTTAAGTTAAGACATAGGTCTGGGAAAATGTATAATAAAAAAGATGAGTTGAATACACCAAGTAAAGAGATCTCTTTACTTGGTGTATTCGACTCGATCTTTATATGCATGTTCCCGGGGCTATGTTACTGCTTGTGCTACATGTAGATCTCAGCTCTTAATACAATCAAGGACAGAAAAATCTAAAGTTTAAAATTTAAAGTTGGCCACTAGGCCAATAAACTTTGCTTTGTCAAGTCAATTTAATAAAAAAGGATAGTGGGACCAGGATAGAAAGTGGCCAACATGGGCAAGGCTAGATAGAAAGCTAAAACCTGTTTCTTTATGAGCTGTCTTTACTATTTTATAAGGAAATATTACCATTTTACGAGACCCGCGAGAACCGTGAAAGAACCGAACCGTGAACCTAAAAACCGTGACCGAACCGAACCGTTGGAATTTTGAACCGTTTGACCCCTACTAAAAACTGTTTATTCTATTATCGTATGATCTGTAAAGTGACTAGCCTTCTGATTGGTCAGTTCTTGTAATGTACCAATCTGTATTGCTACTGAAATTGTCCCCATTGATCATAACTGTAATTTGGCACTTGGTAACAATTTGTTACATTTTTTGCAGAAAGTTTCAATGTTTTAACATTTTTTCATGTTTGTGCCTTGTTACAAATTGTAGTATTTTCAGCTCTATTTGGAGTAATGTGAAATAATATTGACATTTTCAGACGTGGGCATGCTGTATTGAGATCCAGTTTGCCAGTGAAACATGAGTATGTCCTGATGGTGCGTATGTCTCCAATTCAACGGCAGCTTTATAACAGATTCATGGAAGTCATAGAGGACCCAAACATGTTTGGAAACAATCCACTAAAAGCATTTGCTGTTTGTTGCAAGGTGAGGTTTCTTCTTTTTAACAACATGTCTATTCTAGTCTGCTTGTTGGATATGTATTGACATTCTTTTAATATGTAGATTGGAGAATTTGTTCTAATAAATTCATTACCCGATACAAACTCAATTAGAAGCTTGTAGATGACTGGTTATAAAGTAGCTTTTATACTGTTGAGAAGAGTTTCCCAATACACTGTATCACATTAGGTTAAAATATCATCACAATTTAATCAAAGGAGTATAAAAATATGACTTTCTTTAATTTAGATATGGAACCACCCTGATATTATCCAGGAAATTGTCAAGGCTCATAAAGAGAATGACTTTGATCTTGACCTTGATGAGGGTTCAAGGTCAAATGATGGAACAGCCAAGAAGAAAACAGCTACTACTAAGTCTCCCAAATCTCAATCACCATATTTCCCAGGAATGGAGGGCTTGGAGCCCCCTCCTGGCCTCTTTGGACCAGAGAAGTCAGATGGAAGGATAACTTATGAATGGGTAAGCATATTTTAAAATGATTAAATTATTGAATGATACAACACTTACAGTAAAACGTTTGTAAGGGAACACCTTTGGTACATTAAAAAGTGTCCCTTTTGGGAGGTGTTCCACCTGCAGAGGGCCATTTAACAATGAGTCAATATGTTGTGAAACTTTGAAGTGTTCCATTTATAGCAGTGTTCCACTTACAGATAGAGGTGTTCCACTTTACATGTTTTACTGGATTTCAATGTTCGACATAAAACTGTATACTTTCTGTTTTACAGGCAGAAGATCTACTGAGGAACTATGTTAGAGGAGACATCAATAATGGTGGCAAGATGCAGTTACTGTTGAACATTCTGGAAGAGTCAGTCATGGTGGGAGATAAGATGTTACTCTTCAGGTAGAGTACCCTTTACAAAAGTGATGGTTTTCATTTTACACTCCTTGAATAACAGTTGAAGTATTACATTTGCCAAGTCAACTACTAGTATTATGTCCCTTGGTCCCTAATGTACCATTTGGGCGAACCCCCTACCCCCATTAATTCTAGTGGTTATTCTCACGATTTTCGCCCCTTAAACTGTACCCTTCATGTGGACGAGTGTATTTTATCTGTTGTCAACATGTGAGGTCTGTAGTTCAAAGAATTTATAGATAATTTGCAAATTCTGAGTTTCCCAAAGGTCTAGTGCCTTCTTTCTAGTGTACCCTAGGGGAAACTCTTGACTCTGAGACATATGCATTATAAAATCCCCACTCCCAGGATGAAGTTTCCTGTCAAATTCTTACCCCCTGGGACAATACTTCATGTCAAATTCCTGCCTTGGGGGTCTCACACAAATCCTGAATGGGACATTAATGCACTGATGTTGTAAATATTGCCTATTTTGCTTGTTGGAACTTAATACTGGTTACTTGTTTCTTATATGTTTTGTTAACAATTAAAAGATATGAGACACCAATGATTGTCACCTATTTTATAATGTTATATCATACAGGTTAGGTTGTATAACATTTCACTTCATCAATGACAAATATATTAGCACATATTAGAAATATGGACAAACACGTCATTACACAGCAATATTTATTTCATAAAATACAGTATATGTATATAAAATAGATTCACATGACGTTATAATAAAAATTCTAATATGATACACGATATCACAAATTTTATAAATGCAAAAAGTTGTTTTTCTCATTTGTTTATCATATTAGAATCGTAACAAAAACCTCAGATTCTATGATTTATGGCAAATATTTGACCCCAGATTTTATTCTGGCGCCCATTGCCAAAGACTTTTAACAAAGAACAGAATAAAATTTTCAGTCATTTATTGCGCCATGAATCATAGAATCTTGTTGTTTATTCCATAGATAACAATTGAATTTGAGTCATATAATGGCGTGTGGATTTTGATTATACAATGTATACAAAATCAAAATAGCTCACTTTCTGGTTTCCTGATTTACTGATTTATTTGCACATCAGGTTTTTATCCCTTTGATGTATACTCTTGCTTCAAATATTTATTTTTATTTTCAGTCAAAGTTTGTTTACATTGAACCTTATAGAGGAGTACCTAGGGAAAAGTGAGGTTCCTCTTACTAATGACAAGTGGGCTAAGAACAGAAATTACTTCAGTAAGTTGCTTTATCGTTATCAAAGTGACTGCTTAAAAGTTATTTCCCCCTCCAGCATGCAATTAAGAACTTCTAAGTGTACTTATATTTTATTTACAATATAAAATTCGCTTGTATGAAAGTAATAAAGATGCAAATTTAGAAATCATCATACATAAAAAATAAATACTTGCACCACATAATCTCTAGTAATCCCTTTTCGAAATGAAAGTGTATGTGAACTTGGGATTTGATTTAAGATGAGTAACACATCAATGAACTAGAATTTACATGGAAATTCATTGGTTTTATCTATTTTCAATTTTTTATTGTAGGGTTGGATGGCAGCACCTCTGCCTCAGAGCGTGACAAATTGATCAATCAGTTTAATGACCCTCAGAACACCAACGTGCAATTATTCCTCTTGTCAACTAGGTGAGTCATTTTACATTATCACATTTTATTATCTTACACATTTAAGTTAGTTTGGCCACCTGTGTGTTCACTGAAGTGTTCATGGACTTGTAAATAGAGTTCAAGGACCCAGTTATGTCTTATTAATTAAATCCATGCAGGCAAGGGAAGTGTTTCCATGGATTAAAATGTTAAATTCACCAAAGCTCAGTCACAAGCCTGAGGAACCTGCTAATATAATATAATACTGGATTTTAAACTTTCCAAATATGACTTTAATATTAATATGGATTAAAACCTATAATTAATTAAATACTAGATATGACAAATAAATAAAATTATAATCTACCTACATGGTGTAGATATCCTAATGTTAGTCTAAATTTATCTATGTGTAAAGAGTGTATGCTTCTGTTGCTCTTTAACAAAACATGTGGGGCAGTGTATTTATTTATATATTACAAGATGTCCGGGAGATTAGGTACAAAATATAAAAATGCAATAGCAATATGTTTTAAATGTAAAAAAGTTATAAAGCTGAATATTCATAAGCATGGCACACTGTTTTATGACACTTTGGCTAGAAGGTGGCCATTTTGAAAATGACCACCATTTTTACATGTGTTATTTTACACTTTTTACTATAACTCAAAAAGTAATAAGCAATTTTTTTCATATTTGATATGTGAATACACACTATCACTGGTGATCCACTCGATTACGCTGGTTACCGAAATGGTTCGTTTTGGTAACAAAATGTTGGAACGTCGAAGGTACGATTTTTCTCTTTTCCTTATTTCACACGTTGTAGGCAGAATTCCCACGACATTTTTTAACACAAACGTGTATCAGTATCATATGTTTAAGAAAATGTACATATGTGCGAACAAATAGTTCAGAAGACAACAGAATCGTCGATTTAATGCTTCACTTAAGTTACATAAACGGTTTTTCGAAAAACAGTTAAGATCTGCACTTTTAACCCAAACCGTTTATGTAACTTAAGTGAGGAATTAAATCGACGATTCTGTTGTCTTCTGAGCTATTTTTTCGCAAACATGAACATTTTCTAAAACATATGATACTGATATACGTTTGTGAGAAAAAAACGTCGTTGGGATTCTGCCTACAACGCGTGAAATAAGGAAAAAAGAAAAATAGTACCTTCAACATTCCGACATTTTGTTACCAAAACGAACCGTTTCGGTAACCAGCGTAATCGAGTGGATCACCAGTGACTATGCTACAACATGACCACATTTAAAATGGATACAGGCTGCAGGGAAGTTGGATGTAGCTGGTATTCTCTATCTTTGTCTTGGTCTTTTCTGGTATGTATCTATAAAATGGATATAGTAGACACTTGAAAGATATGTAAAATCTATGTAAAACTTCACTGGATGCTGTATCCCTTTTAAATGTGGTCACATGGCAGGGTAGTGTGGAATACACATGAGTATGGCACAATGTCTTATGACACTTTGGCTAGTAGGTGGCCAGTATGAAAAATGGCCACCATTTTCATTATGTCCCCACCACATAGTGTGGGGCCATATTGTCGGCCTAGGCGCGTCCGTCTGTCCGTCTGTCTGTCCGTCCGTCTGTCTGTCTGTCTGTCCGTCTGTCTGTCCGTACGTCCGGGAGTTTTCTCCAAAACCGCTGCAGATATCACCTTCAAATTTTCAGGGATAATTTATGAGTGCATACAGATGTGGATGAAAAAAAATTAACTCGATACCTACTTCCTGTCGGCCATTTTGAAGTCAAATGCTAAAATCCTTGTCTGCAAACTTTAAGAAAAACGGCTTCACAGTTGCTTTTAAAACTTTAACATCTTGTTCAGCTCACTTCATTCTAGATCTGATTAGGTTTTGGACCTGTTAGCTCAGTCATGTCAGCCATTTTGAATGTTTTAAGAAAAGTTAGCGCACGATAATACTTTGTATCATATTGAATGGTGTTTTTCAGTTTTCATGCTTTAACTTTTTAGTAGCTTTATAAATAATTTCAGGTGTACTTTGTTGTAAAAGCTTATGTTATTGTTAACAGTAGGTATATGTGATAATTTTGTAAAAAGATTTCAGCAAAAACTCATAATCACTTTTTTATTGTCGGCCATTTTGGATTTTTCCGTCCTAAAATCTTGTCTGTAAAGTCTTGTCTACGCGTTTTCAGGTGAACCGTTTGGTAGATCAATTTCAAATTTTCAGGGATGATTCTTAGTATGAGAATCTAGATCTGATTAGTTTTTGGGCATTCTGGGTAAATGTCAAGGCAGCCATTTTGGATTTTCCGTCCTAAAATCTTGTCTGTAAAGTCTTGTCTACGCATTTTCAGGTGAACCGTTTGGTAGATCAATTTCAAATTTTCAGGGATGATTCTCAGTATGAAAATCTAGATCTGATAATTTTTACGGCATTCTGGATAAATGTCAAGGCAGCCATTTTGGATTTTCCGTCTTAAAATCTTGCCCGTAAAGTCTTGTCTACGCGTTTTTAGGTGAACCGTTTGGTAGATCAATTTCAAATTTTCAGGGATGATTCTTAGTATGAAAATCTAGAACTGATTAGTTTTTGGGCATTCTGGGTAAATGTCAAGGTAGCCATTTTGGATTTTCTGTCCTAAAATCTTGTCTGTAAAGTCTTGTCTACACATTTCCAGGTGAACTGTTTGGTACATCAATTTTAAATTTTCAGGGATGATTCTTAGTATGAAAATCTAGAACAGATTAGTTTTTGGCATTCTGGATAAATGTCAAGGCAGCCATTTTGGATTTTCTGTCCTCAAATCTTGTCTGTAACGTCTTGTTTACATGTTTTCTGGTTAACTGTGTGAGGGATCAATTTCAAATTTTCAGGGGTGGTTCTTAGTATGAAAATCTAGAACTGACTAATTTTCTGTCATTCTTGGTAAATTTTAAGATGGCCATTTTGGATTCTCCGTCCTCAAATTGTGTCGGTAAAGTCTTGTCTACTCATTTTTAGGATAATCATTTGACAGGATTACCCATAGGTGGGGACATATTGTACACATTTGTGTTCTTGTATTATATATGTTATTTTACGAATTTTGCTTACTGAAAAGTAATAGAAGGATTTTGTAAAAATGGCAGCCATGGCTGTTAGATGGGATTTGCTATGCTTTGGCATTGCTGTTTTCTAGTTTATTAAAACCAATTAAAGGCAAACACACAGTTTGAAAGACCTATTATTTTCTGACTTTGTTGGTTTTGAATCCCGCACATTATGGTGTAACAGCTAGCATCCTACCTTTGTTAGTTGCAATGCTATTGTGATCCAAAGTAATGTTCCAAATTTATTAGACAAAAATCTTTCCTAGTGAAATTGGTAATTATATTATAAAAAATATACCCCTATATGGTCTTAAATTGTCAATATCTTCATTAATCGTGGTCCAATTCTATTGAAATTTGGTTCAAAACATTGAATATTAGATTTTCCTTTGTTTTTTTATGAGATATTTATATGAAAGGCTTCTCAGATTCTGGGTCACAAGAGGCAACTTTGCCCCCTCTAACTGTCAGTGTAGGTACCATATCCCTTAATGGTTGAATGGTTAAAACTGCTTCAAAATGGTCAATGAAAGTGTCAAATGAGTTTTCTGCTCAAATAGTGTCCCATTTGTCAGTTGGTAGGGTTTTAACTTTAACTGTACTCCCACTAATATTTGACGCTATTATATTTAGCTTTTTTGGCATTTTGAAATTTCGCGGTTATTATATTTCGCTAATTTTCAGTTTTTTAAAATTTTGCGGCTATTAATTTCCGCGGATTTGTCATACAGGATCACTTTTTCAACTTTGGTATCAGCCATGGTTGTTCCTTCTCCCAATGATTTTGGCTTCTTATTGAGCCTTTTCATTTCATTTTAATACAGTAATAATGATCTCTCTTCTAATTTCTCTTTTTCAAAACTCAAAATGTCACGTTTTTACTTATTATCACCAAGCACTGGACGAAAATATTGTTAACATTGAAATCCTCTGGAATTTCCTTGGAATTTCGCGACTACCAAATTTCGCGCATTAAAACTGGAGGAATTTCGTGGCTATTACATTTCGCGAATTTTCCAAAACTTGCGAAAAGCGCGAAATATTGTAGCACGCGAAAGTTACCGGGAGTACAGTATATCTCTCAGTGAAAGCTTTTTTTAAGATCATCAAGTGTGTTCAGACAATTTCATTGGTAAAATTTTGCACAATATCTAATTTTCAGGCATGTTTGTTTAAGTCTTGGGATTTTTTCAAAATTCAATGAGAATAAATTATGGCATCAACAAAAATTTTAGACTATTCTCTTTAAGATGTGATAATATGAGCCAATTCATCCATGTATTTAGGAAATTATAGCCTGTTGCAGGAGTTCACTTTTTGGACCACCCTGTATATACCCTTTGAAGATCTTTAGATTAGTTTACCAGTCAGTTCTTGACCTTTTTTCATCTAACTCATTTGATAGTACTACAAGCTCTGCCTCAATTAAAGCATCACTTAGTTCCTGAGGCAATGCAAGTTCTTTTTCCATTATAGCATTGTTTGTGACTTCCTTAGCTCCTGCCCCCGTATACTTCAGTATTTTACCCGCTTTTGGCATCTGCTTGGCTGAATGGACACTTCTATCCCTCCATTTTATCAGCATTTGGAAGATCTGTTCTTCTGTGTGGCCTGGGTTGTTCAGCTCAATAGTTTCAATCTCTGCAGATGTTAATTTTAAATAGCTAGCTACTGATTTCCAGGATTTCCCAAGTTTTGTTGATAGATCTCGGAAGTATTCATCCTTCAGAATCTCTACAAATTGAACCAAAATTCAGTAAAAAAGTTCAGAAATGGAGTTCTTGCTATGGAAAGGGGAATTTACAAAGAGTCATTCTAGTTTTTGAGAAATCCTAGGATTGTGTTCATTTTGGATTTGATGAAGTCTAATAATTTGGGTTTATCTATTCAAAGTGCTAACTGTTACTTTTGTGTGACATGGTTTTCTTTTGTCAATCTCTAACATAAATGATGAAATATATACAGTATTTCAAAAAACAAAAATCAGATTTTAAATCTGATAGCATACTAGGGATTCTGAGTAAATTTTATACCATTACAGTTGAAATATATATGAGTATTATCATAGAATGTAATTTTTACACACCATATTTCATTTGTTCAGTGCCCCCAGCTTTGATCTCCATGGCCTTTTGACTCTCTTCAAGCAGTTTATTAAGAGTGTCAGGGTTACCTCTTATATTGTCCAAATACTTGAATATTTTCTCTACCTCACTTTCACAAACGTCCTGTGGAGGGAAGATAAATGCATTGTTTTCGGCAAAGAATCCAAGACCAAGTCGTTTAGTATTTGGCTTGTTTTTCAATCCCTGCAAATTATCAAAGTTCACAGGGAGTGCTGTTAGCTGATTATTTCGCAATGTCAAGGTTTCCAGGCTCACTAATGAACATATCGTATCGGGAAGTTTACAGAGCTTATTTTTTGAGAGTCTCAGCATTTTTAAGTTTGTCAGCTGTCCAATCTCTTCTGGTATTTCTTCAATTTTGTTACTGGATAGAATAAGACTTGTCAAGCTTTTTAGTCCACAAATGTGAATTGGGAATTCACGTAACTTATTTGATCTTACATCAAGGATTCTTAATTTTTGGAGTGTAGCCAATGATTTTGGCAGTTCATGGATGGCATTTTCACTAAGAGTGAGTTCTTCAAGGGACACTGGCCAAGTGGTATCAGATGGCAGGTCAGTTAGCTTTGGAATAGTGTCTGCTCCCATAGACGCATATGAGGAGGATATAGCCTGCCTTTTCAGATTTAACACAGTTAGTTGCTTCAAATAAAGTGGCTCCCTTGGAAACTTACAAAATGAATTTTGCATCAAATTTACTGATCTGACATTTGGGAGATCTCCAAACTCTTGGGGAAGTGAGGTCAACTCATTGTCGGATAAATCTATTGTTTCTAAATTACTGTCTTGTTCAATATCAATTGTTAGGTCTTTTAGACCTTGACTTCTCAAGTCCATTTCTTTACTCCCTGTAACATAATCCTTGTAGTACATAGAGACCATGCTGTCACTGTGGACAAGGGCTGCATGCTGCTGTTCATTTTCATCATTTTCCTGAGGTTCTTTCTTGCTCATTGCCTTCATTGCACCTGTAATATAGAGAAGTATATCAGACTAATAAAGCTATATTGCTTTTAACTTATTAGGGATCTTACTTAGATATTTTTATGTCACCACCACAATTGGTAACATATTGTCATGGTCTCAAACTGTGGTCAGTGTTCGGTTGGTGTTAAGTGGTTGGTGTTTTGCAGTCTGTGTCTGTAACAAATGGCAGGTGATGACATTTTGTATGTTAAATGTTAATGCATTGTTTATGATATACCGTCTGTACCTGTTTATATTTGTCACCCCCTGCATAATAAATAATATGATTGATTCTCCCTATCAAATGGCATTTGTACAGTACCATACATGTATTTATACATATATTACAACTTGATTACTAGCAACTTATCCTACAGAACATATTTTTTCAGACCAAAAAGTTGCACTCGGTTGAATAAAATCCTGGGAGGATCACTCAAAAGCCTGATTTCAGTAGTTTTTCAGTAATATTTCTTGGATTGGGGTTTTGACTACCTACAAACATAGGTATACTCAAAATCCGAAAATTGAGGGATAATGGTAATTTAATTTTACATTTCAGCCCCATTCCCAACATGAGTTATGATTTTATTATTAGTAATTCTGAAAAGAAGATCTATTTCCCTGAGGTCAGGTGACTTTATCATCTGGAAATTCCAAGTCGTTTGTTTCAAAATAAATTGTATAGAAATACTAAATTGTCTCCAGTAAACTTCAGCTGAGTAAATAGAAATAGGTATACTTATACTTACTTCTTATTTTCTTGTGTACAGCTTGCATCATAGCTCTAAGCTCTAATATTGGAATAGCAGTGTCTCAAATATCAATCAATGTATCCATAATTTCTCTCAACATGTCTTTACCAAGCAACTTATCAACATGATAACAATATTACTTCCTGATGGGAATTTGGTTTATGCAGTATGAATGTTATACTGGATTTTGATTGGTTACTGCTGGCAGGCCACATAAAGGTTTTTCACCATTGAATACTTTATGCGGTATTTATGTCAACGTGAATTAAAAGGAACTTTTGAAAGGATCTCTTTACATGATTTGATAAGCATAGCAAACTTGCTGTATTAAATAAATATACTGTATTGATAAAGAGCTTTAGGAACACATTATTCAAACTATTAGTCAAAGAATATTTCATTTAACATCCTAGAAATCCTATATCTGATTCTACTATATACATAATAATGACTTCATAGGATTTAGAGATTGTATGTGGCAGTCCTATGTAAGCCATGAACTTAAGAGTTATTTGGCTAATCTTTAAAACTGAAATCTCTCATTTCACAAATTATTTCCCATAATATTTGTATACAGTCGGAAGTCAGTCATCTACAGTATTTAAAGAAATTCTGGGCAACAGAAATAACAAAATATTGCTTCTGGGACTAATTTCAAACGACTTTGACTTATTCTTTACTCTACCTATTTTGTAATTTAACAATCAAAACAAGTATACATACATATACAAGGGTACATCATAAAATTCTCATAATATCTCTCTAATTTTTTTATTTTTCAATATATTCTAATGAAAGTTTCATAGAATCTGCAGTATAGAATACTGTATTAATCTATCAAAAAATATTTGTTATAACAGAAATATTAGATAAGTAACGATTGTCATAGTAACCAGAAATCAAGGCACCCGGGGCAAATAAAAATAATTGAGAGAATGATCTTAATTAACCATGTTTACATCCATAATAATCTCTCACAAATGATCAAACACATTAAAATGTGATCTTAAATATGAGATCACCTAATTCACATGACCATTGTAATAGTTCAACAAAATAGTCAAGAACACATGGTATTAACGATGTGTTTCACAGCATATATGATAACTTATTATGCATTTAAACATAGTTAGTTTTTTTATTTGCCCCGAGTGCCTTGATTTCTGGTTACTATGGCAACCATTTCTTGAATAATATTTCTGTTATACCAAATATTTTTTGATTTTTGATAGACTGATACAGCATTCTATACTACACATTCTGTGAAAAATTCATCAGAACATATTGAAAAATAAAAAAAATTATGATATACTCATATATCTGACAAATTCATAAAAAAAATTGGATCCATAAAATCATCGATTATAAAACCGGAAGTGTGTTGTGTGTTCTCTGAGGTTGGTGTGAAAATATTTTGATCATTTCAAATTTTTAAATGCTTATAAATGATTTAATTATGCTTACAATGATGTCTATTCGTAATAATTTGACTTCCCCGTTCCATAAAAAGAACATGATCACCATTTACTCGACTCATTAATTTACTTCCGGTTTATCAAGAAAAATTTCAATTATAAAAGTTCCTCAGACCTTTTAAAATCCTCAGTCTAAACATGGCTTTTTAAAGGTTCAAACATCGACTTTGAAAGGACATTCATGCATAATTCGAAAATAGAATCATCAGAGAGAAGGTTTTAAACCATGAAATCGACTCTAATGCCATTTATCAGCTCTGAAGCCTAATGTTCTTTGATAGAGTTTCAAAATTCTCGAACTACAAAATAGATTTACAAAAGAGCAAGTATCAATAATCCTGAAGGAAGGAAGGCCTTTGGTCATTCCTCATCAGAAAACAAGTTTAAATTACTCAAACAAGAATTTGCAAAGCTCAGAATGTGTGAGTCTTTGCAGTTTATTCTCTGAAAGAGTCTCAGATGTAAGACTCGGATAATGTCACTGTCAAGGGATTTATATGGACAAATGTCATGTTTTTAATGAATCATATTGTGTATATTATATGAATAAAAATATTTTTATTTCCTGTATGTTCCAGGGCTGGATGCCTAGGTATAAACCTGATTGGTGCAAATAGAGTGATCATCTTTGATGCCTCGTGGAATCCCTGTCACGACTGCCAGGCTGTGTGTCGTGTCTACCGTTATGGTCAAACTAAAGAGACCTTTGTATATAGATTTGTGACAGACAATACCTTGGAGCGGAGGATATATGAGAGACAAATCAACAAGCAGGGAATGTCAGGTAGGTTTGTTTGATGATATTTCAAATTTTTCTCTTAGAATTCAACTTGAATGATGGACATACGTGACTACTATAGGCCTATAGCCAGATAGCTTCCCTGTCAACTCCCCACATTACACATGTTTGTTCAAATTAATAAAAATTCAGGTAGATATCCTGATCAACAAATATATATTCACAAAAATGTTTTAAAAGAAGAATGTTTTATTGTTAGAAAATTGCTTTAGCAAACTTAGTTTACCCTATCTAAATAATGCAATATCTCATTTTTGACATTTTCAAATTGCAATTTTGGTACACGGACTGTTACAAAAATGTTGGCAAGAGACTCAAGTGAGTTCCAGCAGTTTTGATCGGTTATACTGAAAAGAATTGATACTAAGTATATCAAAATCAGAAATTGCCATGTACATTATGTTTTCAGATCGTGTTGTTGATGAACTTAACCCACAGAATCATTTCACTAAGAAACAAGTGGAGACATTATTGCAGTATCAGGTAAGCATTTCAAAATGTGCATGGTTGATCTCATTGAATAAAGGAGTGCTCATGGTTATTCATGAATTGATGAAAAATACGCATCCTCAATTCAGTGTCATCGAATGTTAACAATTTAATTTTTATTATTGTTGGTGAATTGATTTCAACATGTTTTCTCTTTAACTGATTATCATAAAAAATCACTGTCAATGAATGTTTACAATTTAATTTACATTATTGTTTTAGTTAACCCAAATGACATTATAAATATTTTTCAAATTGAATTGTTACCATTCTTAAGTTGACCATTGATAATGTGTAATTTTTAGCTCACATGGTGAGCTTTTGCAATCACTCACTTGTCCGTCTGTCTGTCCGTCTGTCTGTCCGTCTGTCCGTCCGTCAACAATAGTGGCACGTTTTAAAACCTCTGTCGATAGGATTCCTGTTTTAAGTTATTTCTGTTCAACATCAATACAGAAAACTCCCCTATGACTCCTGGTTCAAAAGCTTGCCTGATTTCAAAATGGCCGCCATTTTTGTCTCGCGAAATTCACTTTTGACCCATTTCCTAGCTTTACAAATAATTTCAAGTGTCCTACATTGTAAAAATCCATGTCAATGTAAAGAATAGATGTATGAAATAATTTTGTTACCAAAAATCAGCGAAAAATTATATCCATTTATTTATTTTCAGCCATTTTAGTTAACATTGATTTGTCCATCTGTCTCGCAAAATCCACTTTTGGACCATTTACCTTAAACCCTCTGTCGATAGGATTCCCATTTTAAGTTAATTTTGTTCAACATCAATACAAAAAACTCTCCTATGACTCTTGGTTCAAAAGCTCGCCTATTTTCAAAATGGTTGCCATTCACTTTTTGCCCATTTCCTAGCTTTACAAATAATTTCAGCTGTCCTGCATTGTAAAAAGCCATGTCACTGTAAAAGGTAGTTGTATGAAATAATTTTGTTACAAAAAATCGGCAAAATATTATATCCGTTTTTTTTATTTTCAGCCATTTTAGTTAACATTGATTTGTCCATCTGTCTCGTGAAATCCTCTTTTGGACCATTTGCTTAAAACCTCTGTCGATAGGATTCCAGTTTCAAGTTATTTTTGTTTTGTTCAACATCAATACAAAAAACTCCCCTATGACTCCTGGTTCAAAAGCTTGCCTGATTTCAAAATGGTCGCCATTTTTGTCTCACGAAATTCAATTTTGGCCCATTTCCTAGCTTTACAAATAATTTCAGGTGTCTTGCATTGCAAAAAGCCATGTCACTGTAAAGAGTAGTGGTATGAAATAATTTTGTTACAAATTATTGGCAAAAAATTATATCTGTTTTTTTTTCAGCCATTTTAATTGACTGAGAGACAGATGGCTTGAAATAATTTTGTAACAAAAAAATCAGCAAAAAATTATATCCGTTTTTTTCTGTCACCATGTGAGCCCAGTACCCATGGTACTAATTTTTTCACAATTTTTTGATCACTGGTTTAGGCTAAGAGAAAAATGTTGACCAACTCATAATAGACAGCCCTTTCATTTAACAATCCAGAGATTTTATACTTGCTGAAGTCAATATTTACCCCAAAACAAGCAAATGTTTTGATAAATATAGATATTTTTGACGTTATGTCACCCCTAAAGAGGCAAATAATATTTCATTCTCATATCCTCATTTTGAGCCTTTATTTTTGAGATGACAGTTTATAAAATAATTTTTTTAATAATGAATTTGCAACATATTTTACTACTTTTCCAAGATACCATGCAATTTTCTCTATTTTTATTACTCGTTTAGGATGTAGAATTGCCATTGATCAACTTCAACAACTTTGATGGGGTGTGTCATGATCCTTTACTCTTGAATGTACTAAAAAGAGATGGCCATTGGATCACAAAGGTAAAAAATAGATACTATAACTCTGCTTTTTCAATTTATTTCAATTTTAATTTATTATTTATACATATCATACTGAAATATATGTAGATGGAGGGAGACATTGAAAAGTGTATGGTGCCCTGTATAACAAAAAAATTGATGCAAGTTAGTAATGGAAGATGTCAAATAGGTTAATGAAAAGAAAATCCTAAGAACTATGATATTACTAAGTTATAATGGTTTTACCATTTACCCAGGAATCATTTTTTGTTGAACAAGTCATTTACCCAATCATTTTATGTTAAAGGAGCCATTTACCCATGAATCATTACTGGTTGACAATAAGGAACAAAAATTGACAAAGAGTGAAAAGAGGCTAGCCAAACAGGGGTACGAATATGAGAAGAAGATGAACACTACCTATTCTCGACCCTCCTACTCCACATGGTATCCTAAAACATCAACTGGTGCCAACCCAAATCTCAACATTTCAAGGTAATACTTGTACATTAACTATTGTTTTAATTAAGTTTAAGTGTTCACATTTCACTAATGTCAGTCATATTCTATCTTACTACCTTGCCTGTTATAGATACTCGCTCAATTTATACTACGGGTAATATCCACAAAAATTGAGTTCAAATATTATTTTCGTGTCCAGAAACCAAGGAGCTTCATATTTGAGTACCAAAAGGAACAGTCATCCTAACTGGTTTCTTAACATGGACAGGCTTCTATGTACAATGCCCTTCAATTTAATTCATCTGAATATTCTTGTGTCTTTTAGATCTACAATGCCCTTCAATTTAATTCATCTGAATATTCTTGTGTCTTTTAGATCTACAATGCCCTTCAATTTAATTCATCTGAATATTCTTGTGTCTTTTAGATCTACAATGCCCTTCAATTTAATTCATCTGAATCTTCTTGTGTCTTTTAGATCTACAATGCCTTTCAATTTAATTCATCTGAATATTCTTGTGTCTTTTAGATCTACAATGCCCTTCAATTTAATTCATCTGAATATTCTTGTGTCTTTTAGATCTACAATGCCCTTCAATTTAATTCATCTGAATATTCTTGTGTCTTTTAGATCTACAATGCCTGGACTGGCAGGCAGGCTCCCTAGTCGGCATATCCCCAGTGTCAAACCCCTCCAGAGTGCTCCCATTCCTATGCAGCCATCCTTCTCCGATTCAGGGCCACCTATCAATGTTCAGTCTCTACAGCGCCCTGGCGTACATGTGCAGCAGATCATTACTACGACAGGTATTAACTTAAAAATATATTAACAGTGAAACAACAAAGTATACCAAAATTATTTTCTATTCAGATTACTAGCATTTTGAATAAAACTATGTGACATTTTTCAATGATAACCTTTGTAGAAATGGTATTGTTAGAATGCCTATACTAAAAATATAATTGATAAAACAAGAAATCCATGCTGTCCCTTGTGATAAATTTGTGTAAATCATCCTGTATGTAGATATCACAATTCCTGGAACAACGTCCTCCACCACCAGTGGGCCCCAGAAAGTACCTGCTGGATCTCAAGTTCTCGTCATCAAAACCCCAAGAGGTGTCTACATTCGCACAGGCCAGGGGAAAATATTTGCAGTCAGGTCAGCTCCTAACAGTAAAGGTGATTCAACGCCCCCACTAGGTGGAGCTACTGGTTCAACAACATCAACAACGACAACATATTCTGATGGGGATAGCTTAGGTAACAGGCATCTATGAAAAATAGTACCAAGGAGCCAAAAATTTGGATAATTGCATGCAATCAGAATTGAAAAATGGACTTAATAGAGACTTTGCATTGAATCAGTCAATATAAAAGATGGACATATACTTGGTTAATCTCTCTTTTATCAGTCATTTAAGGCATACATCACTCATTCTCACATCAGTTCATAAAAATTGTCAATACCATATAGATCTTGACTAGTATACATGTATATATAATTCTCTTAGAATAAACTCTTTAAATAAAACCTCACTCTAATGAGCACACTTCACCTCACCCTCTTACTTCTGAATCACTATCTACAGATATTTAAGGGTGGATATAGGAGCACTTTGGGGATTCATCATTAACTGATTTGTTGTCATATCTAGGGATACCACTACTGGGATACCACAATTAGGGCTAAAGTACTGTACTTCTACTTAATGAATGTGGTGCAACTCATTTTCAAGGTGGATTAGCTGTTTTGAATATTTGGCGGCTACTTAATTTGGTGGACTTGCAATATTGAAAAAATAAAACTTCCTTGCAATATTGAAAAAATAAATCTTCAAAAGTTGCACTTATGAGCCCAATTTTATCCTTGTTGCTATTTGTCAACTTTCATTTGACTAGTAAATTGTCATTGATTTTTAAAGAAGTGAAGAATTGACATACTGTGATATTGGTCAAAGTCAATTTTTTAGAAAAGTATTCAAAATTGGAAAACAAAAGTTTTGATCTGAAGTCTTCTTTATATCACTCAGTGATTGTATGCTTCAATCTGATTGAAATGTTAATTATTTACTCAAAGAGGTGTATCATGGACATGGTGTTACTGGTCATGTCACAACTTATATGTATATCCAAGATATGCTCAATGGACAATTTACTCTTAACAGCCCATCTTTTTACAACCTGCAACATTTTTAGGAAAATCACTGGTAGTTTGAAATAACATCTTTGATGATTCAACATCTTTCTTTGACAACAATATCATTGTTGTCCAGGCCCTTCAAAAAGTTGGGGGTTTATAGTGTTCATATGTACAGTAAAGTGGCTTTTAGTGTTCAAATGCACCTTTCTTCATTTATAGCCAGCAGTGGTGACAGACCCCTTAGTTTAACTACAAACTCCTCCAAATCAAAATCAATGCTTACCAACCTGTTGGAACAATCCAGTGGAATTCGTGACATGATGAATGGGGTCTCCAATGAAGAAAAATCAGCTGATGGACAATCTCCAAGCTCGGACTTAAAAAACTATGATGATACTCCAAAATCTGAACAAATTATAAACCACCAGACTCTGTCTGGTGGAGAAACTATTGTGGCTCCATCTGTTACTCAACACAAGAAACAACACCCATTTGACATGGACAGTTTGTTATCACAACAGCAGACAGGAAATGGTGATTCTTCACAACCACACTCGTCACATGCAGATGGTGGTGACATGTATTCCAAATATGATAACATGAGGAACAGCCCATTTGGAGGATTCCCTTCTAACCCCTATTCCTTTCCTGGGTTCAGTAACCCCTTACCCCCTTCATATCCTTACCCACAAAATGTTCCCTTACCTCCCTGGCCTGGTTTCCCTCAAAGCATTCCCTCCACTGATACTAAACAGACACCAGAGAAAAAATAACTGGTTTTGAAACATTTAAATCTATATTTTGCAGTATTATTGTATTTATTATCAATGTAATAATTGAATAGTATTTTCTGATTCATGAAAATGTAGATATCATGCAAAAATGTCTCCATGTGTGTGATTTGTGTATTACACAGTGACCTCTTTAGTACTAAGTATTATTTATCACTGTATGCAATGTTGCATTTGTGATCAAAATGCCTTTTAATTATAATTACTTGATTGAGTATACTAATAGTATGACATTTTGTAACCTTCTTTTGGTGCCAAATATTCTAGAATAGTACTGTTGTTTGGAGTATGTATAATCGTTGTCCCAATGTGTTAGTCTATGTATGTAGTTTGAATATTTGAGTTGCCTGAAATTTTTTACCATTGGTTACAAAATGTCAAATAATGTTTTTGCACTCTTCAGATATGCGAAACAGAGTCTCCACTTCCCAGCTCTAGAATAGGTTTATGAAAAACAATTATTTATTTGTTCCTATACATATCCTGAAGAAGGCCCTGAAACAATAACTCTTAAACAAGGTCAATCAAAAAGACTTGCTAAAGAAAGGGCCTTCTCTGTTTCTCCATGAAGCACTTTATTTTTTCTGGTAGATGGCCCACCAGTCGTTAAATCCCACTATTTGTATGTGTGCAGACATTTTAGTAGACCGAGTTCAGATCACCTTCACTTTAATAATGTAATAATAAATAGACACTTGAAATCCATTGAAAAATGTTTTGAGTTTGAGCACTAGTATCTATTGCATCCTGCATTTCCTAGTCAACTGTAAAATAATGTTTACGCAGTTTTATTTCATTTGGTAAAAATAAGTTGGATAAAATGTGACAAAATGAGAAATGTTTTATGTGAATCCATGCAAGAATACCAAAGATTGTACATGTTCATGTATATGTAGTTGTACATGTATATAGTTGTACATATGTAGTTGTACGTTAGTTGTACATGTATATAGTTGCACATCTACATAGTTGTACACCTGCATGCAAATAATTATACATGTAATATATTGTTATGAACATAAAAAGTAACACATATATACAACTATACATGTATATGGTTGTACACATACTCGTAGTTGTACATTTGGACATGTTATTGTACACACACAGTGCGACCAAAACATGGTGATTTTTCCTAACTATCACCACCATTCACATCCAGGTTTATGACTGTTACTTGTGATAGATTTAACAAGTGAGTGATTGCAAAAGCTCACCATGTGAGCTAAAAAGAGGGACAGATCATTATATAATCCATTGTATGATCTTGACCTCTTTCAAGAGTTCTTTGGAATATTGAGCAAATTTTCATTCAAATATCATCGAGACATATCCTCAGCATCCAGCAAATGAAAATGTTACCAATTTTGTGAAATTTGATTCCCAAAAAGGATTTATTTCAGAGTATTCCAAATCCATTGCAATAAGTTTCCCAATCTGAAATTGACATTGAGATCCAACTTCCCGTTGACCTTCTATAACCTTTTAGTTTCTTAAGGTCATATTTTTCAAATCTTTATTTGACTTTAAAATGATTAGTTAAAACAATATAAAAGGACCTTAAAAATAAAAGGTCAGTAAACTCAAAATGTTGAGTGTCAAAGGTTCAAATGTCAATCTTGAGGAAATCAGAATTGATAGACAAGAACTCAAAAATTATTTAGCCAAAACAAAATGTAAAACAGGTTTGTAGATATTTTACAATGATGTATTTCTTCTCATTCATTTGTGGTTATATTACAAGAATGTAAAGTTCTTTGAAATTTTTTTTCTACAGTTGCAAGTGTATATAACATAACATGAAGAAATATACATAGAGTAGAATGTAATTTATAGATTAGATTATGCATGAAAATATGAGTTTATTTATTTGTAAATATATGGATGAGATGGTGATGCTCCAAACAGCATATTATTGAAAATAAACTTAAACTTAATAACAAAACAGTAATTACAGTGAATGTTGTTTTTCTATGTATGGTTAGAGTGCTCGAAAGTTTGATGAAGGATTATTCACTCTATTTGCAGTTAAGTTGCTCCCTCCTATATTTGAGAAAGCTTGATATGCATTGTTTTCCATAGTACCAGTGATTATCTCAACTGGATTTCCACCTTAACATTAAAATTTTGGAGGTTTTTAATGTAACTATGGGTAAAATGATGTGGGCGATATTCAATAAATAATCAAAATAATCTAACTAAGGTAGGGATCTAAGGGACCTAGTAGACTATTCTTGATGAAATATTGAGTTAGTGGAATGTGATTTTATGGTACCTCCATATGTCTAAGTTATTCTTGAGACTGCACACAAATAGTCCCCATGATATCTACCATTCCCTCCTCACACCTTTTAATGATTGATTTTACTGTTAATATAACCATAATATACTTTATTCCATAATAACATGTTTTCCCTGGGAAAATAACAGGGAATAAAAGTGTTATTTGAAAAATCCCGTATTAGATCCCGTATCAGCCAAAATCCCGTATCAGATCCCGTATTGAATCCCGTATCAGCAAAAATCCCGTATCAGATCCCGTATCAGAAATATTCCCGGTAATTTCTCTTGAGTTTTACGCTTTTCATCTAGCACATCTCTACAGGAAGTAAAAAAATCGTTTGGAAAATTGAAATTATTATCATCTAGTTTACGTCTATTACTGTGACAAAGGTCTATTACTGTGACAAATATGTCTAGGTATGCAACAGAGGATGTTGATGACTTCATTAAAGGTCAAGAAAATATCAATACTTCGAAGAAAACTAAAAGTGACATAAAAATCCTAGTAGATTTTTTACGGAGTGAGAGGAATGAACTCAGACCGATCGAGGAGATAGATCCCCAATTTTATGTCACAATCATTGGATGATGACATACAAAAATTGAAAAAAAAATATTATGAAATAAATAGGTTATTGATGGTCGTGATGGAATATGGATTTATTCCTTGAGAAAATATGATATTGGCCTCAGAAAATATCATATTGACACTCGGGCTATCGCCCTCGGTCAATATGATATTTTCCTTGACCAATATCATATTTTCCCTCGGAATAAAATCCATATTCCATCCCTCCCATTAAATAACCTCTATGTACTGATATTATGCCAGTGTTATTTTGACTACAGTTTCTTAAAAAATCTATTGAGAAAAACCTGAGTTCAAGACTTCAAGTTTCTGGTAAAATGACGCTGGGCCTGTTTTATTTTTATTTGATAAAAGTGGTATTCGAACTATAAATAACATTTTTAAGCTCTAATTTCTAACCATCTCTCTACTTCTACATGACCTTCATTCTGTGAGATAATAACACCAAAGAATATCTTAAATACATATATGCATAACATTTATTTATTCTTAGTTTTTATGAAAAAAATCCAAGATACAGAACGAGCTTGTATTCATTACAGAAACCTTCAAGCCCATCAAATGGACAAAATGGGTGGAGGGGATTGTACAATTTCTGCTCGAAAATTCACAAATCTGCAAGAATTTTTTTTCATGAGAATGTTTTACTATTAAATTGTTAAATAAATAGGTGCATGGTATGGTAAAATCTATTTTCAAGTTATTTTTTGAACAAAGAAATGAGAAATGAAATTTTCTGAACTAAGAATGAGATCCATTTAAAAATGCACAGAGTTACCAGCTGCAAATGTCAATCTTATAGCTATAAATCAAGCACAACCTGTAATAAATACTTACAGTGAGGTTATCATCGCAAAAGTGAGGTTGCGGTTTTTTAAAGTGAGTTAAAAAAACATTAAAAAAATAATCAGTGAGGGATGATGGCTAGATCCCCTCCCATCACTGTATTATTATTATTTTACTCCACTCATTTTGTCTGTTTAATGGGTACGAATTTCATTGTGTCAGATAACATCACATATACCTGTACACTGTTAAATTTCAATGTAAGTTACTTCAATTAACATAAAACTATAGGTGCCAGGTAGGTTTTAGGATTAAACATGCAAAATGAAGTGATATTTAAAATCTTCATAAAAAATTACAAATATTGTTTCTCCACTTTACTTTTTCAATGTCAGGTAGACCAATAGAGTCCACGTTATAAAACCATGAAAATGAAATATCTTTTGTTTTGTTGAACAATAAATCTATTTACTGAAAACATTTTTAACTAATATAACTAGAAAAACAGCAACTCTCAAGAGAAGCAATTCCCATCAAACAAAACATATTTTTATATCAAATCACTTAATTTGATTGAACATGATAGAAATAACGAAGAGTGAATTTGCATTTTCATAATCATGTTTTACCTGAGAAATTATAGCCCTCTTGAAGTGAGCATTTCTTCTTGAGCAGAGTCCTATGCCAATAAGGCATCAGCACAAATACTCTGAACTGAATCTGACAACTGGTATTTGATTATCAAAGATGTGAACCAAATCCATCAAATTTTATTTGAGTTATCAAAGGTTACACTTTTTACAAAAAAATGAAGGCAAGTTTGCATTGAGTTGCCATCTTGGAAATTTCATCTCGAGCAGAGGTCCTTTGCCCGATTACATAACCCTAGAGAATTTGAACCAAACCTTACAACTGTTAAGTTCTTCCTTTTTATGAAAAATCATGCCCATTTTGAATTGGGCAGCTGTCATGAAAATTCCAGATAACATTTTTTATGAAAATTTATTCTCGAGCAGAGATCCATTGCCCATGAGACACTGAGCCTATAAATTTTGACCAAATTGTACAACGGGTATTTGAGTTATCGCTAAGACATGAATGAATGAACAGAATTATGGGCAGCTTCTCCATACCCCTAACAAACTTTGTTTGGTGGGATAATTAATACTTGGAAAGGTTACTAGATAAAAAAACAGTGCAAGTAAATTTTGGTATGGAATTTTATCTGATCCGAGTCAGCCACCTGGTGGTGAAACAAATAACTAACTACTGGCACCTAGGTAACTGATAAGGACCACTATCTATATTAGATATAAAGATCTTCTTTGAAATCTATTCAAATTGTAGGTCTCCAACATGGATGGAGGATGCCTCATATGGATGGCACATAGTTTACATCAGATTCATTGAGAATGTTGCACAAATGGTAAGTCTCATATGAAGTGGAGATGTTGGTTTGCCTCTTGCCTCAAACCGAAATTGTATATGCCCTATGTTGCAGAAATGATATGTCTCATATTTATGGATGATGTAGCAAAGATGGGTATGCCTCACAATGCTGCAGATGGTATGCTCACATGGATCAAGAATGTCCCAGATGATATACCTGACCATCTGGAATGTTTCACATGGATGATGTTGCAGTGATCTCTGACAGGGCAGGGTAGAACGCCATGACAATGGCAAAGAACAAAATAAATAGTGGCACCATGGAAAAAGCAGCAATCTGAAACAAATAACAGACATAATATGACCTTACTATTGAAAGAAACAGTATTATGTATTTTACTTTTGCAAACTTTGAGCACCCTGGGCATAAATGATATAAGCTATTATGAAATGGATGTCAGTAACACCCCAAATCACAATTGTACCTCATAATCACTCTTGTCAGATAAATAAACACTATCATTTATTTTTTTTAATCAGTGAACTTATGTGTTTCTTCTAACTTGAGACACTGCTTAACACTATCCATGTCAAAATAAGAAGTTTAACAAAGAAATTTTACTGTACATGCTGTTGTGAAAAAAGTACTTACTGATTTACTACGTAAAGCTAGGTTATTTAATTCTTCTTGAGTTTCTCTAAGGTGAGACGTGACATAATTGATCTCTTCTGTGTACTGACTACACCTGTCTTTCAGTGAACTGATCTGTTCAGTTGCATCAGATAGCTGCAAAATAATTCAATGCAATTCATTTCTTATATTTTAAAACACAGTTTCATATTCAAAGTAATAAGTAGAGACAAAGGATGAAGTGAATGGATGAAATTCATACTATTTTATTGAATGTTGCTTAGAAGGAAGGCATATCCATGGGATATAAATGAACTAACATCTATGACACGTTTACTACACGAACCACATATTATATATAACTTTTATTGACATATTGTATCATTACATGATTACATTAGTCACAACTACTCACTAAGACTAACTAAAACTACTTCTACATTTACAAAGTAATGTACAAAAATTCCATATGCATATTGAAAGCATACAAGAGAGGCAGAATATTTTTAAGTGTGATGTACAAAATATGCTGACTATTCTAAATTGTTAAATGAGTGATATATAAATTTACCAAGATGCCGTTGTACGATGGTATTATCACTTGAAATTATATTTGTAAATAAATTATCACTATTTAAATCAAATTTTGGTAATGTTTCAGAAATTTTGCTGAAAAATATTTGCCTGTGTTGAGATTGCTTTGTACAATTTATGATAAAGTGAAATTCATCTTCTACACAATTACATATATTACATAATCTTTCATTTACAGGTTTGGATTTTGGCTTTGTGTGTCTTCCTGTTTCTATTTTTAACTGATGTGAACTCAACCTAAATCTACTTATTGCTAATCTATATTTTTTATTGTCTAACTTTGTATATGGTTCTAATGCAAAATCTTTCTTAAACAGCTTATATGTTCTTAATTTGGGATATATCAAAATGTCCTTTTTCCAATTTTCTACAAACATATTCTTTAATTTCTTGTCAACCAAATTTACTAAGTGGTCTGTAATTTGGCTTTGGTCATCCCAGTACTCTGTTAGTTCACATTTATGAAGTATATCATAAACCTTTCCAGACCAAGATTTAAATCCTAATTCATGTTTTTCTTGTCCATATAAGTAAGCCTGGTTTAAAATATTAGATTCTGGTAGTTTAATAAGTCTTAACCAGTATTTCACAATTGATAATTCAATTTTGATAGATAAAGGAAATTTACCAAGGTCACCATACACTGCGGGATTAGCTGTTTGAGTTTTGACACCTAAAATAGATTTCAAAAAGGACAAATGTATTGTTTCAATCGCTTTCATCTGCTTCTTGTCATACCAAATTTCACAGCCATAACATAGTATTGGACTGACTAATGAATCAAAAAGGTGAAGAGCAACATCAGGTGGCACGTCATTGAATTTCTTATACTGCTGTTTGATTTTGAATATTGCTTTTCGTGATTGTTCTTTGAGATAACTTGTGTTGATATCAAATTTATTATTATCAGTAAGAATTACTCCTAGATATTTATATTTACTTACACGTTCAATTTCTTGATCATTAAAAGTGAAAGGGGCAGAAACTTTAGAGTTAAAAATGAGTACCTTTGTTTTTAAGGTATTAACTATGAGTCTATTAATTTTACAGAAAGAGAAGAGTGAATCTAATAATAACTGAAGTCCATTTTGTGATTCGGAAATGAGTACTAGATCATCTGCCCATAGAAGATGGTTGAACCTGGCATCTTTTACGATAACGCCACATCTTAGTGGTAATACTTCATTTAGGTCATCCATGAAGTGATTGAACAAAAATGTACTTAAAACACTTCCTTGCAAAACTCCTATTTCAGTGTCAAAAGTTTTAGTGATTCCGTTTTCTAATTTAAGGCATGACTTAGATTTAGAGTACATATTCTCTATAATCCTGTACATTTTAGTATGTGGGTGAATTCCAGCTTTACACAGCTTATATAACAATACTGAGCGATCTATATAATCAAAAGCCTTCTTAAAATCAATCATACATGTATATAATGGTTTCTTATGCTGTTTGAATTTGTTAATTAATGTTTGCAAAATAAAAATATTATCAGTTGTACGTCTATTTTCTTTGTAAGCACCCTGAAGTGGGTCTGGTGAATTTTGCACTCCAGCATTAAAGACAAGACGATTTTGAATAACTGAGTCAAATAAATTCCCTATACAGGCCAGTACATTAATGCCTCTATAATTATCAGCTTGAAAACGGCTGCCTTGTTTATAAAGTGCACTGAGCATACCAATACTCCAGTCACTTGGATATTCTCCCTTTTCGAAAATAGCATTAAAAAGTGCTGTAAAATCAGAAACAAGGGTTTCACAATTTTTTAAAATATTGGATGGAATACCATCAATACCCGCTGATTTGTTTGCATTTACTCTTTTCAAAGCACATTGAACCTCGGCTTGAGTAATTTTCATGTTGATGGTATCATTGCAAAGTTTGAATTTTTTATCTCCAGGATTAATTTGATATTTTGTAACAAAATGATTCATTTCCTCAAGTGCATTATCATCAAAATAATCTATGTTTGGAGGTTTAGATAGACTTTTGAAGAAGTTGAATAGATCTTTAGATGGGACTGGCATCTCTTTAATTTTATTTCCTGGCATTGCATTAATCAGTTTCCAGAAATCTGTAGAGTATCTGCATTTATTCTGAATTAAACTATTGAGCATTCCTGCTTTAAACCTTCTCTTTTCTCGTTGTTTAGTATGATTATATTGTTTTATTAAACTATTTATAATATCATCGTCAAATTTAAGTTTTATTGCCTCATGGACTTGTTTCTTTAAAGATTTACATTCATCATTGAACCATGAATTAATCGGAAAGGTATGCCTTTTTGTGGTTTTTAATTTTTTAAATTGGAAAGTGTCATTAGATGCATAATGAATTACATTTAGGAGCTTATTTACTAATTCGTCAGATCCTATATCATTACATCCAAGTTCAGTGTAAAATGATGTTAAAAGGTCATTACTTATATTATCAGATAACTTATGTTTAAATTCATTTTTCTTTAGAGGATCCCATTTGTATGATTTATATGTTTTAATGTTCAGAGATTCTGATTGAAAATTTGATGATTTTCTTTGATTATCAGTTTCACTTTTTAATGATATAGAAAAATGTAATGGTGCATGGTCAGACTCAACACGCCTATCATGAACTTTAAAATCAGTGAATAAGGAAATAGTATTTGATTGAGCTGCAACATAATCAATAACTGATTTTCCGAAGTTGGGGTCTTTGTTAGATTTGTGCATAACATTGCGATAACATGTAAATTTCCCTAAGTTTTTATCTTGATAAAGGCGACCATTAAGTATTTTCATATTAGCAGTTTTGCATAGTGATAAAAATTCTCTTCCATGAGTTTGAGAGACTGCCTTTGCATTTTTGTCCATAGAAGTTCGATTACTAACTAAGACCTCGTTTATATCTAGCAAATTATGAACAGTGTCACCATTTTCATATACTGGTATTGGTATATCACCATTACTGCCAGGTATATTAATGTTAAAATCAGGTAACTGAGCAGTTCTAGCATTCATGTCTCCACATATAATAGTTTTTCCTAATGTTTGATAATAAGCTAAAGATTTTTCTAAAATGTCAATATTACTACAACCAGTTACAAATTCATATGAAGAACCTTTAAATGGTAAATATACAAAGCATAAATACAAATCTTCTGTAATATTGAAATGATTGGAATTGAATTTTAACCACACAAAAAAGTCATGTGACTGTGAAAGAATTTCAATACCATTTTTACTATATACATCACTAATCAGTACTGCCAGTCCTCCTGAGTAATGGCTATTAGTCATGCTTTTTGATTTTCTTGCAAGATTGTGACAAGTGTAGTTTTCAAAAGAAATTTCAGACTCTGGTGAAAGCCATGTCTCACACAATAATATGATTTGAAAGTCATTGAAAAACATTTGTATATCTCTTCCATCATGAAGTTTATCGGAAATTTTATTGATGTTCCAAAGTAAAACTGAAAAGTGTTCATTTAGAGACTGAGTTTTCTCATTTGAAATCCTACATTCATTTGATACAGAGTTATCTTGAATATTTCCTGAAAACATTAAGTGTGTTTCAGAATTACTCCCATTAGAGTTTACCTGTATTGTTGAATTACTATTATTTACAATATGTACATCTCCTATACTCTTTCTGACACTTGTGCTACATACTTGTAATGGTATATTGTCAGCTATTGTATGTGCATCACACTCATTGTTCAAAACTTGGCTTGGTGGTAGGGCTTTTGAGGGTTTACAGCCTGGGCATAGGTCTTAGGACAGTTTCCATTCATGATGGAAAGCATGGTATCTACAAGTCTGTTGCGACCGATTGAGTTGAAGTGCAGTCTATCCTTATTTAAGACTTTCATGCAGGGGTTTTCATCAGTGGAATTGTTCACTTCATTTATGTCAATAAATCCATGCCCCTTTCTTGTGCAAAATATTCGCATTTCATTGTTCACATAATCTATTTTGTTATTCCAATGACGTATCAGCCTGGGGTTGTCATCATCGCCACGGTGGTGTATTCCACATAGTACAAGTTTAGATTTAGGGTGGAAATTTGTGGCTGTCTGTAGTAGATTTTTCAGTTCATACACCATGTCTTGGGGATTATCTGTTTTGATGTTGTTGGTACCGAATCCCAGGAATTTAAAGTCTGTTGACTGTGGTAAGTCTCCCTGTTGTATGCTGTGTGTTGCTGTTGCTATTTTACCACCGCTGTATACTGAACTGGTAACTGATAGTTCCTTGGGGGACTTCTGTCGCATCAATGCACTAAGATTTTTCCCATTACTAGAGTACATAATGTGAACAGAGGTACGACTGGCTGTTGTTGGTTTGGTGTGTGTGCAATTTGCTTTGGCTTGGGTAGGTTTAGGAGTGGTTCTATCAGATTCAGTTGAGTATACATTTCTGGAATGGGTACGGTTAGGTTCAGTTACACGAGAGCTCTTTGAATGGTGACTTGGAGTTGATCTACCCAAATTTGGCGATTTTTGGGTGCGGTTCAATATACTCTGGGGAGCACTGCAGCTAATTATGGCTTCTGCCTCTTGATCTCTTAGCTGCTGTGTAAGTAAATTAATCCTGCGGTATTGAGTTTCATTGTCAGTTTTTGCCCCTTGCAGTTCTTTAGTTAAAACTGATGACTTATTTTTGTAGTCAAGGATTTCTTTATTCAGCTCCTCCATCTTCATACTGTTTGAGACGGTCATTGCATCTATCTCATCTAGGCGCTGCTGATCCGAGATTTTCAGTCTGTTCTCAAGATCTGACATTGCTGCGTTTTTCTTGTTCATTTCATCGGCATATTTAGCGTCCAATGCTTCCAATTTTTTCTCAAATTGTATAATCTTATTCCTGAGTTTTGCATTTTGCTTCAAAAGTTCAGTCTCCTTGAGGCTCTGTTCTACAGATGAAGTACTGGTCTCTGTGGGTTTGGTATTTGACTCTGTATCTGAGGGTGGGGAAGGGGTACATTGTTGTGTTTCTTGCACAATTATCCTGTCAGGCTGCTTCAGGATTGATTGTGACACATCTGAGGTAGAACAGTCTGTGTCAGAGAAAAACATGAGACTATCCTCGCAAGCATCTAAATTAATAGAAGGGATGGTTGATTCTATTTCTGCAGGTAGAAAGCCATCGAAACTTTCATCACTATCTGAGGTTCCATTGACTCCATTGACTGGGGTTGAGAATAAAGATTGGGAGGGCTCAAGATCTTCAATGGATTGCCTAATTAACTGATAATCATTGTCTTTCCAGTCTTCTAGGTTATCTCCCTGGATTGAGACGATGCCAGAGTCACTGATTTTTATGTTGACATGATCTTGGATTGTTATGAGAAGTCCATATTTCAGTCTTTTTGAAGTAGTCCTCATAGATTTATGCTTGTAGAATGATTCCACCGCTTTAATCCATGTGAGTATTCTATCAGTATAGAATATGAGACTCTTACAGTCCTCTCCTAGTTCAAGGATACCCGAGTTGTTAATATCTGTGTAATCATAGTCCTCATGAATTAATTCTGGATTCCTTTTGAGGGTTCTCATGTTTTGTTTGTTGTTATTTCTCCTACTTTTCCCTTTAAGATCAGTCGAAGAAAATGTTACTGGTGTTCCTGGGGATGACAGGGTACAGGCTCTACGGGGCCTTACATTAGCCATGATCAGATTAGAAAATCCAGATCACAAATATTTATCAGATATGATTAAATCCTTAAACAAGTGATTAATATAATCCTATTGTATTATACAGTCTGCATAAAAACATATGGTCAGTGTGTTATTACAGTGTTTTAATCCATGTTTGTAAACAATGCCTGCATTGGCTATTCCATTCACTCCCACTTGGAAGATTTGAAATTATTGTTTTTTAATTCTGTTATTTACATGCTTAAATTATCTTGTTTTTCAAAATATATTCAGTCCTATATATTATAACTTAATTTAGGTTATTATATTTGACTACTTCATCAGCTTTGTAAGAGTAAATACTTCTGCAATTTTAAGTAAGTTAAACAGTCAGTTGACCTACATTTAAATATTAATGTTTCCTTTGTTTCAAAGGAGTAATCCTTTTCTGTATATATATCCTATTTATAATGCTCCATAAACTTTTTTAAACTTGACTATAATGATCCTTGTATGTTTAGATCCATTCCTGTATTATTCTAATAGTTCAATTGATCCTTTATGATGCTGAAAGATTAAGAAATCAACCTGAATAGATATCCCCATTTACCCAAAACAATGGTTCATCAAAAATGATTACTTCTTATTACACAGCACTGTATTTCTGTAACAACGTTTTATATTACATAACTAGGCCAGTGACCCGTTGTTATTATCTTGCTGCTTGACGATTAACTTATTATCAAAAATAAGATAAAAAGCATAAAATCTAATGCATTCAAATTACAGCAGCTCAAAGGGATTTTAGGACATTATATTCCAAACATCAAGACCAAATGTCCAGGACAACTTTAAGTTTTCGTACAAGGATCTGCAATCTGGTCAATAGACTAGTCTCGATTCGGAGAACAAAGTTCATCAGTCTACTGCAAGTTACGCCTGCTTTGGACAATTTTGATATTTTTTCATATTGTAGATTTAAATTTCCCATTTTGAATATCCATTATTTAATTAATGGAACTAATGGAATAGTAGCAAAAAGAAAACATAATCATAGATTCGAAGCTCAAAATACATACTTGTTTTTTGGTTTTATCTGCATCTTTCTGGGCATCAGTGAGGTTGACCTGCCACGTGGATTCATTACCCTCCAGCTGTGCTTTCAGTTCCTCCAGGGCCTTATACTTGTTCATGAGTTGCTTGTTCTCTCCCTCTATAGCTTGGATACGTTTCCGTAAGTTGGCACATTCTTCCTTCAGCAATGCTAAGTCACCTGAATAACAAGCATTTATAACTTTGATTCTTGTGATCTAAGAAGTGTCAGTTCTTGAAGTGTCAGGGAGTGAGTGCTAAAAAGTAATTTGGTCATCTTCAGGTTCATGTGGGAATAAGGCATCCATACAGTGAATTCAAAATAAAGAAGTAAAAGACTTGATCTAGGTGCGCATCAAAGGAGTTGCAGTTTCAACATGAATATAAAATGGGGTCTGGTTCATGAACCTCGGATCCTAAAGTACATTCATGTCATACCCAAGAGATTTAATGAAAGATTAAGAAATCAACCTGAATAGATATCCCCATTTACCCAAAACAATGGTTCATCAAAAATGTGCATATACACTGCACATAGGCATCATTTAGATGGATAATTTAATGATATGTGATACTTTCATAAGTGCTGGTCATCTTGACCAGCAAGTTAAGACACAGATAGGTTAAGTTAAATTGTCCACCTGACTTGATTGTAATTTGCCCTTAATGACTACACTGCTTATGAGTATACCAAAAGTACACCTCAGAAATTGACCGAAGTATGCCTGTCAATAAGGTGGGTAATTATGGTGACCAAAATTTGATATCTTCAAATTCAATTCTGCCTTTGATGGAGTTCTTCAAATTTGATAACTTCAAAATTCCATTCTCCCTTTAAAGAAGTTCTCATAGAATCTTTTTTGTACAGTATATTCAATTTTCAAGAGTGCAAGAGCCTAACATGAATGATAGACTTCATTTAAATATCATTGAACATAAACGACTTGTAGATGCTATATGCTGTCAATTAATAATAATACACAATTAGTTTACATTTATGGAGCAATGCCAGAAATGAAACTTTCTGGCTCATACTAAAAGAATGTGGAAGTTGACATGTTGACATTAATTAACAAATCTGAGTAAATTATTACAAATTATAATAATGGTGTTGTCAGTCAATTGAAAATTGAGCTATCTTTGAGAAAGTAATTGAAAATCTATTGATCCATATTAGACCAACCCTGAGCCCTGATTTCAAAAAGTGACCCTTTTATCGAGTAATGAAATGTATTGAAGATTTTATACCTTTACTGTTTTCGATGGTTGAACCTTGTGAAAGTTTACTACAATGCTGCAGCTGATTTACATCATCTTGAAGGGTCTGTAATTTACCTGCAATTTATTAAGTACAAGTTGGATTAAGACCCTTATAAAATGGGCAAATTGATCCTAACATCAGCCCCATTTTGTGCTTGTAAGGACTAGAATTATTTTGTCACTTTGCATTATTTGCTATCTCGCTTATAATTCATGAGTTTCCTGTAATTTATCCAAATAATTATTTTTACAAATAATAACTTTGCACATAACCCATAAATTATTGTTTCAAAGTGTCTTCCTGCTTTGAATGAACACATTGCACATTTATAAAGCTTGACCTACTTTTTTCAATTGAACTGCATCATGTGACCCATAAATTGTTGGGACGACTGCAAGCAAGTACTGTATGTGGTAGGGAAAAAGCCACATGGCAAAAAAACAGTACATGTACTTACTTTTTAATTGCTCTGCTTCATTGTTGCTTTGTTTGGCTGACTGTTGTGCCTCCTGCAGCTTGTCCTGAAGGATCTTCATGTCAACCTGTTGTTGTGATACTTTGATCTCATATTCCATATTTAATGTCTCATGCTCTGCCTTCATTGTATTGTATTCATCCTTTGCTAGTTGTACCTGGCGCTTAGCATCAAGTAATTCACCTAGAGAGGAAAACGATGTGATGACCTTTAAAATTTAGTAAAACTACAAAGTTGAATACAATGAATATGCTTCTCTTTACATATAAATTAATAATTATATCATCATTTATTGAGATTTATAGCAAGAAACATAGATTTTTTTACAAAAAGGATGGCCATTTTGAATTACCAAAATGGAAATATCTTGCTTAATGAAGATCCTTGGGTCATATGACATAAGCCCTTAGAATTTTGACCAAATCCTTTGACTGGTATATAAGTTATTTAAAATTACATTTTTTATGTAAAATGTTGGCCATTTTGAATTGAGCAGCCATTTTGAAAATATCCTTCTTGAAATGTATGTGAATCGAATCCGCTAACTTAATTGATTTATCTTCGTCCATAAAACTGTAGCCTATAATATGTGGACCAAATTCTACGATTCGTATATCAGAAATTAAATTATCAAAAATTTCATTTTTGGTGGTGGCCATTTTGGAATTAAGCAGCCATCTCGTGTGTGCAGAGGAACTTTTTGCTGACTTAGTTTAGCTAAAATAACTTCATTCTTAGTTCTACCTAATTATATTTTACATGTAACACTTTATCATGAAAATAAGATGGTTATAATAGTACTGTATAATAAATTAATAATACATGTATAGGAACCTTTAAGTTTTTGTATTTCTTCAATGTATTTTCCTGCTGCTCCTTTCTCCCCTCCTCCATTATCTGATATGGCTGACAGTTCGTTCACTGCTTAAACAAGAGTGTCAAGTGAATAACATAACACCAAAGCAGAACTTTTTCAGGTAATACTACATGTAATATCATTAGAGATTAAACTTATACTGTGTGAATCCAACAAACGGAACAATAATAGATGAAATGTTACCTGAATCAGAAGAATCTGTGTCATTATTAATGGTCTCATCTGAATCAAACTGTCTCACTTCAAATATAGCTCCACTCTTGGCATCAGACCTCTGCAGTTCCAACATACGCTTAGTGTCTAATAACTCTGCCTCAAGCTTTGCAACATCACCTACAACAAGTTTAATATGCTCAATTTTAAAAAACAGATGGTTATTATTTTTGCATCAAATATACATCTTTCCACTGAATTTAAAGAAGGTCCACCACTAGGACAGTACTTCAATTATTTTCCAAATGGACAGATTGACAGCCTAACAGATGGATGAACAGTATCCTAACCAACTGCTTTCATGGGATAAGTTACTTATTTTAACTTCATCAAGGGCCACATTTTTAATTCATGAATATTAAAGGAGAAATTAGGGATATACAAAATAGGCCAATAATGCACATTGTTTTACATATAAATCTATGTTTTCACATTTTCATTCATTGCATCCCATATTATAAGTATTATTGGAAGACATTAGTTCCTAATTATCAGACAACTCTGCTCTACCCTAGAATCTAATGCATGCTCATGCCTTATGATGATAATCTACAATGTGTAAATGGCAAAAACTCATGTTTTAAAGCATGCACTTTAACTGGATACTGGAGTAGTTTCATATTTATAACATTATGTTACAGTAAATGAAACCACAGTTTATATCATTTATATGTTATGGGAATTCCTTTACTGCCCATGTTTTGAAAATTGTAATGCTTTATGAGTGACTATAATCATATTTAGTTCATAAGCTTTATTAGTGACTATAACCCTATTTAGCTCATACGCTTTATTAGTGACTATAGCTCTATTTAGCTCATATCAAAACTCAACATGTTTGTTACGAAAGTAATTTATCAACCATGTAGAGACAAACCCAAGAAAAGGGTAACATCAGGGAACCAAAAACATGCTGGGATGCTGGGCCAAGTAGATGAGGATGAAAGCTGTAACAAAGCAGATCTTAAATTTCTATTTATTGTATATATATATTTCTGATAAAATTGAAGCATTGGGAGATTATTAACACCAATAAGGAAGACTAGTTGAACTGATTCAGCATCAGGAAAAACAGCATTTGGTAAATCAAATTTTGAGTGCAAAATGATGTTCTCTTTTTGGCCAGGAAGATTAGGTAAGTATTAATCTGAGTCTCAGAGGACTTTGAAATGTTCTTCTTGTTGTGTGAGCTCAATCAAACACCTTGGTGATCTTCCTTACCACAAATAAGATCTTATGGAATAGCTTTCCCTGTACATGAAGATTTTCCCAAATCATTTTTGTCATATCATGATAAACTGAATAACACGTGAATTTGCAAGACATGAGTAGCATCAGAGTAACATATATTTTCATATTGACCTCTAGTGTCTATTTACCTTTATTTCATTTATCCCTGAAGATTTATCCAATTTCATGAACAATTTAAACAGTGGTTCCTGCATTCCATGTATTTTTTATCAAAATTAACACATTCTCAAAAATGTTATATCCAAATGGACATTTTTTGGTCCACCCTTTACCATGTGTAAAAGTACAATCTAGGTTTCTTGTATGATTCTACATGTTATTTAGAGAGAAATATTACCTTCTAAACTGGCAATTTTTGTTATGTGTTGCACAGCATCCATTTGAGCTTGATCAAGTTGGTCTAAAACGGGAAAAAACAAGGCATAAAAATGACAAGAACCACTAAACTATTGCAAATGGACACAAAAATGTAAACATTTGAAATCAGACAAGGTTTTTAAGAGATCCAAATAAGTTATTTTTATTGACAGGCAGACATGCAGGCAAGCTAAAACTAGGCACCAGGGTGTAGCAAATCCAGTTGAGTGTCTTGTCAATTGGTAGGCAGTGCATGGTATCCATTTCATAAACAACTGTATCACTCCATTGCATTTTAATATACTAAATGACTGCCATATTGCACAATTTGTCAAATGGTAATATCATGCTTCCATGTATTCGTGAATCACCTATAAATTTAGCATATTGTTCCTTTTTTAAAATGTTGGCACTCCTATTCACAGATGTTTTTAATTGAAAAATAAGGTGGGTATCTATAAACAGTAATTAAGAAGTTATTTTTGAGAATTGAAAGCATTAGAATGAAGTGAGCTTGGTTAATAAATCTACTGAAAATATCATAGCAAAGTTATCGACTAGACAACAGCAACGCCAAAGCATAGCAAATCCCATCAAACAGCAAACTTCATTCGATGGGATAACTAAGAAAATAATGAGGAGCTATGCTACAAGCGGACTACACAAACAACATTGCAGGTCATATGCAAGCAGAGTTAAAGGTCATATACAGCAATATACACCAACCATGAAACTTACTCTGTGACATCTCAATTTTTTCACTACTTTCGTTAAGTCGATTGTTTGATTCCCTCACTTGCACTAAATGTGATAAAAATATTATAATAACTTAATCATTTACATATATACATGCTCATGTTCATTTATGCATATTTTTTTTTATTAAAAATCCATAAATAGCACTTATACATGATCATTACATGATAAAAGTATAGACATGAGATACCTTAAGGTATAAATGTGCAGTTGAAATTAAGGACAAGCACAAGACAATTGGTGCATTGGTGTGACCTCCCTTATCTCCCTAATTAGCAGCTCAACTGCTATTGAACATGGAGTGTGACCTCAATGGGTAGCCCTACACTGCTATTTAGTATGTGGTGGGACCACAATGGGTAGCCCTACACTGCTATTTAGTATGTGGTGGGACCACAATGGGTAGCCCTACACTGCTATTTAGTATGTGGTGGGACCACAATGGGTAGCCCTACACTGCTATTTAGTATGTGGTGGGACCACAATGGGTAGCCCTACACTGCTATTTAGTATGTGGTGGGACCACAATGGGTAGCCCTACACTGCTATTTAGTATGTGGTGGGACCACAATGGGTAGCCCTACACTGCTATTTAGTATGTGGTGGGACCACAATGGGTAGCCCTACACTGCTATTTAGTATGTGGTGGGACCACAATGGGTAGCCCTACACTGCTATTTAGTATGTGGTGGGACCTCAATGGGTAGCCCTACACTGCTATTTAGTATGTGGTGGGACCTCAATGGGTAGCCCTACACTGCTATTAAGTATGTGGTGGGACCTCAATGGGTAGCCCTACACTGCTATTTAGTATGTGGTGGGACTTCAATGGGTAGCCCTACACTGCTATTAAGTATGTGGTGGGACCTCAATGGGTAGCGATCATGTTTTATACAAATGTTCAATGGGACATTTGTGCATGTAAATGTAAAAACATCCTCCATTTGCAACTACACTGTCCCTTATTTGTACCACCTTTAAATGTGGTCACATGGTAGGGTAGAGTGAACATGACTCATGTTTGTTACAACACAACAAATAGAGCTAGTTCAGTTCTATGTTGTCTATAGGGCCTTTTTTCTTGAGAGCTTCAAGACAAAGTTAACCCTTTTCCGACGTGAATATAAGAGGAAAATCTTGGCCTGGTGACAGATAAGTAAGAGCGGTTTTTAGTTTAAAATGGAAATGATGTATACACTGGGACCTATTCATTAAATTTTATCACTAAAATACAATTTTTAATAAGCATTATCACATGTCAACAACTTGTCAAAAATTGGTGTAAAAATACTGAATAGAACTGGAGATATTGCCATTTCATTGATGTATATAAATAAAAATAGTGGTGCCAAAAGGAGCCTATCGTCGTGAAAGATATTACCATATGGAGCCTATCGTTGTGGAAGGATTAAAGCAAATATTCCAAAAGGAATGAATGAAAATAGAAGGAAAAGCATGAGAGACTGCCACATTTAACATAATTAAACTGGCACTCCCTAATTTGTTATAAATCACTCACCTTTATAATATTCTATCTGTTCCTCTAACTCTTTTAACTTAACTGAAAAAGTTTAAAATCATTTTTCTAAATATCCTTGACAACAGCAATTATGCCAGTGAACCTGTTATCTGAAGCAGTTAAAATATGTGAGGTTTTATTTTCAAAATAATGATTATCACTTAATTTAAAAAATAGTACCATAATTACTGGGTACATGAAGAGTTGGACAATGCAATATGACTGATAGACACTGCATCTCTAGCATGGGACAAAAATGTGACAAGTACTCTATTATTGTCCACTTGATTTTTTAAAAGATCTTCCTTTTTTTATTTGATCAGTTTTTGATGTTACATTTTCCAGAAAAGCAAGGTAAACACTTATTATAAAGTTGGAGCCTAATATGGGGAATCCAGTATCTGAAGTCTTGGCAAAATGGCACTTTTAATTATTGCATGAAATTATTTTGACTCTTACCAGTAGAATCTTTTGTGATCATATCTGTGTTGATTATTGTATCATTATCTAAGGAACCCTCCGCTTCACTTTCTTTCATTGACTCAAGCCGTGCTGCAAACAGATGAAAGTGAATTATAATCAATTTAAGAAAAAAAGAGAAACAGTCCATAAGTGTTAAAAGGAGTGAAATGTGACCATTTTGGTGACCATTTCAAAACCTAGGAGCAGTCATTTCAAAAATACTTTTAAGCAAAATGTCATACTCCCATAGGGCATATTAAATATTGACAATGGGCCAATAGTATTTGATTATTGCCTTGACAGAAAAACAAATATACATACAGATGGATGTATAGATGGGTGGAGGTCTTCTGCACCCAACTTCATTCATAGGGATAATTCTCATTTCCCCATTACATAGAAAATACCTTTAATAGAGGTGAGTTGATTTTTTGTGAAGTCATTGTCAGCCTGCAGTGATTCAATCTTTGCTAACAAAGAACTTTCTTCTTTCTGCATCTCTTCAATCTTCATCTCTAACTCTTCCTTTTCCTTCTCAATCTTCTCAGAATCATTCTTATGAGACAGCTCTGCTTGCTAAAATAAATTTACTATACATGTATCAATATAATACAACGGACCTATTTCAAAATAACCTCAAAGGTAAAACATGCCAAAATGTAGCTTACTTTAATCAAACAGCTATGCAATCAAATGTTACAATGACACTTTAGGCCAGGAAGGACATTCTTAGTGAATGGTGAATACTCATTACATCAGCATTTCCAGTTAGAGGGATGTCTTGGATGGAACTTTCAACTAGTAAGTGGCTTCATAGAGTGAATCAAATTTCTTTTGGTGGGGGTTTAGACCCCCACCCTATGAATCCCTGTATTTCACATATAAAAAAGACTATGATATTATGATAGATCTGGTGACTGGTACAATCTGGTGACTGGACCTGGTGAATGGATCTGGTGAAAGAAAATCATAAATACCGTATTATTTCTATTAAACGCACACTCTCTAATAAACGCACACTCTCTAATAAACGACTTTTTGTCCCAGGTTAGAAAGTCCTGTCCAGATAATATTGAGATCTGACAAAGCTCTAATAAAAAAAACATTGTGGGCGATAATAAAGTATTTTCACCGTTCGTTAAAATAATGCATCATGATTCATGACGTCACGATTTCCCATCATGCAACGCATGCAACGTAAGAAATTTCTTCAGGTGTTCGTGTAAATACACAATAGTGTATTTATATACTTTTGTCGTCTAGGAGCTCACAATTCAAGGTAAAAACATAACATATAGCATATTCTCTCTAATAAACGCACATATCTACTATATTTGATCGATTTTAGGTATAGAAGTAAATTTTCACCCATTATCACCCACCATCATAATTTTGTAGAATTCCCGGGGATTTAGCTGCTTTAAACCTCTCCCCCACGGGAATTTGCTAAGCGCACTGTGCGTTTAATAGAGATAATACGGTAGATGTCATAAATGGAACTGGTACATGGATTTGGTAAATATATTTGGTAAATTGATCTGGCTTTAGGATCTGATGAATAGATCTTGTGAAAGGATCTGGTGAATAGATCTATCATCTGAAGTCAAGTTCTATTGCCTATGTATATCACTTTTAAGGGTGAATTCCTGGAGAGGAGTCATTTCTGGCTAACCCCTCAAAAAAGAAATTCACTGTGTGAAGCCACTTAAATTATTAGGTGAGAGTTTCATCCAAGTGAGTGTACACCAATCATTAAGAATATCCTTCCAATCACCTAGAGTAACAAAGAAAACAGTATTTTGGACAATAGACTGATTTACATCTCGAAAACATTGTAATGAGACGACTATCCCAAACAAGTTTGTTGAGATAAATATTGAACAGTAATCACAGACTTACCGAAAGTTGCTGTTTGAATTCTTCAACTTCATTGAGGCTCTCTTTGTGTTTGGTTGCCAACTCCTCCAATTCATTCTGAGAAGTCTCACAAATTTTCCTCAGATGCTCACACTCATCCTCAGTATTGCTTAATGAATGCTGAAAGGAATTTCTAAGTTTCTCAATTTTACTTAAAGTAAAATATTTTTGCACAAAACCATAAACTATGAAGAAGTTTTTCCATATCTATACTCATAATTCAGTTATTCAAAGTTCATCTACCACAGACATATTCTAGGTGAAATAAGATATTCATTGATACATATACTGGGTCTTTTTGCTTGAAATTGTAAGGAATACATTGGTGGGTCAACTGTATTATGTTGCTTGCAATTTTGTCACTTCCCATAGATCTAATTCTGTCTTTAATTATGGCCTATAAAGACTTATCGAATATTGAAATTTTAATTGTCAAATACAAACCTCATTAGATGATATTAGTACTTTTATACTGTGAAAAGATTACCTCTATTCCCGAGAGTTTAGTAACTGCATCTAGTTTCTCTTGTAAGACTTTCCTGAGAGATTCCTTTGCGGAGTTTTCATAATTTAACTTATCATCTTGAAGGGCAAGTAGCTCTGTTTTTAGATTGTCTTTTGTTTGATTCTGGAATAACATTAAAATTGAAACGGTATTTTGAATTGACTCGTGATTTGATAAAATAAGTTTTGTTTTGTGTGGGATTATTATGCTACTCCTGGACATTCCTGTTTTCTAGTGTTGATGACAGACTGATGGACCATTAGATGGCTATTGGCTACCGTCCTTGTACCTTGTCTATCAATCACTGTTGGACAAAATCTTGAGATGTGTATGATCAAATATGAAGATTGACGACTAAAACATAAACACTAATTAACTCTAGGAATATGATTGTCGCATAAGTGTAATGTGTAACATGAATTCTATACAAAATATCCATCCAACTACGGCTACATGTACCTTAGCATAAGCCTGGAGTTGATTCTCTAAGACCTCTAATCGAGATAGGAGCCTGTCTTCATCAACTAGGGCCTGCCAGCCTTGCTCAGAGGCCTCCTGGGTTCCCTGGACAAGTCGCTGCAAGGTAGCCAGTTTGTTTTCAAGCATCTGTTCTCTGTGGAGTGCTTCCTAAAATCAAACATATTATACAAAAGTTGTGCACCTGTTAAGACTTCACAGCTGATTAAGTTGAAGAAGCATAGATTCTCAAAGTAACAGTGTTCATGTTATTGTTCATTGACTAGTGATGTCACGAGTAATTGATCTCGTACATCTATGATATTGAAAAAAGATATTTCCCTCCTTATCTCTCTCACAAAAATCATAATCATCTATCAATCATCTCCCGAAAATTTCTGTCAAATAATATCATGATATTTGCTTTCTATTTTGGTCAGTGTAACAGGGTTTAACAGTGTTATCATGAATGTAAACAAAATTTCTCAATGACTTGGAAATAAGTTAATTAGTTGTTATATTAGATACTAGTATATGAAAATTATTATGTTAATGATGTTACCTGTAAATATTGTGATAATTGGTAAAGTTCCTGAGAATATATATTGGTCCCTATAGTAGGGGAAAATGTGCCCCCATCTCCACTGGAAATAAACAAAATACACAAAATAAAAAGGCAGTCATATTGAAATTAGACAAGCCTTAACTTGGAGTCAAAGGAGACATTTTTCTGTTGATAAAGATCAAAAACATCTGAAAACATGATTCCTAAGGACAGATAAAGTTCCAAATTGTTGACAGGTGGACAGTCCACCAAACAGGCATACAAGTGGTGATTGCAACAACTCACAAGGCACTAACGAGCAAAATGTAACTACCTGCCATTTGTTACATGCAGACACCGAATGCCAAATGCCAACAGCCAGCACAAAAAGTTGGAGATCATAACACTGTGTCACCACTTGTGGTGATGACATATAAATGTGAGTGAATGTACATGTACACAAATTTACATGCAGTAACGTACCTTGGCTTTGCCTCCCGTCCATCTGGATAGAACAACTGCAGTGATGCAATAATACAACTGTGCGTTACTGAAACCATATTGGAAATAATACAGATAAAAACTCTAATATTACATACTGCATCAATCTGTTGATCATATGATATCATATTCGGATGTGACAAAATTCCCAACTTGGTGCAAAAAACAAAAACAATTTAAAATTCTTACTGGATCTGACACCTAAAATCATATTTTTTTGATACAAAATTGTCGCAAAATCCACAGTTTCTAAATCACAAAATTTTATTTGCTAAATTTTGAGAAAAAATGCTAATTAATAAGGGGACAGTAAATACTGGTTTATGGTATATTCAAGAGACACATTGTACTAGTATGATTTTTGAAAGTTACCTCTTCTAGAATTTTCCATGACATCCACTCCAAACTGAATGACATCGCCAGACATGATTTCTCGTGGTGGGCTTTCTTCTGAACCCTTACTGAGTCTTTGACTATTAACAAACGTACCATTACTGCTCTTTGTGTCTTGCAAGAAGAACTGCAATCAGAAAAGATTAAATGATAGTTAGTTTTCTGGCTTTGCATTATCTTAAGCCCTTATAATCTTGATTGTCTGTTTTATAGGTGCCTATAAAAGACCAAGTGAGGTTTGAAAAAGTAAAATTTTCAAGGTCAATGGTCAAGGTCATTAAAGTAGGTCACAAAATGTGCGATCTAAGTTTCTTAGCATTCAAGACTTCAAATCAATATTTTTGCGGAAAATCAAAATACACATTCCACCTTGATTCATTTTGCACCGATTTTGAGATATTGAAGGTCACAAGGACTTTTTAAAAATCATCTCAGGAGTTCAAATCTGATCTTAGATTTGCAATTTAACCTTTGGTTGACCTTCAGTGATGTCAAGTTATTTATGATGACTTAATTAATATATACAAATAACAAAACATACCCTGCCTTCCTCATACCAAATGAGGGCATGATTTCTTGACAAAACTTTGCAATCAAAAATACTGTTGTTTGGCGCAGGTCTAGCACGTGCTACAGATCTACCAATCTTTGCTGGTTCATGCAAAGACACATGCCTCTCTTGGAATGGGTGTGAATTTGGTCTACAAGTAAGTACAGCTAGCGCAGACATATTGGAGTCACATTTAGCATTGGAATTCATGTACAGCGTAGAATAATTGAAGAAATCTACCAATATGTGTACATAAGCGTCATACTGCAGACTTTTATGGCATCTCCATCTTGACTGTTTTTCTTCTATCTGGAAATAAATAAACAAAAACTTAGGTTTAAAAGTTTTAGTTCTACAATAGTCTACTGAAGCAATAAGTCCTATCTTATAAATCTTAAATGATGCAAGTTGTGTTAAACCTGCACATCGCTCCAAAACGCAATATGTCATGTATGTTGACATATATTGTTTTGACATTTTTAAGCTCTAATATAAAGTTTATGTAAATAAAAATTGTTTTTTTCTGCGTTATATCAAAGAACAATCATTTAGTTAAAAAAAATAAAAAGGCGAATGCGGGAATCGAACCCGGGCCTCTGGTGTGCTAAGCGAGAATTGTACCGCTACACCAATGTTTTATTATGAATGGTGGAAGTAATTAAACGCTACTTATTTTGAATGCTATGATTCGGAAGTGACGTCACGTTCTTCATTTAGAAACCTTTCCAAAATCATATCGTCGGCGCCGATCAAAGCAATTCAATGAATAATCTTTGAAATGACACATTTATCGTAAGTATTTCTACACAAGATTTGCCCCATTTGTTCATCATTCTATAATCTTTCATTAAGCTCAAAATGATAAAGTTCACCCCTGAAACAACCCAAGATTGCGTTTTGGAGCGATGTGCAGGTTTAAGTACATTTGAAAATATAAGGCCCTAGTTTTTTATGTCTTTAGGAATTACAAGTGTTTCTCAAATATTGATTACTGGAATGACTGCTTCCAACATTTTAAACTATATAAATGACAATAACGCAGATGCGAGTAGGTAGTTACCAATTTCACCACCAGGTGGCTCGTTCGGGTCAGATAGCATGGCGGGTATGGTAGAAAGTTCCCTTTAACTTAAATTACATCTGTTTTGGTGGTTCAATTTTCATATAACCCTCATGTATCTAATAGTTATGCTAATTAAAAAATGTCCAGTAAAGGAAAATGATATTTGTCGATTACAAAAAAAGATATTTCACTTTTTGTGACTTTGTAACATGGGGTCTATGGGGAATCAACCCGAACTAGAAATCACATTTTCAAAATGAATTAAATTTTCAAATTTGATAAACAATTTTCGAAACCATATTTCTAGATGTACTTTTACATGTAGATTTCAAATATGACATCACTTTGACTGAATTTTGAATATTTAATGACGTAAATCAAGATTATTTATACTCGCATCTAGTTTATTAATATTGAAGATAACTAAGAAGTGAATAAACTATTGTGCCTTTGGCTTATGTTTGGTTAGAGAAGTAGTAGTAGCCTCTTCCAATCTTAAATTTTATGACCATATCCTCTCTAATAAATGCACAATTTGAATTTCCCAAATTCCCAAATTAAGAGATGCCTCAAATGACAAAATCCCTGGTGATTTTTGAAAGATAAATATATGGGCGATAATAAGGGTATTTCATGATTTTCCTCTTTAAAACTGAAAACTCTGACTAGACAACATGTCATACCTCAATGTTTTCCTCATGCATTTATCTATCCGCTGAATGTGTTTTAGTTATAATTTCGAGTGAAAGGATACTATAAGACTCTTGTTAATATAGCTGTACAAGTTCAAGTCACCAAGATGAGCTAATTAAGGCAAGAATAGGGAAATAAAACAGGTAACTTTTTTTGGAATTCCTGTTTCCAATCCTGGTAAAACTATGTAGCAGTAAGTTTCGAAAGAAACGTACGTTGACTCAAGTCCGTGCAAAATCCAACATTTTTTAAACAACTATATTTTGACCTTAGATTCACTCAGAACACACCAAATAGCCCAACATCCTAAATTTACTTCAGGGAGCATGCCCCCTGTATTATCCCTTGCCAGTACTATAGTCCTGAGAACGTCTCAATCTTTTGCCTCTGCGATTATAATATAAGAGAATTTTCTACACCTCTTACACTTAAGATACCTACTTCAATAGATTCCTTGGTATTTTAGCCGTCATATTCCCCGGTCAAATTTATTGGTACTTCCGGGACACTTCCTGGCCAGTCAAACTGGGAATCCCCTTTTAAATCCAACCGCCATCTTGAAAAGTGATGGAATCTCTCTTGATTGAAAAGAAAAGTGTTCCCGTTCTGCCGATAAACCCAGTGTAAAAGGCGTAGAAAATTCCCCCATGTTGTAATCATACAAGCAAAAGATTGAGACGTTCTCATGACTATAGTCCTGGCACGGGATAACCCCTGTACACTACAATCCTGGCTACGCCCCTGCCACTGGTAAGTAAATACATGGACTTGGTTATATCATATCATTTCATTATTTTTCTATGCGAAGTAGGCCTTAGCTTAGATCTACTACTTAGCCTAGGCCTAGCCTAGTTAGATAGGCCTAAGCTTACAGTAGTCTAGCCTAGTAAAAAATAGTCCAACAACATTAGACCTAGTCAGGGGCCTCGTTTCTTATCTGACATGTCTTATGACCCCGACTAGGTCTAAACTCCATGATCATTTTGCCTTTGATGCGTTTATTTAATTGTTCCGCATGTTTCGACATGCGGAACTAATTAAACCCTAATTTCATGTAAATATCTTATAAATAATGTGATCCAAACAAGCATACATACCTTATCAATCAATACACACCATCCCATATCCCCCTGTGACCATATTCATGTATAATTACGAAAATATTGGAGACGGCTTTGGAACCAACAGAAAATGCCGGTCAGTTTCTGTCAACATCGAAATTGCAAATCGTATCAGAAAACGACAATGAACTAGTAGGTTTACAATAAATAACTACTTTGCGTGTATACACGTGCTATATAAATCAATCAAAGATACTTGTTATCTTCCAAATTGATCGTATTGTCCCAAGTATAATCGCGATAGTAATTATCAATTTATTTGACAACAATTTCATTTCGTTTGATTTTAGCGGGAACAAACAGACACAATGTCGAATTTTTCATTTTAGAAATCGGTAAGTGTAGCCTCATTTTACTCGTATAAATAAACATCTAAACCAAAAATACATGTTTTCATTATTTATTATTATCATTTTCATATAAACGTCAAGTATCACCTTTTATCGAGGAAAATTGATTTGAAAACATATCACGGGTGTTAAACATAATCCGGTCCCAAGTAAGATCACATTTATGAAAAAGCCGCAGTAAGTTGTTGAACTTAACTAAATCGGAGTGGCTCCAGGACCGACAATTGTCGGTACTGGAGACTGTCCAGGGGTATTTGCTGGGGTACCGACAATTGTCGGCACTCTATCGTCACCTAGTAGTGCCAGATAGAGAACCGACAATTGTCGGTACGCAAGTGGCTGCTACGTGTTTTTGCTAGAGAGCCGACAATTTCATAAATAAATCCACTACTCTTACTTTTCGAAATAACCACATCATTGGTAGCCTAGTGGTTAGGGAGCACGACTCGAACACACTCGGTCCCGAGTTCGAATCCCGGCAGGACCTACTTTTTTCTTTTGCGGGGGGGGGGGGGGCATAGTGCTTCTTTTGCAGTATGGAATCGTACAGGCATTAACTTGTAGTGAGCCATAATTTATTTCGACAAAAATTGATTCAATTTCCATCAAAATTGTTCTACAAGCTTCAATTAAAAAACATTTTAAAGCTCTTTTCTTATTCTATCTAATGGGTCGATATATACAGTTAGGGGAGGGGATGCTTTCGACCCCGTCGCTCTCTACCCTTACTACGCCATGGCACAGGAGAAATATCTCATTTGGAATATATCACTGTTTACTTTGCGTTTGGTAGCTCTCTCATGCGAGATGGAATCGTGGCCATTAACTAAGGGAGCCAAATGCAACTTCCATCAAAAATTGTGCTATAAGGTATGAGTACCGTAATCCAACACCAAATTCGAAAATTCATAACAATACCTTGCACATATGGCGTTCGTGACCAACTATGAAACGCTTACCCCCCATAGTGTTATATATCAAAATGCACCTGTCCATATAGGGGTTCGATTGACCTACATCAAATTATAGGGAGTCAGGTTACTTTTTGAGATATCAGCGTCCGTTTATTGTAACTTGCGTTTGCTACCACAACCTCAATTCTGATATGACGGGCAAACGCGTAGTAAACATGCTCACGTTCGGAACTATTTTCACCTACATCGCTATTTTCGTAATTCAAATGAAAGTTGAACTCCTCTTTATTTTGATACCAAATAGTGGCATACTAGGTACCCTAGAAGCCAACTATGGGTTATTTAGAATGATACCACAGGTTTTTAAATGGACTATAGGGGTCATACCTTTTGGCGGATGGATATGGAACCTCATACCATAAGCTTCAAATAAAAAACATTCTAGCTATTTTCTTCTATCTAATGGGTAGCAAACGCCCCTTTCTACGCCTAATCGGCTCAGGAGAAATATCCTGTCTGTTAAGAATATATATAGCCGTTTACTCTGCATTAATAGCTCTCTAACGTCTTACTTGTTCATGTTTTTATTGGGTTTTCAACGTTTACTACCATTCCCCGTTCCCGGGCTACCATTTTTTGACTGGGTTTGGTAATCCCCGGGTAACCGGGGCTAATGCCCTCCCCTGGTTTTGCACTTGTTCCCAAAATATCCGTATGATATCTGGAATATCCCCCCGCGCATTGCGCATGCGCCAGAAAATTCGAAAATCAATATTTGTCGGTCCTCTAGCGTGTAAACACAGCATACAGTTGGGGACATAAATAAATGACAGGTGGATTTGCTGAAGTGAGGATTTCCCATGTTAAAAATAAGAGAATTTACAAGAGGCCATAAATCAGTGGATGAGATTATACAAAATGTAAAATATACAAATTTTAAGGGATATGTATCTAGACAATATTGGAAATTATGGGCTTTCAGACCACCATAATTAGGAAATGGTGATCGAAAATCGACCTGTCATTTATTTTTGTCCCCAACTGTATCTCCCGTACCGACAATTTATTTGTCGGTCCTCTAGCGTGCCACCACATCAGAGTCTAGAGTACCGACAATTGTCGGTACTCTAGCCTTTACGTAACTAAATTTAGAAAAATTGACTTTTTTTGGAAGTCACTAAAAATGGGCTCTCCAGTTCGAACGTTTACTCCCTAAACGTCAGCATGCATTACTGTCTGACATTCTCAGCCAAAACAAAAAGTAAAAGATCTGGATACAAAATGAAGGATGAGCTATCACTTCTTACCTTAGACCTTGAATTCTAGTTGAAGTTTCATGAACGAACTAATAAATATATTTTTCTGTCAGCCTCGTTCTCAATAAACTCACGAGAAACAACGAGACTAATTCTCTAGCGGAGAGGGATCACGTTACTTGATCACTGTGATCTGTGGTTGTATGAGGAGAGCAGTATAAGTTATTGTTAACTGCTTAAAGGGAACTATACATTGATAAATAAAACAGATAAGTTACCATATATTTTTATTTTACTCAGGGCTGAAAAATGATCAATTTATAATCATTAGAGTCAAAAATTAGACCAAATAAGAAGAACTACTTCTATCTAGCGTAGTAAAATATCCTGCATTCCGTCGCATAGTCATCCTCACTCTTGCAGAGTTAAGAATAGTCTTATCAGCTTATTGGAGACTTGTTGTGATAGTAAATATTTGAGAAGAATATTTTTGCCGTTTCCAAAAGCTGAGATAGAAGGAATACCTGTAGCTGTACCCAGGTACCTGTTACTCGATAAGAACGCCAACGAATAAAGGTAAATTCTTGGCTTGAGCCTATTTTATTGTAGAATACACAGATGTTGGCCAGATTGTTTTGTAGTAGGATCATAGGCTCAAAGAATAATTCACAAGATACGACACTAAATTGGAAAATTTCAAAAAAAATTGACCACCTTTCAAAATGTTCCTAATACAAAACGGTACCTGCTTCCCTGTGACAGATTTTGCACTTATTTTATAGCTGAGATCTTCATCTTTCTATTTCTACTTGTTTGGTTCGAGTAAATAACCTATGGATGCAGTTATTTGACTTTTAATACGGCGAATATTTTTCACGAGATCCGGACTCTTGTGTGTCCAAATATCAGTGTACTGATGACGTCACATTTCTGGAACCACAGGAGCAACATTCAGATTTGGACAGACAAGAGTCCGGCGATAAAATATCACTATTTTGGCCTCTTATCAACGCAGTATTGCTTGAATAATGGCCATTGGTGATAAAAAAGTTAAAGAATAACAAGACGCTTCGAATGAGGTATGATTTGTCACATATTTTTCAGAAATGGCTCCACAATCGTCATTTTAAAATTTGAAATTTTCCGAGGTGTCTCATCTTGAGGAATATTTATTGAGCTACTGATTCTACTACAAAATAATCTTGCCGGGATCTATGGTAGAATATGTGTGATTTTTGTCTCGTCGTTTTTTTTTCCATGATAATTTTTGATTTTTCTGTTTTCATTTTTCTAGCTTACGTTTGGACAATTAGTCTAGCCTAAACCGTATCATATCCTGTGTCATTTCTTCACAAAAAGTTTTAATGATCCAATTGATGATTTGCTATCCACGGACTTGAGTCAAAGTTTCTTTCGAAACAGACAGTAAGCTTAATAATTTTACCAGAATTGGAAACAGGAATTCAAAAAATATAGTTACCTGTTTTATTTGTTGATTCTCGCATTAATGAGCTCATCTTGGCGACTTGAACAGCTATATATAACAAGAGTCTTATAGAATAGGGATGTTAAAAATACGACGGGACGGCATTTCGGGATGGGACTTTCGGGATGGGACGGGACATAACCAATGAAATTGTTAATCACAGTCAAAAACTTACATTTTCTGTCTACTTCTTGTTTTGCTCATGCAAACGTCATAAGTGAACTGCGCATGTTGCACAAAACTTATAAGTTGTTATTTTTCTCGCCGATAAAGTCCCTTGTTATTGTTTTAATTGAAGTATATTTCAAAGGGAAACACTGTTATTGATAAAACTACATGTGCTGCCTTGAATTTTCGTTTATTATAATCACTTATAGTAATTGCCACTAGATGGAGACCCTATCTGTTGCAAGACTTAGGCCTGGCACAACCGTCACCATGTTATTACTAATAAGTGTTTTTAAGTTTCGCAAGGATCCTGCCATGACTGTGGTAGTGTTTGTGAAAGCCTGGTATAATCGTGACAATGCTATATTATATTGCAAGGCCTGTCATGACCGTTGTAATGTTAAAGCCTTATATGACTGTGGCAATGGTGACGGTTGCGCCAGGCATAAGTCTTGCAATAGATAGCATGTGACTAGATGGCATTTATGCATGGACGTAATCCGGCAAAGAAGTTATTATACGAATGAAAATTCAAATCTAGATCATATTTATCATGTATTTGGAAAGTTTTAGGGTCATATACAGGAGAAATAGTATATCCTGAACATGGACCGAAATCTTTGGTACATAGGGGTTGTCCCGTCCCGTCCTGAAACCAACCAATCCTTGACAATATTGGGAAACCGTGACATCCCTATTATATATCCTATCATTAGAAATTAGTCTAGAGTTTTGGCAATGGATGTTTTTTGTTTTCATGTCAGTAATATCTAAGACTTGGCATATGCTTAGAATGAATGTTATCTAGTCAAATTGAATTACTTTCGTGAAAAATAAATCAATAAAATTCGAAATACAGAAGATAATCTCTCAAAATCACACATCTATAGCAGTGTGGCCCAATATTAGACCGACGTCACAATTAGGCCACAGCTGTTTGATTTTGAGAGATTAACTTAGAAGATCTGTATTTCTTACTTTATTGATTTAATTTTCACGAAAGTATTTGGTTTGAGTACAACATTCATTCCAAGCACATGCCAAGTAATTGTGTTGCTGTTGTTGTTGTTGTTGCGTTGCATAAGCCGCTGTATCACTGGCACTTAGTCTTATGTACTATATATTCCCTTTGTGCTCTCTAATGTACTTATTCTCACTTGTTGCGCAGATTTTGTCTTTGATTGTCTCTCTCATAAAAGTATAAATATCATAATACACTATCTGTGTATACAGTCACTATCTGTCCCCAATTTTGAAAAAATGGAGGCCCTCATAGGTATCGATGTTTAGTATGAATTTCAAGGAAACTTTACACATATAAGGGTATACTCATAATCTAGTCAATTCGACAAAAAAACAGGACCGTAAGAAAGTTGAATAATTGGTTAATTTTGCATATTTTGCCTTTTTCAATATGAATTTTGTTGTGAAAGTTTGATAATAATCTGCCAGTTGAGTCAAAATCTACAGTTCCTTACAAAACATGTCCCAAATGTGCACCTCTCCTCTCTATACACAATTCAATCCGACAAACAAAGTTGTTGATGATCTTCCTCCACACATATCTTTCTGAATGGACAAGTTTATTCCAAGAACAATTGAAACTGGGGCTTACATCCTCCTGATGAAATGTAACATGCATTTTTGCATTCTGAACAATGCATTGCCTGGGTGGCAATGAGGAAACATGGAATCATCAGTCCTTTTTGGACTGGGGACGTGCTTTCACCATGAGCAAGGACCAGTAAGTTCTCGCTAAGTACCAGAAGGGACTTCTAAGGAGATAAGCAGTGGTTTCAACAAGCCAATACCACCCTAACACCTATTCAACTTTCTTACAGTCCTGTTTTTTGTACACCCTGTATGTCTGCCATTTCATCTCTCCATCATGTCTAATATCATTTTAATATGAATACAGTATCTATAAACAAAATACATACTTGAATTTTGATCGCAAAAGGTCAGTTGCATATATTTAGAGGTTATGTCACTAATTATTATTATTATGTGAAATATGCCAATGTGCAGCAAAGCTTAAATGGCCTTTTGTAATTTAGGGAGTTTCAGCCATGTTAATGTTTTCGAAAATGACATGGCAGAGAATTTTTTCATATAGTGTTTCAATGTGGTCCTTTGATTGCTCATTACTGGCTCACACAGTGAGCCTATGGGATCGACCAGGCGTCCGTCCGTTTGTCCATCCGTCCATCCATCCATCAACATTGGTCGCACAAATTAAAACTGCTATTCGGATTGAGTCATATCCACATTCATTTTATGCATATTCATAATGCCTATTTGACCTATCATCGCCTTTTCCCAAGTTCGCCCAGTTTCCGATAAATTGCTGATTTTGACGTCAAAAAGTCAAATTTTCTGTAAATACTAGACACTTTGTTGAAGTAGAACTTTAAATTAACTTGTAGTAGTTCCTGTATATGCAACTTATGTTCTCTGAAGATTTCAAAGCTCTTGAAATTATAGTTTTTGGTGTTTATAAAATTTGACAAAAATGACTGTCATTTTCAGGGCAAAAAGTCAAATTTTCTGTAAATACTAGACACTTTGTTGTCACATACTTGTTTCAAAAAATTTTTGTACCTGTACTTTGTCTTGTGAGAAATTCGAAATGAGCACTAGCTATATTGTCATCAACTTGTGCTGTTAGGTAGGCATACATTGCAGGTATTAGATGCCGCCAAAGATCCTTTTGTAGTAAGATCAGTAGCTTATATTCCTCAAGATGAGTCACTCCAAAAAAATTATAAGGTCAATGTGTGGATTCAGAATTTTTATGCAGTTCTCTTTGAAGTCAAATGTTATTTTCGAGCAGTGGAGGATTGGCAATTGAAATTTTTCATGATGCTACATCTGTAAAAAGTACATCTGTTAAAGAAACACCATGCAACCCCAAAAAGAGACCTCCAAATTTTACCCCACCTAGTATTGAAAAGTCAAGATTGGAGAAAAAACCAAACAAATAAATGTATAAACTCATCAGCATTGTGTTTTAACATATGAAAGTAGGTTCTTTAAATGTAAATGGATTGAAAAACAAGAGAAAGCGAAAGGCAATTTTTGATTGGTTAAGATCATACAATTTTGATATAATTTTACTCCAGGAAACATATTATAATGAAAACCTACATGATTCATGGAAAACGCAATGGGGTGGCGAATTATACGGAATACCTGGATTTGGAGATAAAAGCAAAGGGCAAGTGATCCTTTTTGCAAAGGGAACAGATATATCAAATGTTGAAGTATGTAAAGAAACTGAGAATGGGCGTGTCCAAGCCCTGAAACTATCATACGAAGGTGAAAACATAGTAGTGATGAATATATATGCTCCAAACAAAGATAATGAAAAAATTGATTTTTATAAAAAGTTAATAAATATATATGACAGACATGTGAGGCAGTCTGAATGCATCATAGGGGGAGATATGAACTGTGTAGTAAACAACGAGAGAGATATTATCTCTGGTAATGTTCACACCATTAAGGTGATAGAGCATTTCAACTCTTTCATAAATACTTGTGAATTAAATGATACATGGAGGATTCTTAATCCAGAAATAAAATCTTATTCCTGGAGTAGGAAATCACCTTTTATTGCAAGGAGGTTAGACTATATATTCATGTCAAATGGTCTCACAAGTAAAGTCATAGAATCTCAAATACTACCTGTAAGCAATTCTGACCACAGATGTGTTTTAGTAGATGTCAAAACAAATAAATATAAGATGGGAAAGGGCTATTGGAAATTGAATAATTCGCTTTTAAAATCAGAAGAATATATAAACAAGATAAATAATGTCATAACAGAGACCATTACACAATATGAAGATATAGTTAATCCTCAAATTTTATGGGACATATGTAAAGGGGCAATTCGAGATATATCAATTAAACATAGCAAGTTAAAAGCAAAAAAGTCAAACATCAAACAAATTCATGTTGAACAAAAACTGTTACATGCTCAGAGCAAACTTTCCAATGATGTTAATCCTGAAAATATTGATAATGTCTATAAGTTACAAATGCAATATGACCTTGAAACCATTGAAAAAACCAAAGGGGCACAGTTAAGATCTAAAAGTCAGTGGATCGAAAATGGAGAGAAAAATACAAAATATTTCTTATCTTTAGAGAAAATGAGAAGTAAAATGAAAACAATTGAAGTCTTAACAGATAAAAATGATATCAGCACTCGATCCCTTGAAGAGGTCATGTCGCAGTTGTATGATCATTATAGTAATATGTATAAAGAAAACAGTGACATACGTTACACACTTGATGATTTTGCTCATGATATAGAATTACCAAAACTTGATAATATAGAAAAAGAAAAATGTGAGGGTCTAATAACAGAGGAAGAATGCTCATTAGCAATTAAATCAATGAAAAATGAATCAAGTCCTGGAATTGATGGCCTAACAGCAGGTTTTTATAAGGTATTTTGGATCAAAATAAAACACCTAATTATAAATTCTCTAAATTTTGGTTTTGAAAACGGGCAATTATCAACGTCACAAAGACAAGGTATAATTATCTTACTTCTGAAAGGTCAAGGATTACCACGTAATAAACTTAAGTCATACAGACCAATATCATTGACTTGTGTAGACTACAAGATTGGGGCAACAGTACTTGCTAATAGGATTCATAAAGTAATTAAAAAACTCGTAAATTCTGACCAAAATGCCTATTTAAAAAATAGAGGAATACATTTAAATCTTAGACTCATTGATGATATTATGAATTATATTAATAATGATAATCTAGAGGAATTAATGGTAGCATTAGATTATTCCCGAGCGTATGATTCGTTGTCTAAAAGATACATTTTTGAGGTAGTCAAAAAACTTAATTTTGGGGAAGATTTCATGCGCTGGATCCAAGTTTTTAATAAGAACACTTCAGCAATGGTTTCAAACTATGGTCACTTCACAAATTCTTTTATATTAAATGCTGGTTTACGGCAGGGGTGCCCATTGAGTTCGCTCGTATTTTTATAAGCAACTGAGATATTTTCTTGCAAAGTAAGACAGGACCCTACAATTGAAGGTATAAAAATTAGAAATACAGAGAGGGCTATCAAATTAACATCATATGCTGATGACACTACAGTTTTCATTAAAAATGCAACATCATTAGAAAATCTGCTATTACAAGCAGAAAATTTTTACTTAACATCTGGATTAAGATTAAATACTGAGAAAACGAAAGCAATGTGGTTGGGGAGATATAAGGATAACACTAACAAACCATGTAATGTGAATTGGATAACCAGAAAAGATGAACACTTAAAAATACTGGGTGTATTCTTTTCAAACCAAAAATCAGCTGCTACTATATCAGAAAATTGGGCACCACGTATTGATAAAATAGAAGCAATAATTAAAAATTGGGATAAAAGAAACTTGTCCTTTCTTGGAAAAGTATGTTTAGTTAAATCGCTTATTGCATCACAGGTTACACATTTACTATTAGTGTTCAAAGCTCCAGAGGAATTTTTGAGAAAAATAAACACTCTTATTTATAAATTTATATGGCAAAAATCTGGTAAAGGAACAGAGAAAATTCAAAGAAATATTTTAAGGCAAGATTATCAAGATGGGGGAATTAGAATGACAGACATAAATGTTAGTCAGGAAGCTCTTGTATTGACATGGGTAAATAGCCTGTATAGTACAGATGATGCAGCATGGAAGTTACTTAGTAACTTATTTTTAAATAGAATGGGACATGGTCTAAACTTTTTCCTGTATGATTGTAATTTCAAAGACATAAAACCAAGGCCTCAGGATGAAAATATCCCTGAATTTTACACATTTTTAGTAAAATGTTGGTTTAAGAAAGAGGTGAGTGAAGCAATTTCAAATAAAGATATAATTTGGAACAACAGAAACGTTTCTTATCGGGAAAATGTGATATATTTTCAAAGTTGGAAAGATGCTGGATTGAATACAGTGTCTGATATAATAGACGAGAATAATCATGTACATCCAATTGAGTATTTTAGAAACCTCATGCAAAATAATGCAGGGTTACAGTTAGAGTATAACGTGATAAAAAATGCCATACAGAAAATAAGTATTATAAAAAGAAATAATAGCAAAATTTTGAAATTTAACAATTGTATCATTAATAAGTCAAAGGCCAGAGATTTTCAAGCCTCTATAATAAAAAATGAGAAAATATGTCCAAATGTAATGTTAAAATGGAATAACATGTATGAAAACCTACAATGGAAAAATATATGGGGACACATAGGCAGAATAAAAGAGACAAAAATCAGATCATTACAATATAAAATAATACATCAGGTGTACCCTACGAATATTCAATTAGAAAAATGGAAACTAAGTAACACCAAGAAATGTAAATATTGTGTAGAAGAGGAGGATACTTATGAACATTTTTTTATTAAGTGTCACCAAATAAAAAGAATTTGGGATGATGTTAAAACAGTGTTAAAAAGAAAATATGAAAATATTAATTTCACTGATGTAGATGTACTTTTATTTTATGAGAACAAAAAAAAATCTGTACAAGATTATGTAAATCAAGTCATACTTATCGCAAAACACTGCATAAGCAAGTTTAAATATGGAGAACATCCAAATATATCATTTCTATTTCAAAACGAACTAGAAATGAGAAAATTATTGTGAAAATTTTTGTATTTTGTTGTATTTTCTTCTAATACTCCTGCTGACTTATAACTCTGTATTGTAAAATGTTGAAAAGGAAGTAAAAAAAAAATAAAAAAAAAAAATAAAAAAAAGAGTCATGGGACTATTGTCATTAACAAATTGATACCTCGATAGAAATTCTGTTGAAACTCTATATGATTTTTATTGTTATTGGTTTTCATTTATTCATTTATTGCATGCAATTTATTGTATATATGTATATGTATTATTTATTTGCGTCAATAATATAATAGTTATTGTTAGTCTATATCGGTTCCTGGACGAACTTTGAATTGTCTATTATTCTTTTTTCCTCTCAGAGTTTAACCGTCCAAGACCTGTGCTAAGTTGTGTTTTTGTCACTATAGCCTTATTCATTACATGTTGGTTGTATAAATTAGAAGCAAATACATGTATATACATGGATATATTTTATCCAATAAAAAAAAAAAAAAAAAAAAAAAATGTTATTTTCGAGAATAAATAAATCGTTTCATATACATCAGGTCTACTTCATATTTGCACCAAGAGTGCGCTTATGTACCCAGAAGAGAATGGAGAATTTTTTGTTTTGTTTTGTATGAAAAATGAGAAAATTTAGTGACCTCCTTTTTAGAGGTACAAAATAAGTAGGTCGTTTATGTTATCTCACTTTCTCAAAGTTTGATACTACAAATCAATTCTTATCCTCAAAATTCTAGGAACTCAGCTAATCCATTCAACTTGAAATTTTTACTGATGTAAGAGCAGACTAGTGCCAACATCCTCGTAAGCAGGTGTCCAGAATCCCTACCTCCCTCTTTCCCCCTGCTATAACCAATTTGGAAGTGCCGATTAAACTGAATCACGTGATCTAATTATGCGCAATGACAGTGACTTATACATGATTTCTGTCGCAGTGTTGCGACAGCCAATCAGATTGCGAGTTTTTAATCAGGGAAATGCTAACTGCTTATCGCAGGGGGTAAAAAGGAAGAATATATTCTGGATTTTAAAGCCCTGTGATCGGAGGATGAGTGCCAAGATCTGATAAGGTTTTGGAATTGGGCACGCTGAGTAAATTACATTGTGTCCGTTTTTCCACTGTTTCAATTTTTCTAAATGACACAATGGTAATTTTACTGGGATGGCTGATAGTTCAAGTTGTATCATTTTGTCACTGTTATGTTTTATTTTACAGACAGTGCCAATGGGTTTCCTAGATGGACTTGCCAAATGGCTGGGCCTGAAAAAGAAAGAAGCAAATGTGCTGGTAGTTGGCCTTGACAACAGTGGCAAAACCACAATTATTAATCATCTGAAGCCAGAAGAAACCAAGTCTCATGACATTGTTCCAACAATAGGATTCAATGTGGAGAAGTTCCAAACAAAGTCTCTACAATTCACAGCTTTTGATATGTCTGGGCAAGGACGTTATCGTAATCTATGGGAACATTATTACAAGTCATGCAATGGGATCATATTTGTCATTGATAGTAGTGATAAATTAAGAATTGTTGTTGCAAAAGATGAGCTGGATACATTATTGGATCATGTTGATATCCGATCGCGACCAATCCCCATCCTTTTCTTTGCCAACAAGATGGACATTCGTGATGCATTATCAAGTGTGAAATGTTCAACAATGATGCGCTTGGAACAGATTATGAATAAACCTTGGCATATATGTGCCACTAATGCCTTGACTGGAGAAGGACTTACTGAAGGAACTGATTGGTTGGCAGATCAGCTAAAAATCTTATTAGGTGCAAAGAAATGATTAAGTGATAGTGTATACATGTACTTTACATGTTGAGTTCATTGAATAATTGTTAAACTAGAACCTTGTGACGAGGTCACTATTTTCAAGCAAAAAGAAACGGTGCAGTCAAAAGTATGTCAAAATGCACACAATATTGGCATCATTACAACTGTTATCTGTCTGAATGCATCCTAAATAGACTACTGTATTTGTCTTATATCAGACATATTGGCTTCTATAAATCTCAATCCCAACCGTATTCAAGATACTCATTGTCAGTGTTGTTGATTAACAATTGCCTATCTGAATATTTCTCAATTTAAACGGCCCCGACCATCTTGGTATGTTTCCTCTTACCAGACATGCATTGAAGGAAAAACATGTCAAATTCATGGGGATTTTGGCATGTATGTTAATTCACCAAATTAAAACACACGCTAAATAAATGATAAATACAGTATTTAAACTCATTGTCTTAAAATCATGTGTACATTTTGAGGTACATGTAATTTGGGCCACAATTGGAAACATTCTAGTTTGACAGTATTTATACTTTATGAGGTTTTGTTTTAGAATATAAAAAATATGAGGAGTAAGCATGGCTGCCAAAACTGAAAACTCAGTGAAATATCCTCATTGTATTTGGCCATTTGTACGAATACAATAAGTTTACTTATGTTTTAAACATAAGAGTTTACTTGAAGTTTGAAAGGATATGACATCAAGTTGTCGAGACAATGAAACAACCATGGGAACTAAGGAACATTAATATTACACAATTTTGATGAAAATGTTACCAGCATTTTATAATGTTTAAGCATTTGCATTCTACATCTTTATGTCAGCTGGTTGTTTAAAATGTATATTTGATATTAAAAATACTTGTACAGTAATATATGGTTTTATTCATAGTATGAGCACAGTAATCCTTATTAAGAAGGTTTTTAGGAACTAGATGAACTCTATGAGTACTATATATATGACATTTTGTCATACCGCAATGAATACAGAGTTGAACATTTTAAAATGTAGACCATGCCCATTAAGCCCAACTGGTTTTTTTCTGTATTTGGCCTCCTCAGACATCATCTTTGTCAGCAATGGTTTCATTGTGATGACACTGGACAAAGTGGATTTCACAATGTTTTGCGGGACTGGGTGGTTAGACAATAAAAATGCATTAAAGCAACTTTGAGTGAAACGTTGGCCCATGGTCATGGTGTAGATGAGAATGATATGCACAGATTTAAATATTCCTATAGAATATATTGTTAAATATGACGTAATTGATGCTCTGTCAAGGACCATATTACAAAGTCAAAGTATTTACAGTATGATAGAGGGGTGTTCATTAAGACAGGTTTTACTGTATCTTTATTATTGTGATATGAAATTGGTATATTGACTTATCATTGCATTGCCAAACAAAACATTTAGGAAGATCAGTTACAATCTGTAGAAATGAGAGACCTAGTGTTCATTACTTAGTGAACACCCTGTAAATGAATAGGACTACTATGGATGCCACAAAGTTTAGGAGGCTTCAAATATAATCAATACCTTTCAATTGATCATTTGAACTTTCATGAAAATGTGTAATTTATTTGTAATCAGATAGATAATATTAATAATTATTAATATGGAACAACAAGAATATTGTATTTTAGAAAAATTGATATGTGTGTTATACTGTACAGAATATTTGTTGTACTATTCATTGATTATATGAAATCAAATCCTAACTTGCACTACCAGACTAAATAAGCTGGTCTTAAATCAATCAAATTAATATTCAATTTAATTTTGTGTCCACATAATGGTTTGTGAAAATATAACTAAATTGAAAAAACTGTGTTATAAAGAAATGCTTAGTTTTAGTGTAGGTTAGTCAAAACTATCTGTAAAAATGGTTGGAAAGTAAACATTGAAAGATTTAATAAAGAGATATTATATTATTAAAATGCTTGTTGTAAAACATACACATTATTATAATACCACAGCCAGCTACCTTTACATTTATGACCATCCTTTCTCAATTAAAATTCTATTTCTTTTTTTTTCTTTTTATAAATAATAAATAATTTTTATTTTTCATGATACTAATTCATGTTTAGGTTAGAAGCAAATGAAAATTTGATGCTTTGTGAAAATTGATCTCCATACACTGCTCTATTTTTATGTCACCGCCAAAAATGCTGACATATTGTTATGGTCTCCCTTTTTTGTGATGGCAGTTGGCATCTGCTGTCTATAACAAATTCTTACAACTTCCAATAACTTTAACACATACTGTTTAGACTGATTTCAAATTTTTTCAAAATTATCTACATGATCTCAGAAGTTAAAATCTGAATTCAGAGTTTTTCATGCATTTTGCTTATGTTTTTCATCAAAAAAACATCATTACACTTTACAACATTGATTCTATTCACTTTTGAATAATATAAATGCTGTTTTAAAAAGGTTTCATGTATGCCAATAATTTCTCAAATTGTGTAAATGGTGGCCACTCCTTGATCCCTAGAATTTTCTCTGAGGAATTTCCCATAGTAATCCAATGGTACAGTTCCAAGCAGATTTTGAGATAACAGGAAAACAAATCTTTAAAACACATCTTTTTGGGTTGCAATATAAACTGAAACAAACCCAATAAGGACGTGTGTATTAAAGGTTTGCTTTCCCGTTATCTCAAAATCTACTTGGAACATACTGCAATTAATACCACTAGCACATCTGTTATTCAACGTTACCACTTTAAAGAGTTCTTCATTGTCAAAATTAACATCAAAAGAGCCATTAATATTGTTTTGGTATTCTTTTTTCATAATATTTACTTGAGAATCAATATAATCTTTTAAGTCAGAATTAAAATTACATTTTGGGGTAAACAGTTTCTCAAAATAATTAGCCCATTCATTTTTAATAGCTCCAGGATCTTGAAGCACAGTCCCATCATCAGCTCTAATATGTAGATTTATTACAACCCCATTTATGTCTGTTAGCTAAATACCAATAGTATTTACATCCTGAGACTCATCTATTTTCTTTTGACAGGTAATATTATATTGCACTTCGGCCATTCGCTCATCATCGCCCTGCTGCATTTCCAACATTTCCACAGCCTTCATAAAATATTTTACTGTGGAATTCCAGTAAGGTTTCAGACGTTTATTGTTGTTTGTTTTTAATGTGTTGGCTGGTTGCATTACTATTAAACATAATAAAAGATTCATTTCCAAGGATTTTATTTTCACATTAAAGTGCATAATAACAAATACATTACAATGTTACATAAAAGTAGAATTTGATTACATAGTAGTAATTATTATGCAAATTGGGCATTAAAGCACAACTAAAAAAGTTATTTAAACCTAAAGGAATCAGTTCTGTTTAATATAAATGGATGTATTTGGGAGCATTTCAAAAGATATCTGAAAATTAACTGTTGCACAGTTGGGAAGGGGTCATTAGCCTTAAAAGTTGCCGTTCCGACATTGTTTCCAGAAATTTTATTAGTGCATGCTATTTTCGTCCAGTGCACTTCTGATACGATAAATAATAATACATGAACGCAACAAAGTAAAACTAAAGTAAAAAATTAGCGTTCTGAAGCCTGTCTACGCCAATTTAAGTGGCAAATATGAACGTTTTGTCAATGGGGTCTGGTCTAGATCAAATGAGGCCATTAACTACATGTTATGTTAGAAATGGTGTGACTTTCGAAAAATATCAACATTTCCCAAATACAGTTATGAGGGGGAGGGGGGTCATAGATTGAATGTGCAAATACAGTTAATAATCCTACATTGAACTTTAGAGATGCTCCCTAATGTGGCAACAGTTATATTCTGTTGAATGTGGCAGCTGTTTAATTTGCAATATTTACCATACCTGCCAACCTACAGTATTTTTACGGGAATCTACCGTAAATTTTTCGTTTTTCCGTAAAAAATGACAAAATACTGTAAAAAAATACCATTTTTTCCCCGTAAAAACGCCCGTAAAAAAATAAACCGTATTTTTTTCGAAATCTACCGTAAATTTTTTTTTTAAAACTCGTTTATTCCATGAGAACGGCCGTAAAATGTACCGTAAAATTTTGAAAATCTACCGTAAATTTTCGAAAATCTACCGTATTTCTGCTAAAATCTGCAAAAACTACCCTAAAATTTCCCGTTATTGTTGGGAAATGCTGAAAAATTGAAGTCTTCCTGTACTGTCCCTGTAATATTCCTTCACCAACCCGAATATAAATAGGTATCGGCAGGTCTGTGGTTATCAGGTTATTGCGCATTTATCTAAGTAAGCTTGCGTGTAACCAGTCCAAACACCAACTACCACTAGCTAGAAAGAATTCTTTCTGCCATGATTTTTGTAGTTAACCAAACCCTTTTGTACACAGATCTTTATTCCGAATGCAACAAAAATATGATTTTAGTTGCTCTTCATCTAAATAAATGAGTGGAAATGACAAAAACTACTTGTTTTAGCGTATGAAATATGCGTGGTTTGATTTGTTATGATCAGTAATGAACGCCAAATATACATTGTTACAGTATTATGTTCTATTATATTCACATTAAGTTTAGTTTATCAATATGCATACTGTAACTGATCTTCATTAGAGATCTTAGGTCAAGTCAAGGTCACAATGACATTATATCTTGTAAACATAACTGAACTGAATGACTCATTAACTCTTGGCCTTCTAGAAAGTACTGGAACTGTAATCATTTAATCAAGATTGAATCATGTGACTTAAGATTTTTTTTTTTTTATTTTAAGGTTAAGTTTTATTTCTTTGCATAATTTTATATAACAATATTTAACATACTAGGAAGGCCGAGGTAAAATTACATTGTTGGCCTCCCTATTAAATAAAAGTAGCAAAATAAAGTTGATATAAATGGTTTCAGACATGTATTGTAAATGTATTGTTTATAAGAGTCTCAGTGGCCACAGTTGAGATGATGATAACAATAGTGATGATGATGGTGATGAAATGTTGAGGCTAATGCTAAATGATAGAATCAACAAAATTTGCCGTAAGGTTCATAATATCAGCATTACATTTATCTGAGAACTTATGATCTCCAAAAAGTATGGTGTGGACTTTATCTACACTATTTAGACTGGCAAATTCTCTAAAGTTAAAATTTTGCAGCTCTTGTAGTTTTTGGGTAAAGATTGACCTTGTTCCAGTTGATAGAGGGCAGTAAAGTAATAAATGGGACTTGGTTTGCTGGGCATGTCCACAAGGGCAACTTGGGTCTGGATAGTTGTTGAAATTATGCCTAAAAAAGTCTGATTTAAGTGCTAGGTCTGCTCTTAAACGGTTTAGTTTAATTTCAATAGATCGATTTAAGTTCAATTTTGTTGTCAACACAGACCTAGGGTTTTGGTTATATT